CATGAAGGGATGAAAATTATTTGCAGAGCACAGGTAGCAAGTAAATTCCTCCTTAATCACCCTGAATACACAGTAATGTTCAACCAGGCTGTTGTAGGGGTTAGAAAACACTCCTCAAATTTCCTGAGGAAATATATGAAAGGCATGCTAACCTCTAAATCCTTTTTATAAAACTCCTAGGAAAACAGCTACTCTTTAGACTTTCCTTCTCATTCTGCAAAGATGAAACAGAATTCCAATTGAAAGCTTACTTAAGTGTGAGGCACTATTTATTCCACACAGGAAATTAACAGTATTTTCAGCAGTTGTAATTCATTTGCAGTGTGTGTCTGTGTGTTGGGGGATGTGGGAAAGTAAATAAAATATCCTTGTGTTTGTATCGTGGCATCTGTTTACACTTGCTAGCGCAGATTACTCCCCACAAACACACCCCCAACACAAACACACACACACACGGAGACACACATACACTTGCACTCAAAAGAAAAGGAAGTCTGGATTATGTTGGCTCTGAGGAATGGACAGGCAAACCAAACTCATCTTGAAACAATCGGGGGGACAGAGCACAGAAAGAGAGGAAAGCTGCAGGAAGGAGTGAAGGGAGGGAGGAGAGGGGTGAAGAATCACCGCCCTTAGGGCTGCAGTCAGGCAGCAGTTTGTTGGCTTGTTGTCCGTAATGCCCATTCACGCACACACAAACACACTGAGACACAAACAAACCTGTGCCACGGTTGACCTAACCTTGCCTGCCTCATTAGTTGCCAATCACTCTGCACAACCCGTCCAGGAGGACTAGGGAAGAGGGAGAGAGATGGATGAGGATAGGAAGTTAAGTTGCAGCAATCAATAATCAAGTTGCCTACACTCCTGTGTGCGATGGAACAGTAACATGCAAAACACCATGAAAGTTGGCAAACAAGGTTTCCTGCTCCTCTCTTTATTCTGTTACTTACTGAATTGGTCTGTTTTTGTGTTTTAAGCAGGATTCCTTCCTGCCTCTCCCGGCTAGATAAAAAGACGGGGCTCGAGTTTGGTAGGCAGATCAGAAAGGCCAACCCCACACACACACACACACACACACACACACACACACACACACACTGCACAGGGCTATTCCCGGAGGCACCAAGACCACACATCCAGATACACACACACACGGGGGAGTAGACACATTCACAAGAAACACAGAAACACCCTCAGTTGCTTGCAGTGGCTTTCATAATGTATATGTGTGTTTATAGTGTAAGGGGCAAACACACATATAGTACCTCCAGTATGCACTCATTCCAACACCACACACACTGACGCAGCACAAATCAAATTCAGATTCACACACTAACTAACATTCATTTATACACACACACACACACACACACACACACACACACACACACACACACACACACACACACACACAAAACACACACACCACAAACAACAAAACACACACCACACCCCTCACACACTGATTGTGCCCCTAACAAGCAGGCCGACCAGCCTTTGAGCTGCCTGGAGCTTGACACTAGAGAGAGCGCTTTGCACGGACCAGTCAGGTTTCTAATTATTTATGCTCACTACAAACACTTTTTATTTAGAGTTGACCAGCTGGAGCTTTTTTTCTGCCTCGTGTGGGGGAACAACAACAAAAAAAAATTAAGTGAGCCGGAGCCTATAATGAGGCCGGCCCTCAATACACCCGTCCTTGTGGTGGGGTCTGTGGACACCAATCAGGACGTCTTGAGAACGATAAATTGTGCTCCTTTTTTGGGGGGTTCTGTTTCAAATATAAGGGGTGGAGCATTTAAAGGAATCCTTTTTTTTATATTACTCCTCACCCATCACCCACCAAAACTCTAGTATTATTTTTTTCTATTTTCCTTACTCCGTTTGACGTTATTTGTCATGCCGGCTTACAACACATGGGCCCTGGATAAACTTGGGGGGGTACTTACACTGCTGTTCACTTTGACCTGCACACCCCAATTTTAAGACACCAGCACTTGCTAGCAGAATTTATGAGTAAAGCCTGTGTCATGAGCTTAACTAAATCTGTGTGCATTTCTGCATCCATTAGGTTTTCCTTTGCATTTTTGTTTTTGTTTTTTACTTTCAAAAGAAACTCAATGAAACCCTTAAAGCCAAAACCTTGGCACTGACAATACAAACCACAGACTGTGTGTGTGTGTGTGTGTGTGTGTGTGTGTGTGTGTGTGTGTGTGTGTGTGTGTGTGTGTGTGTGTGTGCACGTGTGAAGTGAAGATCACGGCTCAATGAAACGCCTCTCCTGTATGAGACACAGATGCTGTCTGGGCTTTAATGAAAGTGAACATCTCGGGTTACGCCATTTGAGCAAGTGTGTATGTGTGTGCGCTGATGTAGTGCTGATGTTTTGAATGTCAATAGGAGGTAAAACCTGTGTTGAAAACCCTGCTGAATTAAGATAAGGATCACACAAAAGCCTCTCTCCCTCTTTTTTACCTTCTCTTCTCCCCTTTCGATACTTGCTCCGAGCACAATGCGCCTGTTTGATGCCTTGCCTGGGTTTGAGAAGCATCACTCTGGCCTTCTCTGTTTTCACCCCAGTGACAAGCTATTTAGCAGGTGTGATGGTCTGTGGGTTGTTCGTCTTGAGTATCTGTATTTGTTATCAGTATATATGCAATGATTTCTCTTTGTGCGTGTCTCCTTACAAAGAGCTGGTGTATTGTATCTTGCACAGAGGTTTCCTTGGCAAGATAGAGGCGAACGTGTCCTCTAATCACAGGCAGGAGTTGCACTATTTTGAATACCCCCCAAAAAAACAAAAAAACAGTGGCTATTTTTTGGAGGTGTAATTGGAGGATGTGAAAGGCAATCATGTTACTTTTACCTTCCCAGCCTCCTACACACAGTCAGAAAATGGCCGACAAAAGTACAAATACAAAAGGACAGGACTAACTTCATTTGACAGTTTCTTACATATGATACCATCTCGCTTTCAGGTTTCCGACTGGCTTTGAGTTTACACAGGTTGAACTTTCATTTCCTGGCTGCGAGTTTGCATGTCCAACAACCAACTTTGACGTTTTAAAGAGTAAGAAAGGAAGACAGTGTAGGAACAGCAATCTGGCTAAAGCCCGAACGAGGCGTGGCATGTGTAATTCACAGTGACACCAATAAGGAAACCTGAGAGGCAAAGTCCACAAATTCAAAACAAACCTGTAAGACCTAGACTGTGTTTCAATTCCTGACACACTTTTAACTGTTTTGGGACTCAGGGGGGTGACAAAAATATAAAATGGTGAAATGGGGTGAAATAGATTCAATTTGCCACAAAATGTTGCAAAGTGATCTGCTGAAAAATTAAATTTGGACCTGAGGGCTTGCCATAGGGTAGCGTTTGTGGCAACCAGCCTATGGGCCCGGCTGCGTGTTGCATCCCTGCTGAATAGGAATGAATGTCGACAGGCTAGAAAGTGGTAATAAAGTTATTTTCAGGCTTGACAGCATACACAGTGAGGATTTGAGAAGGGGTCTCTATGCTTGCAACTATCCCCTGACTAATCAGTTGAATTTTTGAAATAAATGATTGTTGCTGTAAATGTTGCGTGAAAGAGAAGCAGGGTAATGTGTGTGTATGTGTGTGTGTGTGTGTGCAGGATGTTAATTGATGAGAGTTATAGAGAGCTGCTAGTAGCACAGGGGGGATCATTACTGCTGGAGTGGAACAACTGCATTCACGGCTGTTTGCCATGTCTCATACACATTTACACACACAAAACACACATTCTGTCACAGCGCACCAACAGTCAAAAGGAACACCATCTTCTTGCTCTCTCTTGTACATCCTTTTGTCATATAGTACGACTGCTCAACCACACAGAAAGAGTCAGGTAGGGTAATTATAACACCCTAATTCCACGATGACTCTTCTGAAAACACCAACCAACTATAAAATGTCACTCTTTTTTTTCCTCCAAATCAAACGCTTTTGTAAATCGTGAGATTTATTTTGGGTTGGCATGATGGGGAAAAACAAACAATTATCCCAGAGGCATTTCCCATCCTTGAGTCAATTTGAGGGAAAGGGGGGGAAAAAGGCGCGCAGCCACTTTGGGTTAAAGGATTTAGGTCACGCTTTAACTGACTGGCTGACATCAGAACGGTGAGACCGAAATCCTGGAGTGGAATCTCAACTTGAATCCATCCTGAATGACTGACACTTGAGAGACTGACACTGAGAAAATGAGGGGCGGGTGTCTTGCTAGTCAACCTGCCGTCCTGACCTATATTTTCATACCCTGCCTGTGCCTTTGTATGAGGAAGAGGCGTCTTTGTCTCGTCTTATGTGCTGCCGTGTGTGTGCAGACACTTCTATTTGTATGCGTGGCTGTGTATTAAGGCACACATGCATGTAATTGTGTGTTTGTGGTTGTGTACGACCTTTTCATTTTACATGGGAATGTGTCTCTCTTAGTGTTCGGAGGTGCATAAATACATACTTGAGACTGTGTGGGTGTCTGTGTGTGTTTCTGTGCACCGGGGACGAGAGTGTGTAAGCAAAATCAGTGTGTGTTTATGCTTTCTGTCAGTGTGGGGCAACGTCTCCCTCTCTCCTGCTGATGCCACATTACTTCAGTTTAGGAGCCACTGTCACTTTAGTGGCAGCATAGGCAGGTGAGACTCCACAGACTGCAGGCCTCTTCTTTCTGACAAACACACACATACACACCCTCGAGAAAAAAATCGAAATCACAAAAGTAAATCTCTTTCATTTTTGTTTTGTTCGATTGATATAATATACTTCATAAACATTAAAAATGAATAAGAATTACTTAAGGATTAAAAGAAATCCCTAATCAATTAATGAAACTGTCCCTTTAAATGATGTAGTAAATACACTAATTAGTTTTTGCCAGCAACCGCAAGTAGAAATTAGTAGGAAAATGTGAGAAACACACATACGCCATTTCACACACACCACACACAAAAAAAAAACCCCACAACACACACAGTTGTACCTCCAGTAGCCAGGGTTTGAGTTTGCGGTCCAGGATGATGTCAAAGCCCAGGACCTCGAAGCAGACGCTGTCGCTCCCTGGTGGCTGGCCGGGGCGACACATGCGATAGGCATGCAGCACATGGGGCTCAGCCACTATTAACGTCTTCACCACCAGCTCCTGGCAGGACACACAAAAGAGAGAGAATCACCAAGCTGACAAAGGGAACACAAATCTTATTTTTTTTTGTCCGTTTCATTTATTCAAAAAAGCCATAGACTGCGGTTTTTATAGCTGCTGATTAAAGGTCTTCTTAAACGGAAAATGGTGCAATTAGTAGTCCCGCTTTAATTGCAGGTTGCAAATGCAGACAAATGTTTGAAGCTTTACATTCAGGACAAAACTCTGACAATGGAGTAATCAAGCCACATACTAGACCTGTAACCTACAGACCTGCTCGAAAGAGACTACAATCCAGATTTATCTTCAATTTTCCTGTCTCAAGATACTCTGTCTGTTTAAAAACTAAAAGTGTTACTGGCACAAAAGCTTTTTAATTTCACTCACACACAGCCTTTCACTAATGTTGATGATGGTCCATCTGTGTGGGTAGTAGCTCTCAACCTGTGTTTGTGTGCGTGTGTTTGCATGTATGTTTGCTGGCTGCTACCTGCCTGCCTACTCCCACTGTGCAACTGGGGTAAACATGCTCACTCTGACACACAAATACACACACACACACACACACACACACATACAAACTCTGCACAAAGCTTCCCCTCACCAGTCAAGCCCCATGCAGTGCTGCTGGCCTGCAGTTTGCTCAGTCCAGTCTGACTGCTGGGTGCAGGATGGTAGTATGGTGGTCTGGCCCTGGCCTGATAAGGTGATCTGTCTGTCGCTCACACACCCCCATCCATCTGTCCATCCATCCACCCGTCTGACCCACAGGCTGCACAGCACAAACACCTGCTCCCACCGTTTATGCCCGAAGTCCCCAGTACTGGCTGGTGTGTGTCTGTGTCCCTGCCCCCATCAGCTCCCTCCTTATCCTGAGCCTCCAGCACTGGCCACTGTCTAGCACTGTGCATGTGTGTGCATGTGTGCCTGTATTTTGTTGGGCTTAAATGTTTTTATAAGCCTCTTTGATCGCTTTATTTTTTTTAATATCACCTGAACAACTGTGTATGTTATTTTAGCTATTTTACATGTGTATTTATAATTAATTTATTTAATCTCTGTTTAAATAGCATAACTTCCATTTCTATCTCAGTGTAGTAGAGACAGCAGGATGTCCTGGATGTTAGCGATGTTTTCTAACCATAGGTTCCTCGGTTTAATTGACAGTATGATAATATTAAAAAAATTAAATTTGAGGAAAACTACAGTAAGTCAACCTAAACTGATAAAATAAAAAAGATGAAAGGCATTAACTGGCTGGAATAAGCGTTTGTCATTAACTTAGGTTGTGTGCTGTAGTAAAAAGATGATTATTTTTCCAAATGGGATAAAAACAGTAACCTTGTTTGTTTCTGAATGTCCAAATAGGCCTTAACGGATCAAAAAGAAGCATTAATGTCACTTTAATGATACCTTCTGAAAGGACAAAGAGAGAGTATTTCATTGTACTGACTACTACACGCTCACTCTGACGCACAAAGCTTCCCCTCACCAGTCAAGCTCCACGCAGTGCTGCTGGCCTGCAGTTTGCTCAGTCAGTCTGACTGGTGGGTATAGTGGTCTGGCCCTGCTCTCCATAACTAGCCCATTTGTAGTCAGAAACTGCTCTCAGAATTTTCATCCACATAAAAAAGCTGCAGCTTTACTGGTCAAACCTTGGACACTCTGCCTCATGTAGCACATCAATAGCACCTCAATATGAAAGAGATGTCAGTGTTACACATGAAAATAAAACCTACACGATATTCTTAACCCCCACAGACAATCTTTTGGCAAACAAACTCTCTGACTCTCTGACCGTGACCGAGTCAGGGCAGCCTGCTAGGTCTGTATGGGAACAAAATGTAAGCGGAGAGATGAAAAGAGAAGGAGAGAGGAGAGTGAGCGGAGAGCATAAATACAGAGTTGAAACAAAACGCAGTGTGCGAGTGCGAATGGACAGCACTAACACCAAAGTGCTGCAACTTCTGAAGAAAGAGCAGTGGGAAAAAAAAAAGAGAAAGAGAGCAAAAGAAGAGGGCGGTCTGGCTGAGTCAGAGGGTGACACTGGTGTGTCGCTGAGGGACAAGAAAGATGAGGGAAAAGGAAACAGAAGTGAAGAAAAGGGAAAAACGCTATGGAACTTTAACAGTTTGACAAAAGGAAGGACATGAAGAGATTTTGAGTTGGATAAAAGAAGAGAATAAAGAGAAGGAAATATTAAATAAACAAAAACTTAGCTGAATAGGTAAAGCACTGCCCACAATACCTACAACAGTCTCAGGAGACACTTTGTTTAATATGAACATAGAGAAAAGTGAAAGCTGATTGGAAGAAGAACTAAAACATTGCCTCGAGGAGAGTATAATGACCAATGGGATTTGACTTTGAGGTCGAACACTGGTAGCATGAGAACAGACAGTAGAGACAGAGAACAAGCACTGAGGGAGCATACAACCCAGATGACTAAGGACAGAGGGACAAAAGTCAAGGTCCAGAATTAAATAGATAGTAAGAATAAAAACAGAAAAGAACATAAACCAGAGCTAAAGAAATGGATAGAAAAGAAAGAAGTAAAAGAGTAGTAATAGAAAGACAAGGGGGAATATGATGTGGTGGACCGGTAAGTATAAAAAATAATGAATAAATCAGGAACAGGAGGTAAGAGAATCTTCCAAAAAAGACTTTGTTGAAAGAAAATGAACAAGGTTAAGGTGTTTGGATGAGCTTAGAGTAGTGCCAGATAGGGAGAGCTGCTCAACCTCCAGGAATGATGTTTTCACTGAGCTCTTCCTGGAGTTAAACAAAGCTCTGACGCTCACTGAATTACTGTCATAACAAATCATATCAAACCAGTTCTTTTGTGCAACGTGTGTTGGTTAGTAGCAAGAGTGTTAGTATGTGTATGTGTGTAATGTGCATGTGTTGTTTGCATTTGTGGTGTGTTTTGTTATCATACCGCACATCCTCACTTTTGTGGAAGTACACATCCGCCACAATATGTCTGCATGTAACTGTGTTTGTGTGTGTTTGGGTGGACTACCCACGTACAGAGACGTCTCCCCAGAACTTGGACACATCGTAGTCATTGGTGCGGAGGAACTCAGTGAACCAACTGATGGACCTCTTGCTGCCTTTGTCCACTGTCTCGTCTCGCTCAAAGTTCTCATTGTGTTTGTTGACTGAGTAGTTGGTCAGATGCATGTAGAGCTGGCTCTGTGGAGACAAAAAGGAGTAAGGAGGACATTTATGCATTAGAAATTAACATAAGCATGTTCACACCTGTCTGTGGCAAACGATTTCCGTCTTCATTCAATTTGACAGCAGTGCAACAACTGCATGGGATAGCTCTAACATCGGAACACAGATCCGAGAGAAATAGGCACAATTTTAAAGGCTGAATACACAGACACAGAATACAGAATATCTAACGACAATTTGACCAGATGTGGTAGGTTGCCGAGTTTACGCTCTGTGGTGTACTTGTAAAAGCTCTGACAACATTAAAAAGCTAATGTCATAGCAACAGCAGATCATATTTGCACCAGATGGCATGTTTTGTTTGTTGTTGCATAAAAATCCTTCATTTCTTCTTTCCTCTGAGTTCCTGTATTTGCCAAGCTGATGAAGAAATTAAGCTCTTTTTCACCTGCTTCGTACTCCCAGTAGATTCTTCCATAACTGAAAGTTGTCCAGTACAACCGCAACCTAATACTAAAGGCTACAAATAAACTCAACTGAGTCATGTTGGGTGATTAAATGTTAATTTAATATATGGTGTTCAATCTGTGTATATTGTATTTAAATAGTTGTGATACCTATGACAGTGCTCTTTAGTGTAATTATACCTTTGTCAGTGATGATAATCATCACAGCAAAGAACATCCTCAAGAGTGTTCATGCTCTTATCCCCACAGAACACACACACCCATGTTTTAATGTAAAACATTTTCTCCAAAGTAATATGGGTAGACAAGAGGAGACATAGACATAGAGGAAAAAGAAAAAAACAACACAAACTAGTCCCCTGGCATCAAATAAAGATGGTAAGAAATGGTGCAGCAAAAAAAGTAAAGAGCAGCTCACGGTGCTATATGGGAATAATTCCCATATAGCACCGTGAGCTGCTCTTGCTATATTTCAAAAATGGATGTTCTCAAGGGATCAACTGATAACGAGCACAACAGCAGAACAAGCTTACAATCATAGATCACCAAAATCCCAAGGATTCAGTAACAAAAGGAGTCAGAGCCACAGTGCCCCAGAGTTCCCACAGTGCATGGATAAAATGCATCATTGAGTGGTTGACTATAACTAGCCATTGTGTATCCCTCTCTTTATACAGTATCGCTCATAGTTTAAGACAATACATCCTTTGCTTTAACTTGCATGGTAATAACACAGTGACTGCAGGGCACTTCAGCCACTGATGGCTGTCTGGGAGCCACTCTCTGTGGGATTGAACATCCATCTCCGTGGCACGACTCACTCCATCATGTGTCACAGACTGGGTAAGACAATACACACTTGTGTCACAGTAGGGGGCCAGCGTGTCTATGTGTGCGTGTGTTCATATTGTAGATAAGCATCATGCTTGATAGGAAGCTCTCTCTGTGTGTGTGTGTGGGTGTGTGTGTGTGTGTGTGTGTGTGTGTGTGTGTGTGTGTGTGTGTGTGTGTGTGTGTGTGTGTGTGTATGTGTATGCACCCTATCATCAGCAACAGACTGTGCTTCAGCAGGTGCAGAACCTCAAGGCAAATATGAGCGGCTTGATATTACAAGAGACATCTGGCATGTGGACATTTACGCTCAGCTGTGTTCATACAGTATGCCTGCACATTCTGTGTGTGTGAGAGAGAGGGAGAGAGAGAGAGAGAACAGCCTTACAGTTGTCAGCATTTGGGCACCGTTGTGTATATGAGTACTTGCGTGTTTTTGTGATCATACAGAGATTACACTGCGTTTTCAAATCTCTGTCCTCCTGTGTGTTTGTGTGTACAATTTGATTATATTGAGGTACACAAGCCCATTGCTACGGTTCACGGGAGTGCGTGGCAAACACTTTGTTCTGTGAATCTACTGGTACTATCTGTCTGTAGTGCATTTCTGACTCGCCTGATTGGCCACACACTAGGTATTGCATGTACTTTCTGATATAAATCCATGAACAGTTGTGTGGAACTCAACAAACTGGTCTTGTGCGCAGATGGTACACGGATATAGATGCATGTACTGTTATTAGGTACACGGTATGTGTCTACGACCATGTGTGTCTCCAAGTGTATGTGCAGCTTCTGTGAAGCACTTTGTAACTTTGCTTTGAAAACTTCTACAAAAACAAAGGCTCTTATTATCATTATTACTGAAAGTATTATTGACTGTGACTCACCAGGTTGGCCTCACTGGGTGCATGGTACTTCTCTGTGCCCATGCGAACCAGGCCGTCGTTGTAGAGAAAAATTCGAAGTGGGTCGCAGGAAGTGACAAGGATGTAGATGCGTAGGTCAAACTTGTAGCCCTCCATAAGGAAGGGCTTGTCCAGGTACTCCTGAACGATAAAGTGCTCCTGGGCTGGCAGCTTCTCACAGTTACGGATAAGCGAGATCCTGGATAGACAGACATTTTATTAATCCTTGGGGGGGAAATTGGGGTGTCGTCACCAGCATAATAAAATATGGCATAGTAAAGACAAAAAAGATAATTAAAAAAATGATAGATGGAAGCACAGCAAGGACCATGAACATGACTGATGACTTTGGCACTGTCTTATATACGTGAAGCAAAAAAATTGAGCCAAACAGTATACAGATTTTATGGGTTTCAACACAATATTTCATTTCAAGTCATCAGGAAAAGTTAGTGGCATTTTTCTGGGGCCACATCTGCCTCTTATGCTGATACTTTCAATCTTCACATTTCAAGATTAATATGCCCTGCTTCTGTTTTTCAAAGCAATGGATAATACATATAATGTTCTACAGGAGCAATAGATGCAATCAGAGGGAGAAGACATGTCCTTACTGTGCATCGTATGACTTACATTTACACAGAAGATGTTCAGCCTTTCGGAGTGAAATGATCAGAGTCATGATGCCCTAATGGCATCTGTGTGAACTTCCACTGTTAAATAACCTTTACTGAAATCATATGTAAATGAGAGCACTCAGCATGCCTCAGGTTAAGTTTGAGTGGGACAAGCTGTTTGGCTCTGTAGGGCATGGAATGGTCAAACTCGGTTCATTACCTGGCCATCTAAATATCACAGTTGAAATATAAATGTACAAAAAACAGACAGGTACAACACAAATGCTGGTTTGTCTGGCCAAACCTCTGCGAGCATCTGGAGAACATTGGGATTTTCTGAAGCCCAACTGCACTCTGTCTGAATGGCACAGTAGATCAAATGTTGTAGCAGGGTCTTTTAGCTGTGGGCAGGTTAATAGGAGCAGACATTGTGCTCCGTTTCAACCTCAACTCTAATTCATTTGCTTTGGTCTCATGTCACTGGCACTCAGACCTTATAGTACACAGGCCATTGCTAGCTGGACTCAAGAATGAGTTGTGTTTGTGTTCATCCGTGTGGCTGTGCACGCAAGGGTGAGGGGCAATATTTTGAAAACTTTGTGAATGCAAAAGTGTGTATGTCTGTTGGTATGTGTGTGGGTGTGTGTGTGTGCAGGGAGGGTGAGGGGGTCGTTGTTAAAACAATCTCCCACTATGTACAAGCATCGCAACTGACCTATATCACCATCACTCATAGTTAAGGCAGACTTGGCCTAAATTTCTTACATGCACAGGAAGGGCTGGGAGGCTCCATTATACACATGCAAGCAGGCATACCACACACACAAACATAATATTTGGCCAGGATGTAAAGACTTGATTGTTCAAAAAGTACAGTTTGAGGTACTGAAATATTGTGGCACCATGCCACCAGAGGGCAAACATCGTTCTGCTTTGTGGCTTCTGTAATCACAGCCACAACATACAGTATCTTGGGAACAGTGCAGTCTGTGTTGTTTTATTCTAACCGAAGAATCCACCTGTTCGGTTAACTAATGAAGCAAAAACACCGGAGCATTGTTGATGAGCTTCTAAGTGTGAATCTCGACTGTGATTCATTTATTGCCTTTCAGGTTATGATGAAGGAGGGTCTTAGTTCAGCAGTCCTCCCTTCAGAGGTTTGATAAAACCATGCCAGCTTGTAGATCAGTTTTTTTTTTGTATAATGTTGTTACTTTCAGCTTCATCAGTCACTCCTCATCACCACGTGCCCCCACCAACCAAAGTACTGACGCGTTATAGACGAGCACTTCATTGGACTGCTTATCAGAGTACTTGAACAGAAAAGAACGGGGAGAAGTGGATGGGAGCCTGACCGACGATGTGAGGGGCCCTCCGAACAGGCAGTCAGCAAGCTGAATGATGAGGACAGGGTTAACGGTGTTAGTTAGTCGAGGAGGAGTAGCTGAGGAGAAGACGACGTGATTGATGAGCTGGGGTGTCAGATAATCACGGCCCACTCTCCCCTGCCTATTTAATTTGGCACCGGAGGGGATCTCGCCTTTTTAAGCCCTGCACGCGCTTTTATTTTGTTTCCCTTATAACAAGCTGCGCTTCAGACACAAACAATAACTTCATTTAGTTGGCCGACTGAAAAATAAATTACAGGGGGTAGATATAACTTAATTTCCTGCCGCGTCACACCATGCACAAAAAATAGAGAAAAATCTAATCTTGTGAGCCGCCCGGCGTTGAGTGGACGAGCTAAACTCATCATCTTTCATATTCTTAATGTATTGCAATAATTCAGCCTTTGCTGCCTTTTATTCTTTAATAAATAAGGGCTTAGTGCAGCATGGAGTTATAAGTAATGCTCACATTATACCAGAAAGGACAAATTCAAAGAGAATCAGAGGGAAAGGTGAAGCACACTGAGCTATTTGTACTTCAATATCCCCACCTATTGGTGCCAGTGATTAATGCACTCCAAAGCACAGTCTCCATACATGGACTTCAGGGATCCTATTTTCAAAGAATAAAAAGTCAAAAAGTTATTAATTAATAAATATTCAGCAAGTTTCAGCTTATTCTCAAGAGCTCAAGAGAGCTATGTGCAAAGCAAAAATAAATTATTTTCAGAGGGCCTTGTTTTTTAGCCAAATCATAATATTCACAGTTTGGCCTTTCTTTTAGTTAATATTTTATCTTATGAAACAGAATTATTTGTAAAACCAACCACACTTGTTTCTTTGAACTTGAACCACTTGGCATTTTCACTTTATTTCAGTCTCATTCTTGACCTCCATGCAGGTCAAATCATAGCTGAAGAGAACTGTTTTGAGTGCCAAATGAGTTGGTTTGGCTCATACATAGAACATTAGAATACTAGGATTATTTTAAACATAATTTAACATACTTGCATTGTTGACCATACATCCATTTTTTTGGCACTTATCCTAGTCAGTGTTGTGATGGCAAAAGTGTGAACAGAGAAGCCCAAATGTCCCCAGGGCAGGGAGCTTCCTAATTTTCATCAACTTCTCCTGGGAAGGAGATGTCATCCCTCCAGGGTGTAGTGGCTCTGCCTCAGGATCTCCTCCTAGTCAGTGCAGTCCCTGAAACTCCTCCTAAAGCCAGGGAGCTTTCTTACTTGATGACCAAATCAGCTCAACAGAGCTTTAGAATCAATACCACCCCATGCTCAGCCAGGCTTATAATGTTGAGTTTTTTTGACACAGTGTCAGAGGGGAGTACATTTTGTTTTGTAATGCTTTGTCCACCCCTATTTACACACAGCACTTCTCAATATAATGCCAAATACAACACTGCTCGAACCGTTGAAGCTCCACCAAAGTGCACTGAGTGTTGGATTTTTACTTACGAGTCAACCTAATATACCATGCTTGCAGTTCAGAAAAGTTATGGGCTGATTCTCTACATACTTTGTGATTTCAGGATAGTGAAACCATACCATAGAAATGTGACATAACAACCTGAGATAGGCTTTAACCCCATGGGACTGCAAGTATGAAATATGCATTCAGGTACATATTGTCATCTGGATGAAATATGCATTCAGACGACACAGGTACGCTCATCTTTTCATAAAGAGATGCTATTGAGAGACAGAGTCCCCTGCAGCAGCCATCGTGGTCCATTTTCTAGTCTGACTGGTCTCTGCTGATGGTGCCTCATAAAGGAATCCAATAATCACATGCAGAGACCTTCAGGGAAGGAACTACAGTAACTGCCAGGGACCTTGTGTGTGTGTGTGTGTGTGTGTGTGTGTGTGTGTGTGTGTGTGTGTGTGTGTGTGTGTGTGTGTGTGTGTGTGTGTGTGTGTGTGTGTGTGTGTGTGTGTCCTCCACTGGCAGCGATAACCTCTGATTTATGAAGAGTGTGACCATCGAGGACAATGAACCAACAATGAGATTCACCACACCCTCTCAGCTCAAATACTCAATCTGGTCCTAGCCCTAATGCTATTTCCATAGACACCCAAGCCAGGATAACAAACCTGGTATTGCCTTGTTTTCTGGGTTTGTCCTCTATTTCCTCTACTGCTAATTTCCTCCTCCACTCACTCACTCTCGTGCTTTCTATCCCCTACCTTAGTCTCTCCTTCTCATTCTCGACCTGGTTCCTCTCTGTCTTGTAGTCAGTGTGTTAGAGACACTTGCTAGCCTCTGACCTACCCGTGACCCATGGCTCCATTAGCGGGTTTGACAATAAAGGTCTTCTGCTTGCGTTTCCTGCGTAGCTCCTTAACGTAGTTCTGGAACTGAGTGTACTCAGCGGGGAAGATCCAGGTTTTGGGTATGAAGCTGTACTCTTGAGGCTGGCACTTGATCATTCTTGAGAAACAAAGAAAAGATCATTTTACACTTTTAGAATCATCTGGACTCTTGTACATGTACTATTTATACTTTATAAGTCGCATTTAGCACAGTTATTACAGTAAGAATTTATTTTGTGCTTTTACAGCGGTGTCTTCTATTTATTTGTGCTTGTGATGGTGGAGTGCTGCAAGTACCCAGTTGTAACTTCATAGAGTGCCAGCTGGCTGAACACTGAGCTTTGAAATGCTCTTGTTTTTGCACAACAGCAACTGAACCAAAGTACTCTCATTTTGTGTTAAGAGAGACAGGAAACTTACTTGGACATGTTTCTTGCTAGGCAGTCTTTCCGGCAGATTTCGCCCATACCAGGGAAATGGTTAATTCTCTGCAGAGGGACAGGCAGACATAATAATGTTGTTAGGGCCATTACGCCACTCAATTCCACCCCCACCCCTTCATAAAAATGAGCACATTAAAGGCAGCAACCTGAAGTGAGCTTACAATGTTCTGACATTTATGCCCAATTACGGACTCAAAACAAAAAGGTGACGCTGAGACCTTTCTCAACCCTTATTTAGTTTACCGTGGTTTTTTTATACTATTTAAAGGTTGGGGAGGGAAGAGGCGAGAAAAAAAAAAGATCAATCTCAACTCCGAGGGGCCGAGGTAATTGGTTCTGCATCGCAAGCTCCTGCAGTGACAGTTGAATGAATTGCTTTGAATGCGCTGAAAGGGGGGTGGGGGGTAAAGTAAAAACTCTGGGTTTTCTGTATTCTTTGACCAAATGAGCCTGAACAGGGGCGTTAATTAGGCTCGTATGAACTGAAACTTGACAGCAAACTCTCACAGTACATCACTAAATGGAAAAAAGGAAAAAATTAAAAGAGGGAGAGAGAGAGAGGAGAGGGGGAAAAAAGAACGCAGAGTGTAAAAGGATCCTGTGATTATTATCCAAACGAGACAGACGTAATTAGGGATTCGGAAGAGATTGCACAATTATGCCAATGCCGCGAGACGACGTGGCTTGTGAGGGGAAATCAAAACCAATTGTTGAGGGACTTCTACTTTTCTACTGAGAAATTATCTCATGAAACACCACAGCAACGCGAGAGAGCAAGTGAAAACAATTGACAGCAAATCACCAGTTCCATGTGAAACATTAGCCACATTGCTACACATTAAGCTGTTACAGTATTTGTAATATTCAATCTATTTAGCTGAACTTTTGCTGCCCCTGTCCTAACAAGCCATACTCTTTCTAGCTTGTGATTTAATCAATCATTAGTGCCCAGTCTAATCAAATAAGCACTCGGGAAGATGGATGGCTAACGCTCGGAGCAGCAGCAGCAAGTTCACTCAGCAGGACAGGGAGGTCAAACAGAGGTAAGATCACTCTCTGACTAGTAAACAGAACACAGAGCAATCCTTGTTGTTTGGGCCCGTCTTGTCAACATCACCAGTGACATCTGAAACCTGACCCCCACCCCCTGCTGCCCACAACTTGTCAGTCTACTTGTCAATCTTCCCGTCAGTCTCTTTTTTTGTAAGCTGTTGTTCCCCCTCCCTCTGTCCATCCCCCCTCTCCTATTTGCTGTCTCTCTCTTACCTCCTTCGGTCTGAGGAAAAGCAGATGGCCATCCATCTTCACTTTTTTCCTTTCTTACTATTCTATTTTATTTACCATATTTAAACTGAATCTTCTTACCTTTCCATTGCTTTCCCCAATTCCGTATATCCCAAATTTCTCTATAGACCATCCTCTTCCCATCTGTTCTAATCTCTTTTTTCCTTATATTTTCCTTTACCTGCTCTTTTACTTCTACTGTAGACAGGTCTAAAAACGTATTGTAAGGCAGGGTGGTGTGCACATTATACACAAACTGATTAGGTTCATCAGATTCAGAAACCTGAGCTATGGTCTCGATGGAAACTGCTCAATTTCTGTAAACTGTACTATCTTGCAGTATACTTTCTGTATACTGTTTTCATTTATAGGATAAATAAAATCAATGGTATTTTATGTATTTTTCCTCACATTAAGTACATTTGAGTGGGGTTTTTTAAGCCCTTTGAGATTTGTGACTTTGGCTATAGAAGTTAAATTGACTTCACTTGAAAAAGTAACTGCAACTCAGAAACTCCTCATTTTCTCCTAGTTTCCCCAATATGAGTTAATGATGATTGATATCCACATGTTGAAATGGTTCTGTTCTTTTTTTACGGTCACACACTGTTTTATATACCAGACGGTTTGCTGTTGCTGAGTGTCCTCTGATGGATTTTGTTCATAAGAAGTAACTTAAAAAACTTTATTAAATTATTCTTATTTGAACTGAAATGCCACATGATCACTTATTTGGTGAAAAATAGGTTTCAGTATGATCATTATAAAATGTTCACACATACAAAGAGTAATGTTTACTGACAAATCTCTTTGTTGGCAGGTGTTATGTGCTCACTGCTACGGTTAGCCAGCGCCCCATCAGCACTGCATGTGCTAGCAAATATAATGATTGTGATATCTGCTAACATAGATTCATTTAAGGTGTAACTTCTCCCAATACAATCAGATTTTTGACAGTAAGTGTTAATAAACCTTTTGTTACAGTTCATTATATATCACATTATTGTGCAAAATATTTAGAAGCATGTTATAAGGCCTTGAATCACAGTGGTTCAGTAGTTTCTTCTCTTTATACGAGTGTATCTAGGAATGCTTTGCTGTAATAAGTTAGAATAATCTGCAGATATTGTGTCATGTTTATCCATCTCAGTAGCTCAGTCAGTAGGGACTTGGAAACCGGAGGGTGGTCAGTTCAAGTCCACAGTATAGAGCGTGGTGGTTCAGCTCCAGGGTGAGGTGCCCCTGAAAGCACTGCCAGCGCTGCAGGGCACAGAACGCCTAACTGCTCCCAGGGCACCACTACATGGCAGCCCATCACTTCACCGTCTCTCTACATTTGCATATCCATGAGCCCTGTGTGTGTGTGTGTGTGTGTGTGTGTGTGTGTGTGTGTGTGTGTTTGTGTGTGTGTGTGTGTGTGTGAGATTGTATTTCAGGCCTATGTGTGTGAAGATTCAAGGGAAAAAAAAAAATTCTCCACTGGGGATCAATAAAGTAAATCTTCTTCTTTTTCTTCTAACCAAATGAGTATTTGATGGAGTGGATTTAGTTTTCTGTTTAGGAAAATAATTTAGATCAAAATTCTCCAAGCAGGGAAGGGTTGAAGTAGCTGTCATTTTTGTTTCATCCTTTAAATCCCTTTTCTTCTGGTGCATTTCACTGTTTAATTTCAGAGGCATCCCTTTCACCTTTTCTCTTAAGGAATCCTTCAGGAATGTCCCTTTCAACTAGTGATATACACCATTAGGTGTTATTAGGCAGGTTATTTTGTTCTGTTACGTTGTTTGTAACAGAACACATATGATCTTTTTCGGATTTGCTCCTCAAAACCTTTCATTTCCAAAGTTAGATACCTCCACTGGCAGCTGATTGGTGTCATGGTCTTTGGCTGTTGGCCACTGAGCAGCTTTACTGGAGCACAAGTAAAGGTTAAGATCCAGATTTTCCTGTTCATTGCAGCAATTGAATCTGACACCCTTATACTAGGCTACCATACAAGGTGTGCTGACTTGACATGGTAGCCATGCAATGTACCTGATAATTCCTGAGCTCAGCGATTTTCTCGTGCTGCACGGCCGAGTCATTCCAGATGAGGTTGGCAGTCTCGTCGTCATCTCGGGACTTGATAAAGTCCATTTCGTTGATGACTATACGAACTAGGGGGGGAAAAAATCACATTAGACTGTATAATAGATTGTAAAAATATATAGGGTATAAATAAACTTTGTACTCTTTTGACTTTCAGAAGCTATATTCATGATGAAAACAACTAAAAAAACCTTATAAATTCAAAATGAGAGCAAGATGTGACTTCGCTCACACATTTTCCAAGGCTTGAATTCTGTTTATACATACATTTAGAGAGAAATGAGTCCAGGAGATTATAGATCAAAAAGCTCACAGCAATATTTACCATTCATGGAATGGTTGCGGAGCAGCCAATCGTAATGCCTCTCTCCAAAAAGATAAATTAATTGTCTGTAATGCATTCAAATCCCACTGGAAAACCCCATAGTATGAGAGATAGGTGGCAAGCCCATTTGGACATTAATCCGACAACTATTCATTATTCAGTGAGTAATGAAAAATTCATATGCCCTAACGAAACAAGGTATTAATTAATTTCTTGAAAGCCTTCACAAACCTGGAGAAGGCTTGCCTAATGTTGCATGATGGCACTTGAATGGGAAAAAAGTGTTTCCGATGTAACTTCATCCATCTGTTAACGTCGGCAGAGGCTAACAGTGGTCTGCTAACTGGAACAGGGAGGGTTTACATCACAGCAGGCCTATGCTTGGTAGAGTCTTTGAGTACAAAGCTATAATCAATCCTTTCTTACGTATCTCACCATCCTTAGGGCCAGAGTTTACATTCCCTTCTCAGTGGGTGTAAAGCAAATTTCCAACACCACATTCCTTGACCTTTAACCTTTACCTGTAATACTATCAATTCTGGAACAAAAAAAGACAGCTGCAAAAAAGGTAACAGCAAAAATTAGGCATCCATCTGGCCCTTAGTGTTAATTTTCCTTCAAAATAGCCTTGCACTACCCTCCGAATGGCCACTGTGAGGGTCTCGTCACAGCTAGCAAACTGACTCACAGCTAGACTCCCATCTACCTACAGGATCCCAGCAGCCCCCCAACTTCTACTTGCTGCTGCTGACTCCTTAGTTTCATAGGGTTGTAATTCACCCCTGAGAGCTGTGCTGCCACACAATATACTGAACATGTAAGGAGTGCTTACTTTGCTCTTCTGGCCCTTCTCAAAAAAAAAACCTCACTGCCAAGTTAAATTACCTCAGTAAAGATGTATGTATGTATGTAAGGCCGAGCTGTCTCTGTGTGAACTGTTTGGCATCACTGCAACTCTATTAGGTTTAATTTAAAACATTAAATAACGGCCTCCTTCAAACAATTCACCACAGCAAATTAGATTTTATTGTTGAGACGACATTGTGATTGGATTTGCTGTGTTTTGAGGGGCAGACTAAGCCATACTAACCACATAAAATGTTGGTCTTGCTTTCTGATGAAATTTCCATGAAAAAAATCAAAATAGAAATTCAGAAGCTTGAAATCTGAGGCGTTTTATTACTGCATACACAATGTAGCGAGATCTGGCATAAAATTAGCTTACCAGACAAGACCAGTGATCATTTATTGTGTGTTTATTAATGTTAATGCATTCAACATGTCTATGTAAGTAAAAACATACACTACTGCTATTTCAGGCAATTCCCCTGTTTTCAAACAAAAAACATCAGTACAAGGATAATGTACATCAATGAAAGGATTTCATCAGCCATCTCAAAGACAGCCTCTTTTCATCCTACACTAGCTCCTCCATTAACATGAACTCTTTGATCAAAAGATACCTTATCTTTGCAGACTGACATTTATGTAGTGCATATGCCTGTTTTAGCTCCTTTTCAAGCTGGTTTTTAATCATGTCTAATATCTTTATTGAACATGTTTCAGCACTGTTGTCATTACTGTGCTTTCAAAAGCATTTTAATATGATTAGTGATAGGTTACCGTACCGATCTCATATTTGGTGCCAGCAACATTGGCGCTGATAGTGCCTTTCTTCTTTTTGGTGCGCACCTTCCTCTTCCCACTGCTGTGGTAGGATCCCACAGATGGCCCGTTCACGGGGGACGCTCCTTGATCCTCTGGAGGAGGAGACAGAATACAACAAAACTAGATACAGTCACAGCTTGTGCTCCAGACTGGGAGGGGAGCAGGCGTATTTTAATATATTTTCCTCATTTCTGCAGGGGATTTACTGGGGTTTGTTTATGGGGCTAGGGTGTAAATGAATTAGGCGACTAGTTTGTTATAGCTGCATGCATCATGATCCTTTTATTATAATCTGTGTGTGTGTGTGTGAGTGTGAGTGTATGTGGGGCTCTATGCAGGAGAGAATAGTACTGATGAACAGGCAAGCAGGTACATTATGTATATAAGCACACTTGGGCGTGTGTGTATGCTTATGAGTGCCACAGTGTATGTATAACCTTTAAGAGAACAACCCTGTCCGTCCGGAAAGAGTTGGGCCTCTCTTACTCACCTCCTTCATTGGGAGGGGAGGGCATCTCAGGGGCTGGAGGAGTGAAGGGGCAAGCCAAGCTTTCTGCCAGGCTTGGCGGGCGGGTGGGCCTCGCAGGGTTCTCACAGCACGCTCCAAGGGCTCTCTCACACTTGCACTAGTTAGTCTTCCCTGTCTTGGGCTGTATGGACGATGTGGATCAGGATGGCCCAATGGATCATCTGAGCATCTCCCTGGCGCCTTTCAGCAGCATAAAGAGCAGCAGCAGAGTCTGAGTAGGCTGAGGAGTTAGAAGGGGATAGCGGTGGTGGGGAAGAGCGGGAGGGGGATGGCCTCTCAAGGGTCTACACAGCCCCAGCTTATTTACAGCCCCAAGAGGAAACAGGGAGGGGAAGGGGGGGTGGACAGAGGGGTGGATAGGAATGCCTGTAGAGGAGAAGAAAAAATATATTTTACTGCTGCAGACCAGTAATAGTAGACATACTGCTCGAAAAAGTACACACTGTGGATCTGTGTGTATTTCCTCACTGGACTGGAGGGCATTGGACATGCTTTTGATGTAAAGCAGCAGCACACAGGCCTATCACAGGCTACATCAGTCAATCTGACACTGAGCGTAACAGTTCAGTGAGAACTCGGCCCAGACACTGCAGTACTACTAATGAAATAATCTAAAGGTGTGTTATGTCCGCTGGACTAATTGGTGTTCCATGGAATTTACTAAGCAATATTAATGTAGTTGTCAAGTAAAGGGCTTGTAGCATCTCATTGTGTCTCATGTCTGTGCCAGTTGGGTTTCATTGTATGGCTGAGAGGTCACTTTACTCAAACAGATGGCGTCTTTACAGTGGTTTGTTAAAAGGATGCTTCGGGCTACGATCAGTGCAGGGAATTAACACCAGCCGTCAGCCAAATCCTGTTATTGTTTGGCTGTGGTCTGAGACTGTGTCTTAAACCTTTATTGAGATGTTCTGCCATATTTGTTTTTTTGCTGGCTGGGGCAGCATAGTGACTAAGTAGTTAGCACTGTTGCCTCACACTGTTTGAGTCTCTGGCTTCTTTGTGTGTGGTTTGCACGTTCATATTTTGTCACTGTAGGTTCTCCTGTCCTGGTGCTCTAGATTTTCAAAGACGAAGCAGTATTCAGGTGGACTGGAGACTCCAAACTACCCACAGGTATGAATCTGTGTGACTCCGTCCAGCGATGGACTGGCAAGTTATAAATTGTATCCCCAATTTACTGCATGCTTGGAACGATTCCAGCTGCTCAGGATCCTTGCAAGTCAAATAGTGCACGTAGCTGCTTAATTTTAAGCTGACAATGATCCATGCTAACAAACTGAAGGGTCGGACAGTTTGGGAACCACTGCCTCGTAAAGTAAAGTTCCTCTTTACAATTATAATAGTGTTTTCAGTTTTCAGTTTTTCCATATGATGGCAAATACTAACTGTTGCATGTTTGAAACTCAGGTTGCATATTTGAAACATGAGGACTTCACTAAGATATTCCATGCATGCAAGGCCAAAGTATAATCAAGATGTCATCATTATGAAGAAGAAAACTAAACAAGAAAATGTGGATGTCCATGTGAGTATCAGTCCATGAATTATAGTAACAGACATAACCACATAAACTTTAAATCATAGGTATACACCAGTTAGGCTATATCTACAGTACGCTGGCATATGATGCCTCTATTGAATTTAATAAAGAGATCAACAGTAGCCTCTAGTGGTGAGAATATGCTGAAAACTCATCCCTCTACCCATCTGTAGATACTGTCCACACACACACACACACAGATACACCTGTTCACATCAGAAAATATCCACACCGGCTGACTTGAAAAGCAACCCTATCGATTCGATCAGCATCCTCTGGACAAATTAAAATGGGGAAACAATCCAATCGCATTACTCGATCATTCAGTAGTCTTCACTGTCCGCCTCTTGGTCTGCCTGTTGTAAGCACAAGACATTGATCCTGGGGAGGACAGAGACTGGAATGAGATCAGCACAGAGGGGGAGAGCAGCAACAAAGAGTCACAGTGATAAAGTGAGGCAAGCTGTGCTGATGACAACCTGCCCCCACCTCCCAGTGGTGTACTGGTTCTCTGCCAGGGAACACTGTTTCTATAGGAGCACTGGACCTCGGTGTCATGTAAACCCTCAGGAACAAGGCCTGACAGGCACATTTGATGCAACTAAACACCTACAAACACACACGCAAGACAAGAACACACATGTATAGAGTATACATGCAAGAAATCTCTGAAAAACACACACAGTCCCCAGACAAGGGCAGTGATGTTATTCTTAATTATTCTGCACAATATTGCAGGACTATTAATCTTCATAATTTGATTGCACTTTTTGTGTTTTATCAGCATTAAGTATCTTAATTTTTTCAGCTACAGTACACATACAAAATTAAACATTTAATGTTGCTGTCTCAATATTAACAATTATTAATGGCGTTAAAATAGTTTCAAAGTGCTAATATTTTTACATTATACTTGGATTCAAAACTAAAGTCAAGCTACCATGATAACTGAGAGAGGAGCACATTCGCAAATAGGAATTTAGTTCTTGCTTCTAGATCTTCACTGATAATGTGATTAAATGTGTTTCCGTGTGCCTCTTAGAGTGAAATGTCAACACAGACTTTTATCTAGGCTTTTTGCCTGACTACCATATAAGGTCACAGTTGAGGCACTTATCGCAGTGATGGATGACCGAGCAAAAAGAGGCTCTGCCGTGTTTTGCTCATTTGTCTTAGTAGTAGTAGTGGTTATCAACCACAAGATGGCCTAGTTTTACTGGCATTCACATGATAGAAGTGGGACTTTTATGTAAACAGGAACCAGATTAGAATAACTGTTATCTCTGACTGATAGAGGGATGTGTGCATCTTGTTAGGATGTTGCAGGTTTGAACTGAGCTCAGTGACCATTGTCACATAACATATTCTTCATCTTCTTCATCACTTCAGTACTTTTATGATTTCCTGTCTAATAAAATCCAAAAGATACAATCTTTAAATAGAGACAGTACAGGCCATATATGCTGAATTTTTTATAGCATATTTTACTCTCATATACAGTATGCTGTTTTATTCTGAAACATCTGTGAGCTTCTTCTTATTCCATGGAAGTTTCATTTTTGCCCCTCTTTGCAGTTTCTATCACTCTTTTGGTAAGTTTTGAATACAACATGAGAACATCAGCGTTCAGACTTTGGAAGCATTACTTTCCAATATGTTCTACTGCTAGCATCATCACAAATAATCCTTCAGTGAAGCATTTACAACGAAATCTTAACTAAATCCCCTCCACTAAGTAGAGCCTCTACTGTTAATCCTCTGATGCAATGACACTTTTTCTCCAACAGAGTGAGCCAGAGGGCCACCCCAGCCGAGCTGAGCTGAATGGGCAGAGCTCCTATGGATGCTGAGCTCATGCACTTCCCCACTGCCACACACAAGATAGAAAGGCTTCATTGTAGAGAGTCAGCGCTTCATGCTGCTCAGCTGCATCGCTCTCTGTTTAACAGGCTCTAAATGCATGGCTCTGTATGTCTGTCTTTCAGGGCATAGTTATGCAGAATCTTCCCCCTAATTATCCAGTGCTTTGTTAATGTGTGTGTCATGTTACAGTACATCATGGTTTCTCAGAAAGATATATTTTTTTATTGCAGCATCACAAACATTTACAGAAACAGTAACGTGGTTCTAGTTCAAAACTCTACCAAGAAATTCCTCTTCACACAGGTATTATCTCACTATCATAAGGCAATGGCACTTCAAAAATACAGCACCCCGTTTTATATCAAAAGCTAATCCAAAAAGACAGCACAAATAGCTTTACAAGAAGTGTGCCAAAGGAAAAGGCTGATCCAAAGTGGTAGACTGTTTATTCATGACAAGCAGTGTCACACCTATTACACAAGTCCCTTCAACAACCAGCGGTACATCCCTGAGGGGTTTGTTTTATGTTCTCCCTGCCTTACATGAAAGTACATCTTGAAAGCAGTCGTCAAATACAGAATCAATAGAGAGGCTCGGGGAATCACCACTCAGCTTCACGTTATGCTGAAAGAGCAGGATTTGCAGACACAGGTTCTTTTCTGTGCATGCAGTACGTGCCCTGGTCTTGCCATTACAGCAGTGTCGGGACCTTGTGGTATGTATAACCGCTTAAAAGGGTAAAGACACTGTCTAAGAATGGAGACATGTACTATTACACATTCTTGTCTGAAAAGCAAATGTAAACAAAAGAATTTTAGAGTAGAAAATTTACCTTTTGTCTTAAAAATAGTATAAACCCTTTTCACAGGACATTTTCTTACACTTAAAAGGCACAATGCCAAAGTGATTCTGTACATCTACAAGGTATAAAACATACAGTCTCTTTGCATCCATGTGTCCCTTTTATAAAACTATTTCTATCTTTAACTATATGGTCACTACCACAACACCGTCCCGCCAGGAAAAATGATAGCCGAGTTTGCGGACTACTCTCACAGGAAAGTAGTTGGTTTAGAATTGCCAGCGGATCTAAAATTAGCTCTAACCAGTGACCCAACTCTGGCTTCGTGCCTTCTTCCAGATATGAGGAGGAACAAGTGTGGGAGCTATCAGCCCACGGGGGACTGAAATACACCAACAAACAGCTGAGTGCTAAGCTTAAGTTTATCAGAAAGAATCTACAGTAATAGACGCAAAATGGCCAAATGTAAAATTCAGCCAATGCTTTAAAAATGCTGTTAAACATTTATATTAACTACAATCTTGCCTGACCTTATTTTGTGTAAGACGAAGAGGAGCAAACAATAAAGCGTTTGTTGAAAAGCACTGCACTGTTTTAACAAAGTGAGCTTAACACGTATGGAGGTGTATCATCAACACCTACGAATACAGGTTCAACTGTTAAACAAACACTTTACATTGCATTAAATTCTCACCTAATCATGTGTGATTATTGTCAGATAAGACTGGGTTATAGTTGAGCAAGGACAAAAATGTGTACAAGCCCAGCCTTTGGAGTGAACACATATGCCAAACCTACCTGTATTTATGGTGTTATCTCGCTTTAGAGGTGTCAAATAGCAACCAAGCGTAATCGCTTCTAATTTTGTTGCAACACTGCAACAAATATCCTGTATTAATCCAAAAACTTAAGGCTGCCAACTGTAGCCTGCATGAAAAGAAAAGATTACACATATAATATCCGTCTTAATAGCCTTATCTCTGGGACATGTCCAGAAGGCAGAATGCCAACCAGAACTCATATGTCATGCTGATATTATTATGTAATCCATCTGCTATGTTGAGAATGGTCATCTCCAGGGTGCTCTATCACCATGTGGTCTCTAAGTGGCACACTGGACTGCAAACAGACCAGACTAAATCAAATGGCTATTCAAAGACCACATCCCTTGTGTAATTAACCAGGGTCTGAGCATCCAAAGCTAAGTGTTAGCAATAGTATTGCATGCCAAGACAGATTTCTTAAGGGTACTTGCAAAGCTCGCCTGAGCTAAGGGGCTATGCTACTAAGAGCAGCAGGGGGTGGGGGGTAAATGCCTGTCACAGCATAGCAGTCATGGTATCTTCCAGACCACTGAAAAGATAGTAGGCCATCCCCTTTCACAGATCTGGTCTATAATGCAGGATTAGCGCAAACTGGATTTCTTAAATCTCACATGTCATATCTTGGATATTAGGATTTGTTCAGGAAATTGGCTGCCCTCACAAATAAAATGTCCCAAAGCACAAGCAGGTGTATTATTGCTATGAATTAGTTGCTAGCAAGCAGCAGCTAACGTTAGGTTGCTAGCCACTTGTATAGGTCAGGAGGAATTGATCAAACAGGGGAAACAATCTCACAATGTTCAGTCAACTTGCCACCATCAAATGCAACACTCGCGTTTAACAGCCCTGCGAATGAGGACGCTTTCTTTTTCACGTTGCTTGAAAATGTAATAACACATTCCCCAATGAGATACCGTGTGATGATTAAATGGAAACAGGATGACCCTGTGCTACTCTACAGTTAGCTTAGCCGCACCACCTAGCAAAGGATGGAGAGGCGACGGCGGAGTAGCCCGTTAACGTTACCTTGTTTGTTCCCGGCAGTGCAGCTCTTTAGCTGGTCTCCTCCGAACGACACAGCCGCCTGTTACTACGGGAGACACATGGGTCTGTTGAGAGAAACCGTCCGGTCCGGATAGTTATTTTCACAGTGTGTATGGTGTGTAATAAGACTGACGTTGGTTGACAGACAACAATAAAAAATAAAAAAAAATCTGTATCTTGTAGACCTCTTGTGTGCTATGAGTGCTGGAGCCAGTCCATGGGCGAAACCATTCGCTTTGTGACAGGGGGGGGAGGGAAAGGGGACCAGAAAGAAGTGCTGAAGTTTGCATTCTCAGTCTGGTGACATTTAGTGTACTGTAAGGGACGTACATGTTAAGTCAGCACATACAATGTTCACTTCTTAAGTTGTTGTGAGTGAAAATAAAAGTCTTACCGCAGCTGCGAAGTTATATGTCGTCCACCTTCAGGTCATTGTTTAACGTCGGGTTTCGGTGCAGCTCTTCCTCCTCGACTCGCTGATACAAACACAGGGAAGCTACCTAGCAACTGTGTCGCTGACCATGGTGCTAAAAGACAACCCTGTCGATTGTATGGGTGCGACCCGCTCAGAGGTCATTTACGTGCCATTCACTTCTTAATGCCAGTTTGTCGCTGTAATAACCTGGAAATGTTCCTGAGAATACTTTTGCTTTCTTATAGTCATTATGTTGCATGCCACGTTTTATAAATAGCAGTTGCATGCAGATGTGACGATTTAGTTTTAATCATCTTCAGTTGGTCATATTTGTTCCTGCTTCCACTGTATGCCAACACATACACGTTTTGCAATAAAATGCATTCACTCGGAGCCCATTTTATGTTATTTACTTTGTTTACATGTTTATTTTTTTCAGTCTTAGACTTATTTATTCCAACACCACAAAAACCTGAACTACTTGCATTTGATGTAAAGTGTTTGAATTCTAACTCGTGCAATTATCATTTATGACATTTTATAGTAGGCCCTACTCAGTCAGGCCTTGTGAGCTACTACTATATCATCTGCATCTTAAATCACAATTAATGCTCAAAAGGTAAAGATTAAGAATTAGGATTTTTGTTTTCATTTGCATTTTGAAGTAAAGTTACAGTTATTGGATTTTTACATTGTGGCTGATACTGCAGTATTTTATTTGTTATATTATTTGATGGTGGTGCTTCAAAGCTAAACATGAACTTAAAGGCCATTGCTTTTGCTGCCTTCATTCATGGTCTTTCTATAAAAAAAATTAGAATGAATGAATATAATGGATGACCAAACAACATGAAGAATATTGTGAAAATCCCCAAGATTTTGTGCCTCTTTAACACCTTTCACGCCCATAGTTTTATAGTCTCAGATCTCAATAAAATGTGTTGCTAATATTGCCTAATCCTAAATAGTCTCATATTTTAGGATTATATTTGAATGTACCATGGATAAAACTTTAGTGTCAGTGTATCTAGAAATATTAGACATATACCCTTACCCATAACTATTGTTTGTTATTATTATTATTAATAATAATAATAACAAACAGCGAGTCAGCGAGTAAAGAATTACTAAAAACGACCTCTATAAATATAACAAACAACTCTTACCTAATAAATCAAATAAATAAAATGTGATGCACAAGTGTCTGTGATTTCCGACTGGCGCCTGAACGCCTCAAGTCTTTTCAGTGGGTATTCCCATATGACGTGAACGCAGCACAAAACGACAGCAGGCAGAGGTGAAAAGTCTGGATCATGTTTTCATTCCAGCGGAGGCATACTTGAACGACAAAGGACATTGTAAATAAAGATCAACAGGGCGGTTAGCAGAGCACGTCGAGGTTCTGTCCACAAAGAGAAGACATTGATGTTGTTGTTAGCCAACCAGCTAGCACAAGCTGAAATTTGTTAGCTAGCTAACGGAGGGACCCTGTTAGCTAACCGCCACCATCATCGCTCCTAGCCAGCTGTGCATCGCCCTGTCTTCCTACGATGGGAAACACAGCAACTGCCAAGAAAGGCAATGAGCAAGAAAGCGGTGAGCACCTGAAAACCACCCGGCTAGTCTGCTAGCCACCTAATGTTAGCTGTTGTAATAGCTTGAGCTTGCGTATCGCGATGAAGCCAGTGGAGAGAAGAAGCCCTTTAGCAGTTGTTGTCCAGTGTTGGCAGATAGTACAGGGGATATGGGCTGCAGAGAACAACCATCTTTGGTAGGGCAATTTACAAAAGGTGTGTTAGCTCCCTCGTAATGATGTGTGTTTGCTTATCTCACTTGGTACCAGTGCCACAGATGATCCGGCTAGCTGATTATTGAAAGCGACATATGAGCAAATGGCAGTGAGGTCCCTCTCTGTGTCCTGCTGAAGGTTTCCTTATAGCAGTGAACGCAAAGGAACATCCTTGACTCAACGAAATCAAAGCTTTTTATGTCATTGTTTCACACTGTAACGTTTAACTGGAGTTATCAAGTTATCAAGGCACCATGTTTATTTTCCAAAGGGCTAATAATACGAGCTGCCTGGAGCCAGATTAACATCAGCAAACACTGGTTTCCACTGGAGCTGCAGTACAAGGCCTAGTCACTGCTAACAACAGGTATCTGATAACGACTCACAGACAAGCTGGCCATAAGGCTGCTTGCTCCGGTTTAACCAGGCTAATGATTGTAATAAAGAAGTGTGTCTGGGCTCCAACTGTGGCTTTGTTTTCCAAACAAGGGCTACAAAATGGCTAGCAACTGTTTTCCATCCAGCCTTTAACACTGATGTGTCAAGTCAGCATCCATCAACAAGTTTACTGTAAATCCATCAGTGTTATGTCTCAATAGCTGTTTTTTCTTACAGTGACATTAACCTGTTGTTTTGATGCTGTAACACGGGGGAAAGGTAGCTCCCCTCCTGGTCAAATTTGCACCTGTTGAATTGACATTATTTTTGCAATCCTAAGTGCTCCATCAATCACTTGAAAGCAGTAACCAGAGGGCACTCGGTTGTGTTTGGCATGAGTTTGTGAGTAATGATCGAGGTAATCCACTAAACTGTACCATGCCTAGTAGTCTGTCTGGAGAGCACTGATCTTGACCTGCTTTCTGACTGGCAGCAGTCCACACAGTCTTGCAGCCTTGTGCCTCAAGCCACCTGTAGTTCCGGCGAGGAGGGGCTAAGGGTTGGTACAATAATAATGAGATGCAAACAGCAAGCTTCAGACACACGCCGTTAACACGTTTTATTTGTAATTAAGATTTCTGTTTGTAGGGATTTAAATATCTAGACCCAAAACAAATCCACATCTAGTACACCAGCAGTTTTTTTTAAAGAAAGCATGCAGCATGATCTCCAGTAAGGGTGACTTTAAGCATAGAGGACATCTCTATAGAGAACTGCTTTGTTAAACTTTACCACCAGAGAGTGGTACAAGATAACTTCTCTCTTAGTTAGTCATTGGGTGTTACACACAGGCCTACTTCCTTATCAGGACTCTGAATGCACCACAGCTGTGCAGTGTTTCTACCATAATGTTATGAGGCTGGCCCATATGTGTGCTTCGCTTAGTTCGCGTACTTTTGTCAAAACAGTGGCACCGTTAGGCATGGGAGGCCAGTGTTTTCAAATGACACCACATAGTTTTTCTTTGTAGACATGCAGCTGCCCATTGCAACTTGAAGCAGAAGACTTGAACAGGAAGCTTAACTTGTGTGGTTAGCCAAGCATTGTAGTGCATACAGGAAGCTAGTATCACTCATTGGTGTTCGGTCTGAAGACGGTTACTTTGCCTGGGAGCCTGTACACTCACACATCAAGATAGTTGGTCTCAAAATGTCCCAGGGATCCTTAGCCAGCCGTATTTTCAACAAATGTCGGAAGAGTAGCCAAGAGCACAGAGCGCAAGAGTGTGAGGTACCACGAATCTCGGAGTTTACCATCATGTGGGATAAGTTGAGTAAGTGCTGTGTTTTTGCTTTTATGTTAAAATGTGTCGGCCATCTTCTGCAGCTCGGAGCGGAATAGGGTTGCTTGAGGTTTGTTGTTCCGTGTTTGCAGGAAAACTGATTTAGATGAAGCAAGTGGAACATTTTAGTCTAAATTGTACAGGGTTGTTTGTTTTTAATGGGTTTGATCAGCGTTTAAGTTAGATTACGTATTTTTGTCATGTACAAGGTTGTTCAGTAGGCCGTCGCTGGTTTGTCTTCAAGCAGCAGCCTGATTTCACAACCTTCACTGTTTCGAGTACCTTCCTCATCAGGTTCACGGTTGCTCTATTCGCACACATTCTTGATCCATCCACCAGAGACTTCAGTAAAAGCAGCTCAGGCGTAACGCTTTGTAGAACAGCCCATTTGTGGTGCTTCAGTCACTTACATCATCTAAATATCTCTGTCCTGTCTATTTGTGTACTGTTCTTAAAGTATGAAATGTGTTTCTATGTCTGCTTTTTACAATGCGTTTTCAGTCACTGTTGTTTGATATTCTTTGTGATGCTTGTAGTTTAGCATCATTTTGTGTAGGATAGTGAAAGCCTTCTCCAGTACTGGTAAGAAAGAAAGAGAAATATATTGAGAATATTGAACTACTAACTGCGCAGAATCAAACCACTATGAACAGAAATATGTATTTATTGTAAAGAAATAACAATATCTTTTTGCTGTTTTACTGTTTATAAATACTAAACTAACTAGTGTTTGCAGATAATGAAAGAAACAAGACCTACCAAAATACTCTTGTTGTTTAAATGCAGAATAATTAAATAAGGTTTAACTTCTGTCAGCTGGTAGGGATTCCTTATGTCGTCTTCTTCAGTGTCATTGTGTTGTGTGTTGTAATCCACTTGAATCTCAAATGTTCTTGTTTTAAGCACTTCATAAATGTTTCTTCCTCTCTTTCTCTTCGCCATCATTTCCATCCATGTGGGTGAATGTTCCTGCAAACCCTTGGTGAACTGTAGAGACTTTTGGTATGCTCATATTTTCCATGAGCCATCCTAAGTCACAGATAGAAAGTTTATTCTGCAGTTTAGGCCTACCAGTCTTGTATCATCGTGCATCTAAATATTACTAAGATTGATGTTAATTAGGATAGTCTGTTAACATACAGTTTCCACATATATATAACAGTCCTTCAATGCCAGGTATGCATTTAAATCAGCAACGGCATACCAAGTACACCACCAACTAGACATAGTAGATTCTTGCCATGACTCTGTGACTTTGGATATCTCATGTCTGCTGTGACTTTCTAATGCCTGCACTGTAGTCTCAGATATGTTCTGCATTTTGTCTTTTGTCTCTGCCCATTATTACCGCCTTCCCCCTTTACTCCCACCTACTCCTGAAAGAGATGCAGAATAGCTTGTCTTTGAATTGGCCAATTCTGTGAAAGTCCACAAGAGCTCTTTGCATCACTTTATTAATTAGAATTTCCTGCCTAGACGTGTGGTTTTGAGTTTGTTTGTTTTTTCAGGAGGTATTTTTTGCCGTGTTTGTCAAGTATATAGTCCTGCATCCCCAGTACTTGACATTTGCCTGACCTTAATGCATTTCCCTGAACCTGTGACCTGCCTTTGTTTATTTTCCTGAACACGTTAAACTGCCCCAGTTTACCATTTCCTTCTACAATCTTGTTGGAGTACCAAAATGCTAAATGTGAAATCACACTTCTGTCTCTTTTTATAGTGAAAGAGTTCTTAGCTAAAGCCAAAGAAGATTTTTTAAGAAAATGGGAGTGTCCACCGCAGGTAAGTTGTTCGCTATTCAAACTTGAATGTCCCTTAACACTCTGGAATCAACTGTGTTTTCAGGAAGCAAAACGATTAGACATTTTGTGTGATAGCGCCTAGCCACTTCCTGGCTCTGATCTTGTTGACTTGAATGCTAGCTGATTGCGTAATTGTCCTGTGTCAGTAAGAGGCATTTATTGTAAAAACATTTCCATCCAGCTTATGTGTTTTTACTCTGAGCCACATGAAGACAAAACATCCTACCAGTGGCATCTGTAAGAGCTGCAATACACCAACTTTACAAGCAGAAATGAATCATTTCAATCATCGGTTCGCTGTCTCACTTCCACTGATTATGTGTATCCTCAGAGCACAACGGGCCTGGATGACTTCGATAGGTTCAAGACTCTGGGCACGGGCTCATTCGGGCGAGTTATGCTTGTCAAACATAAAGAAACAAACCAGTTCTACGCCATGAAGATCTTGGACAAACAAAAAGTAAGTGTGTGGTTTTAAAGAACTGTTTACCCATCTCAGAAGAACTAGTGTCATAGATCAGGGTTGTCTGTGAAAGGCTAACTCCTGCATGCTTGACAAATGCTCTAACTACATAAATGCAGTGCATCTCATGAAAGGAAATGGAAAGTTTCCTGTCATGGTCTGCAGCATGTTATCGTTGAAAACCTCAGAAGCGCTTCTCATAAGAGTTTCGATCTGTAAATACTGATGTGAGAGTCGTAGGAGGAGGTTAGCGTGTCCTCGGAGCATTGCTCATGTAGCAGTACACTGTTCCCTTGAATTTCACACTGTTAGTTTAAGAGGTAAACCTGTCTGACTTTCCCTTTCGGCTGTACTGCTGACATTCCTTTTTACAGTCTGTGACTGCTCACTTGGCCTCTTTTTTTGTTCCTCACATAGGTTTTAAAGGATTATTCTGCATTTTTTTTTTTTTTAATCCCACATGCTACTAATCATGTACATTTCACATTGCTGCTGAACATTTCCCAAAGCGTACCCTGCATTTACAAGTTTGTAAATGTGTTTTTAATGCCTGACGTTAGCCATTGTTGTCCATTTAGATATTCATTCAGCTTTCTATGCAAATGAACTTGCAAATACTTTTGTGTGAGATACAGTAGGTAATTCATCACAGTAACTGTCATGGTTAAGTGTTATCATTGTGTGGTAATGCGGTTGAAACTGGATTGAATTAGTGTCTGACAGTCTGCTGTGTTAACATGCTTGTTTGAATCTGACATGTAAGACTTCAGTGTCAGCCTGTGAACACCAGCCTCTTTAAACCAAGGACCTGGCAAGTTAGGACTTTCCTTTCGGAGGCCCAGTTAACATCTGACATTAACATGCGTCTTGGGTGATCAAGTCTCTAGTGGCGACTGTGGGTATATCAGTTTACATCTGGCATTAGAATGCATCTCCACATATGTAATGAGTGACCACTTTCCCGCTGTGCATGCAAATAAAAACGTACGTAATTTCCGTTTGCAAAGACCAAATGCAGAGGCAGCAGTATGTGTCTGCTTGTTGTTAGTCTAGACGGTATGATTGTGGATGCAATGTTGTTGAACACCTGACACCTGAGTTTTAAGTCTTTAAGTTGATTTTCACATCTTACTGAAATGAATGGAAGCCTGTAGGTGACTAGAGAGTAGAGGAGCCACATTTGGGGCACCCTGGTAGCTCTCCTGGTAGAGCTGGTACCCCATATACCAAGGCTGGGCCCTTGCTGCAGCGGCAATGGGTTCAACTCCGACCTGTTTGCTTCATGTCATCCCTTTTCAGTGTTTCCTCTATGTTGATTTTGGAGCGGCGGCCTGCCGCTGTTAAATTTCTGCCGCCACGGTATCAGAAATGGACATAATGCACCCCCGTTGGCTGCCGCTCACATTGCAATTTAACAACAAGTAGAACTATTCAGAGGTGATTGGGGCTGTCCAGTTTAACTCCACATACTGTTGTGTTGATGTAGCTTATTGTCAAAACGTTCAAAGGGCCCTCACTGCTAAAAACATCCTAGAGGAAACACTGCTTTTCTTTTTTATAAAGTAGAGACACAATTCCAAAATGTAAAAAACGAATGCTATGCTTTCAAAATGTATGTAATAAAAACCCTCTGTATGCATTAACTTTTCAATTACGCATACACTCTGAAATCATGAGAAACCTTCTGGGTACTCATGGCTTATATAACACACACATACTCAATTATCAAAAAGTACTATATTTACTCATATTGTGCCTTGTTTTTTTCAGGTGGTCAAGTTGAAGCAGATAGAACACACACTAAACGAAAAGAGAATACTACAGGCCGTCTCCTTCCCCTTCCTCGTCAGATTGGAGTATTCGTTCAAGGTACACGCTGGCACCCACCTATTACAGCCAACTACATGGTTACCACATTACCAGCGTTCTTACATGCGCTAACGCAGACCTTTTGTGTTCACCTGTCCCAGTGCTACAGTTGGTACAGTATATTTCAAACGCCTCAACAGAATAGACACCCAATTAATTCATCGTTTAATCTGATTGGGTTGCTTTATTTCCCAACCTGAGGAGCATGTATCAATTAACATGTGTTCAAAGATTTCTTGCTTTGATTAACAGGACAACTCAAACCTCTACATGGTGATGGAGTACGTTCCCGGTGGAGAGATGTTCTCACACCTCAGACGTACTGGAAGGTTCAGGTATAGCGTACATAGAATTTACATTTTGTTTTAAGAATATTGTTTTTGTGCTGTGCCACTAATAGCTGGACACCACAGTTTTCACTTTGGCTCTCTGTGGTCTGGATGAAATAGCTTGAGACAGGCATCATTTTAAGGTGGCTATACAATGAATAATTGAGTTTGCTACTTCACTCAGTAGAGACTTGTGTTCATATATTGCGCCAAAGTCTGACTGTCAACCCTCCCCTCTTTCAGTGAAAACCATGCAAGATTTTATGCAGCTCAGATAATACTCACCTTCGAGTACCTTCACTCCCTGGACCTTGTCTACAGAGACCTTAAGCCTGAAAACCTGCTCATAGATCAACATGGGTATATCCAGGTACATGATCTATATAAAGTTTATAACAGAAAAATTAATGGAAAATGATCTGTCATCCATAAGTTCTGTATGCAAACTGTTAGCTTCCCTGTTAGTAACAGCCAAGATGTGTGGACCTTCTGTTTATGAATATGAAAACAAAAAAAAAAAAATTAACACATTTAGTCGGGTTGAAGTTATATAATAATAAAACCTGGCATAGGCTTCTGTTAATAGCCATCGTTCTGAACTGTAGTACATGTTAACTTTACCTTTACATAGAACATCTTCTTATCATGCTCCTATTGTTCTTTCTTCAGGTCACAGACTTTGGCTTTGCCAAAAGAGTAAAAGGCAGGACCTGGACATTGTGTGGAACTCCTGAGTACCTGGCTCCAGAGATCATCCTCAGCAAGGTGAACCCTTTATACTTAACACAGCACACACATGCTCTTACAGTGTAGTGAGAAAGTATTAAAACAGTTACCAGTTGTTCATTACTTTGGCTCTGTACTCGATTTCAAAAAATGAGGTGTAAGTTCTGGTTTTAAGGGTCTTCGCATTAATATCTGGAGAAAAGTGTTAGGAATCATAGCCCTATTGATGCATAGCATACATGCACCACAATGATCCTAAATTTATAGAGAAGGCAAACAATGAGTTGACTATACAAACAATACATTTGTTTGTTCACTTGATGAAAGGACTGTACTTAAGTTAGAAAGGCTTTGAAACAAGGAAAAATTGAAGGCTGCACTATAGGCCTGGAAGATCATCACCAGAGAAGATACAGTATATGTGTGTGCTAATGTATTTGGGTCGTTTACATCAGCCAGTCATTGAATGCAAAGGATATGCGACCAAATATTAATATTATTAATGTTGTCCAGTTACTTTCTGTCTTTAGAATTGGGGGACTGTTTATCAAAAGGAATACATTTAAAGCTAGAAAATGAAAACTCTCTGTACGTCTGTATGTGTTCTGTATGTCTCAAAGCTTGAGATATCATTACCAGTCAAACCAAGACACCAACCTACATATTTTTTTCTGTTTCCGACTCGTCCAGGGCTACAACAAAGCTGTGGACTGGTGGGCACTTGGAGTCCTTATCTATGAAATGGCTGCCGGTTACCCTCCCTTTTTCGCTGATCAGCCTATCCAGATCTACGAAAAGATTGTGTCTGGAAAGGTACGCAAATTTCTCTCTTCGCTTGCCTTTCAAAACCAACCATCCACTTGGCATTGCTTCTCCAGTGTTTTGTATTGCTCTTTACATGCTGCAACCAAGCATACTAAGTAGAATGAGTGGAAAACATGTCTTTGTGTAGATGGTGCTTGACAATCCATTGTTTCTTTCTTTTTTTCGCTCCTGTAGGTACGATTCCCCTCTCACTTTAGCTCCGACTTGAAGGACCTGCTGAGAAACCTGCTCCAGGTAGACCTGACAAAGAGATATGGCAACCTGAAGAATGGTGTGAATGACATAAAAAATCACAAGTGGTTCTCCACAACAGACTGGATTGCCATATACGAGAGAAAGGTAGGTATTTATTGTGTCATAATGTGTTTCTGAAACCAGAGGCCAGTTATTACCTGTTACCGTTCATCATTTTGTTCTTGTTCTTAAAAAAGGCAGACGATAAGTGCATCAAGAACTTTATCGGTGCTCTAGTGATCTAGTGAAGTCTGTCAGTAGTTTTGTCCGTGAATTACTTCTAAAAAAAAGGATTACCCAAAATAATCAAGACATGGCGTGATTTCTGTTTACCAATAAAATAAATATTATGTGCCCCTCTTTCCTAAATTTGTTTAAGACCACCTATTAAGATATTTGTTAAGGATATCAACCAGTGCAAATCTACAGCCAATTGATCAGATATCTGCCATATTGGAAGAACATTGACTCTTAACAAATACAAAATACAAGAAGCACAATTTGTACTATGTTAACAAAACATAATTTATATACATAAACGTCAGCTCTTGCTTGGCGCATTTAAATTATTAATCATAATGATGATTTTTTTTTTTTTTTTCTCTGTTCTTAGGTTGAAGCCCCCTTCTTGCCAAAGTGCAGAGGACCAGGCGACACGAGCAACTTTGACGACTATGAAGAGGAGGACATCCACGTCTCACAAACAGAAAAGTGTGCAAAAGAGTTTGCTGACTTCTAGTGAGGGGGCAAGAGTCCCATCAGGGCTCACGTGTTTTAGGATATTTGCACTCTCCTGAGGGTTAAGGTGGAACTGAGGCCGTCACGTGTTCAAAACAAATGCCTCGTTCCTTCATTCCACACAGCTGAATGAGATCCTTCTTGCCATGATCCTGCGTGCATTTAGCACTAACCTATACACAGGCACATTATGCAGACACCCCTCGTGCTGCAACACAAAAATACTAGACCACGTTCTCATCTTTGTCATTTTTCTTCTTTTTTTTTATGTTTGCCACCTTTGAAATAGCCCTCTTCCCTCCTTATTTCAATTCAAATAATTATTTGAAAAGCAACATGAAAATTAATATTATTCCCATTTTCCAGTGGCACAAAGAGTGATTGATTGTATTAGCTGGTATTGCACATATTGTGATTTAAGCTTTGGGAAAATAGAAGGGATTTTTATTTTTTTTTTTCCTAATTTCTACCATTGAGTTCTGCCAGTTATGTCGTCTGTTACACGCCTTGGTGTGTTAGTTTTTGCGTTCAGGTTATTATGCATTAATCATGAACACTTTAATCATTATTCATCATTCTGGTGTCCTTAAGACCTGGAACCGTGTATTTGTGCATATAGAAATATACATATATGAGACATAAGATTTTCATACGCTTTGTGTTGTAAAAGCATGACCAAAATTCAAACAAAGAAACTGGTGTTTAGTGAAGGAAAAGCGACACTGATGACTTCTTGAAGTTTTAGCACTCGGTTTTCGGTTCTTGAGGAGATGGATCTACAGTGACGAGTGTTATTATGAAGCGGTAACCTGTCAGTGCTGTATTAACTGATCAATTGTAGCATTGTTTTATCCATATCCGGTCATAGGACATTTCCTTTTTACCTCAGACTAGGTTTGGTATTTAAATGAATGGAATGAGATGATATATATTTTTCAGGTACAATTCTGTTTCACAAGATAAGAAAAACCGAAGTTTGAGTAACGTCACTCCAAACAGCGAGACATCTGTCTTTGGTACGTCCAAAAATTTATGATTTGCATCGACATGCTGAAAGGTCAGTTTGTTAGGTTTTCGTGAGTAGGTTGTTGTGGGTTCAAAGCAGTGTTGGTCACATGGGCAGATTTTGTCCATTTGGGGGGGGGTTGCTTTTTGATTTTGTTCTGAAAGGCTAGTCGTGCTTCAGCACTTGAAAGACATTGTGTACCCGCCATATTTGTTTTATTTTACTTTTTACTTTTGCATGTGTGTTTCGTTTTTACAGCAGCGTCACAACAAGCTAATAGTTCCCTGAAAGTGTTCCCATCTTTTTGTTGTCGTTTTTTTTGTTTTGTTACCTCCTAAATTGTTTCATAACCTGGAACATTGATGCATTAGATAGGCAATTTTTATCTGAGTGACATATTCCTCTGCATAATCCCGTGAAAGAAAAATTTAATAATTAACCATGAAATGATAACAGAAAACTGAAACAGCATAACCTTAAAGTATTCATTCATCTTGGTCACTACTTGGTTCAAACATATACTTACCTCAACTATAGCGTGTAGTCTATTTGCATCATTTTTTAACCAATTTGTACACTGTGACGGAGCAATATTTGCTCGTTCTTCCTCGCAAAATTGCTCAGGCTGAGTCAGGTCAGTTAGAGAACGTTAACGAACAAAAATGTTGCGGTCTTGTTAGAGACTTTCAAAGGGAATAAGGTCGAGAGTCTGACTTTGAAGAACATTTTTCTTTTTCATTGTAAGCCACTCCTGTTAAGTTATTGTCTACCCATATTTAATAAATTGTTTCTCCCCTCAAGAGAAATATAGGTTTAATGAGGGATTTTTTTTCTATGTTGGGGCACCGTTCATTTCCCATGAATTCTGACACATTGCCTGTCCTTGCTGCTGAAATGTACTAGTCCCTGCCTCTGTGTATTTAACAGGTGATCCTAGAATCTCTATGTCAAAGGTACAATACCTACAAGGCCAAGGTGTCCACTTGTTGAACTTCCAGATGTCAGAAAAGCCCCTGATTGCTCCTGCTCCTGTGATCCTTTGATTCCCTAGAGGGGGAAGTTTGTCTCTGACGTCCACAGGGAGGTCAGAGTTTGAGGGCATTTCTGCAGGTCGGACACTCAGGGTCGTGGGGAAATCAAAGTTTTCACCTCTCGTTCGATACAATAATGCATTCGTTGACAGTCTTTCAATTTAACATCTCTTAATTCTTCTGAGGTTTTGATCATTATTTGACATGGTGCTCAAGTGTTTGTAGATGTGAGAAAAATGCAATTTAATCAAGTTCAACAATCTTAGACAACCAAAAGTGAAAAAGCTTTGGGGACTGAATGCTTTTTTTTTTTTTTTAAAGGTACTGATGTACTGTATATGGATATTGGTTATGCCTGAATTTAAACTTTTCTTTTATATATTGAGCACATGATGTGATATTTTATTTAGCCCTAATTTTATTTCAAAAGGCACAACTGTTTCTTATGGAATTTTTTATTTATATTAGAGATGTCTAATAAAGTTACATTTCAAATGTTTAAACCTGCATAAAAGTAGTTCTCAGTATATATAAAGATACTGTTTTATTAACGGAAGTGTTATAAACAGTAAATATATTGGATTATTTATTTGTACAACCTTTATTTTCGTTTGCCCTCGTTGAAAATAAAACATTTATAGAAATGAATCTATTTACCACAGTCAGTACACATTGATGTCTCTCATGCCTATTTAAAATTTTAGCCTTTTAATCAGTTAATAACTTTCTTCTTCTTTTTTTAAATGTTTTATTTCTTAAATTCACTTTATTAAAAGAGATCCAGTTTATTATTATTTTCCCAGTTTGAAGGGTTGAACAGAATGTAATTGCAGAATCATCAATTGGGAATAACATTTTTATTTTTATTTTTTTGACAAACTTTGAATACTACACCTGGGAATTCAGCATGTTTCAATCCAAACTGCCTGTGTGTAAATCTTCCCAGAAAGTGTGTAGGAACTCCACAGCTCTTCTTATGTGTCATTTATCCCTCCCCCATGTGTGTAATAATGTTTGTCATATTTGATGTAAATGATGGCACTTCTCCCTGAGCCACCTCACACTCCTGACTGAAGGAAATCAGTTTAAGTTCTTCGTAGCTAGTCACACATACCAGTATGGGATCAATAATCTGAAATGTGTCTGTATTTAGTTTGTGGGATATTTTGCACATCATCTAGAAGGCTGACACATTTTTTCCCACCCATATTTACTTGTGTTTGCAAGGGGAATATACTTTGCTGTAGCAGATTTTATGTAACAAAGGAAATGTCACTATAATAAATTCTTTTTTATTGAAAAGTATATTTGTTGGTGTTCAATGGGATGAGAAATGCTGCTGTATGTGTGGTAATTACAGCGATGTCAGCAGGTTTGTCAACTACCAACGCTGGCGTTAAAGACTACACTTCCCATGATTCTCTGCTGTCATGTGGGCGAAGGAAGCTAAACCGATGAAGAGAGGCTAGTTGGCTTGACTTGATTAAATCTGAATTTTATCCAATTAATATCGCTGTTTATTTACTTGTAAAATAACTCAGTGGTTAAACGTTTTTTTTGTTATCTTAAACACGTGTGTAGCTTGGACGGACTGTTGTTGTCAAGCAGGAATCATCTAAAATAAGGTAACTGTTCAATTTTGTATTAGCACACGCAGCTAACTGTCCCTGTTAGCTTAATACGAAATACGAGAGGAGGCAACGATTAAATATTAGCTATCGTCATGTAGCGTAACGTTGTTTCCGCGTTGTCCTGTATTTAATTACTCTTTTTAATTTTGTCCGCCGCAATTAAGGTATTTTCCTGTTGGGTGTAACGTTATTGTGTTATTTTTTTTTTAATTCAGCTAACAACGTGAGTTTTCGGTCAGTTATTGACACAGCTCTGGCGTTAGCTTTGCTCTTTTAGCCATGTTTTGGTTGTAAGTCATCCTCATTTGTTGTGTTGTGTTGTGTTGTTGTTTACTGCTGTTATTGCAGCGGAGACATCCAGTGAATGCCAAGACCGCGAAAGAGAAACAATGATGGTGTTTGAGCTGCCAACCCACTGAGATCTCCGAGAGAAGACATCTGATGAAAACTTACTGTAACATTACAGATTGTAAGAGACTCATTCAGCCCGTTGTGGTTACATTTGTGCTCCAATTGCATGTGCAAAAACAAAAAAAAAGTTTCTGCTTGAAAGTAACCACAGCTCGTATCTTCAAGAAGGGGACAAGAACAAGTGGAGTTGCCTGACAGGTTTTTCTTTATGCTGCTGAAACTCACAAAACATCTCAAGATCTAAATGAATGTACAGAGGAAAAAAATGCACACAACACCAAATATGTCAGGATAAATGTGTATATATTATGCACAAACCATCAAAAACCTAAATTAAATATATTAAAGTCTTAAATCAGAAACCTTATCCAATGTAGGTTTTCACATACAAGGAATTTGTCTTAGTGTTGTTGTGACACAATATAACTGTCAAAATATTCAAAGTAAGAGAAAAATCAAGTACTGCAAGCAATCATAAATATAAAATTGATATTAAAAATATATGTTCTTAAGTGAAAGTAGCTGACACAATGAAGAGGAAGGAATAGTATAAAGGATATGCATTGAATTTGAATATTTAATTCTTCAACATATACAGTGTATTTCATGTTTGTGTAAAATCTATGGGAAAATGTTTTACTTGTTGATGAAGTTATTTTAGGTACAATTTGTGGGAAATATCTAGTACTAGGAAATAATTAGATAGAATATTTGTTTTAAGTTAATACATGTTATATTGACTGTTTTGTAGCGCTTCTTGATTTAGCTATAAAAAATGTTTTGCACTTAATTGTGTAGTTTGAAACATAGTGTAAAAATGCCCAAAGTGAGAGCTCCAAATGACGTGTTTTCTCTGACAAACCCAAAGATATTACATTTACCATCATAAAAGAGAAAAGCAGCAAATCATTAATTTCATGAAGCTGAAACCAGACAATGTTTGGCATCTTTGCTAAATAATTGATTTGATTGATCAATCATCTGTTACTCTCTCTTAACTCTTTTTATAAGATACCAAATATATATATATATATATATATATATATATATATTTTTTTAAAGTATATTTTTTGGGCTTTTATTGCCTTTATTATAGTGCCACCTGAAGATAGACAGGAAAGGTGGTCAGAGAGTGGGGATGACACACAGCAAAGCGTAATGACAGCGACATGTGTATAAAATGATGCACACATCGTCAAACTTAAATTATTTTTTTATATTTTAATTCAAAAACTGTCATAGTTTCATCTTTAACAAGCAGACACAGAATATACAGAGTGAGGAGAGTTGGAAATAGTAGTTTGACAGTTAAAGTTCACTCACTCGCTTTTTCTTTTTCATTGTCTTCAGAATCAGGTTTAAGTAGGTTTTCACATACAAGGAATTTACCTCAGTAAATTGGTGCAACAGTTAAACAGAACACGTAGAAACATCTTCATCACACATAGAATTTGCTGAGTTGTCAAATTTTTGAAAGTTGCAGAAAAAGCTAGTAAGCAGACTTACTAGTTAGAAGGATTTTCTAAAAACATAAAATAAAAGAAAGAAAATAGAAGAAGTACAGTGAATGTTGGGTTTTAGGCTACAAGGTGAATATTAAAATCAAAATAATTGATGATTATTGTATTTAATTACTGATTCTTTTATATTGTTTTTTTTCAGCCGGCATGGAAGACAAAGCAAATGGCTCTGTTGACACCAAAAGGTATTATTTCCAAATAGTTTAAGACATCGTTTATTGAAAGATTTGAAAGCCTGTGTTAAACCGTTAATACATGCACATTAAGATGAATTCACTGTGACCCCACAGCCCAGTGGAAAACGGTCAGCTGCCGGACCCCGCCAACTGGGGTGTCGCAGACGTCGTCAATTACTTCAAAGCAACGGGGTTCGAGGAGCAAGCCACGGCTTTCCAGGATCAGGTTGGAGTTCTATCCCTGCTCAAAATTCCTGTCACACGGTGAAAACAAACTAGGATGTCGGTCAAATATTTCTCTCTCCACCTGACAGGAAATCGATGGCAAGTCCCTGCTCCTGATGACTCGTAACGACGTGCTGACCGGGCTGTCGATAAAGCTCGGCCCTGCGCTGAAAATCTATGAGTATCATGTGAAGCCGCTGCAGACTCAACACCTGAAGACTAATGCCTCGTAGCACCGCAGACCATCAGTACACCCACCTCAATGACAATCATCGTGTCAGGAGACCCGAGGTTAGCTTCACAAAGACTCCTCCGGCCAAAGTGGCACCTTAACAGGATTTGAATGCTGTATGTTTTTATAAGCGTGGACCCCAAAAATGGGTTGCACATGGAGTCCACTCAGCTGTTTACCTTTTCAGCCATTCTTATTTCTGCTGCTTGAGATATGTATTTTTATTTTTTATTTTGTTGTGTGTGTGTTTTATTTAAAAGATAGAAATCTGGGGAGAATATGATTTGTGTGTGTGTGTGTGTGTGTGTGCGTGTGTTTGTGCGTGTGTGTTAAGTGAAATAACATACGTTGGTTTAAAAAAGAATAAAAAAAAGTATTTGTATATAAGATTATATATAGTTGAAAGTTGTATATGTTCTGTTGTACCTGAACACTTTGATACACGCAGAAAATTATTCTGCTGCATCCCATTTTTCCCTAAAGTCAGTTTCTATCTAACTCGGAATTCCCCGAGTCGTCCTTAGCATGTAAAAATGAAGCATTTTGTTTTCCCAGACACAAGGAGCTGACCGTTCCTGCACACCTGTGTTATCTAGGCTCAAAGCTCTTGATATAAAAACTATTTATGTGTATATTCTTCTTATGTTTCTACCTGTGGTGCTTTCAGATTTGTCGCAAAGACAACTGTATTGAAGTGTGTATGACCAATGTATATGTGCAGCATTACACTGGAGTTTGAATATCTGAATCAAAGATTTGCAATAAATGGTGCTCTTTTCTCACCAAAGAACAATATTAGTTTCTGAATTTATTGATAATGGTTTTCATTTATTACATTTTTCTTACTTATATATTCATGTTAAAGGTTCATGTGTTTTCATCATCATATTGTATAATCAGCTTCAGCTTTTTTTGTACCTTAGAATCAGCTGTTTTTATCTACAGAGCTAGAATGGACCAAACCAAACACTGACTCTGGGAAAGGGCCTTTCGCGTCAGTCACTGTATTTTCTCCGACACGCTTGGAAGGCTGAGATGTATTCAAATGGTTGCAGTCTGCAACGTCACCGCTAGTAGTAACTTTATCATGTTTGTGAAGTCTTGAGTTGTAGTAATTTATTGTGTTTAAAAACATTTAAAAGGTTATTCTGATTTGATGTGTAGATCACAGCAGAAGCATTGTCTTCACAGCTTGGCTCGCTGTTTCCTGCGCACTGTCCCTGTGATGTTGCCTGAAGGGTTATCCAAGGGAAGAAGAACCTGTGAGGGGAAAAGTACATGTCAGCGACCTAGTAATTTCATGACTGAACTCCAAAAGATTAGTTGTAATAACAGAACTTACTTCATCTTTGTTGTTGAGGCCCATTTTTGTCATGTCTATGGTGAAGTAATGCTGGTTGGGCATTATGATCTCTATTTCATCCACCTGAAAGACAGAATACTTAGAGCCAGGGTTTGTCTGAGTGAGCTTGTGTATGTGGCCTAGTATTATCTTGTTTTATTGGATGGGATGCAAATAATGCTAATGTCCTGGAGGCGTTCATTCCCTTATGTGTACTGTACAGTGACTGTGTGCAGTTATCAGCCATATAGTACTTGTAAAGACACATACTGGTCTGTACATGTACTCTTAAACAGTAGTTAGAAGTAAGAAGCACTGATGCTAAGACTAGAGCTTTGATATAAATCTTATTATCTAAAATGTGGACTTACCTCAAGAACTCGGTCCAGGACCAGAACCTGTGTTTCATAAAGGGTTTTCTGCACAGAGGGCGAGTACACTCCATGATCGTAGGGGCCAGCAAACTTCTCAATAATCGTCTCCTTCACACACTTCCTGTAAGGTCGGTGAAAGTATTTCATTTCACTTTTAGGATTTTTGATAAATGTCTCATTCATGTGACACAGGAGAGATTATATGTTGAGAACCCTCTCTGGCAGGTAGTGAATGCAGTGTTCTTCACACGTCTTTAACAGATAATTACCACGCAGCATCAAAGTCGACATCCTCAGTCTTGTTGTAGCGCCACCTAGCATAGACAGAGGTGCAGAAACACCTGTCCTTGGCCTCTTGCAGAGTAGTGAAGCGGTCTCGGAGGAAACCCTCAAAACCAGACTGGGTGGTTTTCAGCACTTTCATGTCCTTCAACCCACTGTGAACCACGGGGATGCCTGTGTGGGGCACAGAGTCGGTGAGTATGGAGCAATCAGAAACATCAGGAAACATTTTGACAGACAGCAGGCCTCACACTGGAATACCTACAATACAAAATGAAGCCCATTACAAGCCTATCGTCAGCAGTATCGGTGACACGCAGCAATACCAAGGGCTTAGCCATAGTTTTAGATCCACATCCAAACAATCACTGAGGATTTAATTAAGCCTAGAAAGTTAAAATTAGCCACCATGGCATCCAATTATCTCTCATACTTTTCTCCATGTATACTAAATACTGAGCTCCTGAGGTCCTTGGAGCAGTTACAAGCCCTGGATAGCAAAGCAGATCAGGTGTGAATCCTGATTCAATTACAACCATGATTCCTATAGAAGCAGATGAGCTATTAGAAGTTCGAGCTCCTTCCCAAGAATGCCTCCCGAAAGCAAAAAACATACAAAACTACATTGATTTAAAATACTTCCTGTGTGTGTGTGTGTGTGTGTGTGTGTGTGTGTGTGTGTGTGTGTGTGTGTGGTTGTGCTTACCATTGAGATTCTGTTCAACATCACAGAAGCGACAAGCTTCTGGGTTGTAGATGAATGCATGAGCATGCTCTACCCCATTCTGAGGAAAGAAAAGACGAAATCATGTTTGGTGATGGATATTTAACATAATCGAACAAGGTATGGTGTACTTTGTTTATGGTGCTGTTTAAATAGTTTGAATACAGGACACCCTTCTATAGTGAGATAGTGAGTTTAATTTTCTGTGGGGGTACTAGTGACAGCAACCTCGACCTCATCATTGCTGGGTGTGTTCAGAGGTGAAAAAGATTTAGGTTATTCCTAATTATCATTTGTTCCACTTGTGTTTTTATCACTGATAAATAACATATCTGACATGGGAGTGCAAGTACTGATCACCAAACTCTGTATTTTACCTTCTCCAGCCTTTTCCACGGAGCCTCCTCCATGTGAACTTTGGAACTCAGCACATGGTTGAAAGAGGTCAGGAAATGCTGACAGATATCCAGGGAAAACTGCTCGATGGTCTTAACCTGAACAGATGTGTATAAAATAATAAGCAGAGTGAAAGGCTGTAAGTAAAACCAAAATTTAAAAAACTTTCCGTTACATGAGTAATGTGATGTAACATGAGTTATCTAACAGATGAATGGGACCATAAAGGGAGTGCAGACTAAAACGTCAACAGAGTTTGTTTAACCTTGATTTTATTTGATCAGTCTGTGTTTGAGCTGCAACTTGACAGGGGTCACTTTTGACAGTATAGTGAGGTAAACGAATGACAATATAAGGAGTCGGTTAAAGGTCTAGTGTGTAACATTTAGGAGGATCTGGAATGGAATATAACACTATGTTTTCATAGCATCGTTAGTGTACATTCACCTGATAATAGGAATTGTTGTGCTTTTGTTACCTTTTTTTATCTACAGACACACAGCAGGTCGCCTTCAATGGAGGCTTCCATGTTTCTACAGTAGCCCAGAATGGACAAACCAAACCCTGGCTATAGATATGGTCGGCGTAGTTTCTCCCACACACACTGCAGCTCTGATTCACGACCAGTTCTTATTCCCCAGACGTCAAATACAGACTGGAGCTCAGAGTGTTCAGTTAGTTGCAATCTGCAACTTCACCACTAGATGCCACTAAATCCTACATCCTGGTCCTTTAAGTCAATGAAAAAACTGTATTAAATGTTCGGTATCATGACTACAGAGTGTGTAGCCACATCTAGTTTAGTTTAAAGCTGGATTAAAATATGCCCGTTTTAGGCCTTATGAAACAACTGTTGCGTCTCAATTATTTTGGACTTAATTTTGATATCCTCAATTACACAATGTTTGACTTACCATGACTCTGCTCAACTACTGTAATGTGCTTCTCTCTGGTTTAAATGCTTACCTCATTACAAAAAGGCTCCAGCTTATTCAAAACATTGCAGCTCTGATTCTGATAAGGGCCCAAAAGTTTGACCATATAACAATTTAACAATGTACAACTGTATTTCTATGTCATTAGCATTGCATCCTCAATCAAGTTTTTACAAACATGCAACATAATGGTGATAGTTCATTAAAACTTAGTAGACTTAGACATAGACTTAGTCAATGGAGTGATAAAAGTGTTGTGATGAGTAGACGGGGTGTAGTGTTGGGTTTATAATTTGCAGCTATGTCCCTCATTGAGGCCTCAGTATATTGACATGTGCCTCGTACCTGCCAGTAAGAGGCTGGTGACCTACCCCCTTGAGCTTGGCCAGGGCATGGACAGTGTTCTTGATGGTGTCGGTGGGGATGATGTCCGAGTTGTCTCCCATGAGATAATCCTTGCGCGATTTGAGTGTGAGCTCCACGTCAGCCTTCAGCTCGATGATGTAGTGGTGGCTCCCCTGTCTCCTGATGACCAGCACCTTCACTATGTTCTTGCCGTAGCCTGTTCGCACAAACTCCACATTCTGCACACACAAGGAGCAGATTAAACAGGTGTTTGAAACTGTGCATTGACTTCACTTTGTAGTCACCTGAGTGCATGTGGGATATTTTTGCAGCACTTCTTAAAGTTTAGATTGATATCTTACCTGTAACAGATTGATATATGTGTGTGTTGTATATACATGTACTAACAACTATGAGTTTAATTGAATGTCTAACTGGTCCCTGATTAGTTGCTTAAGCATGATTATTTTCCACTTTCCAGCCTTCCTTCATATATAATGTATAATAGTATAATGTATTAGTAAAATGTTCAAATTTCAACTCTCAAAATAGAATATATGAAATATATGTATTAATAGGATTTGATGAAAATATGCACATTTGTATTGTTAGATTTCTCCAACAGGATCATTAAAAGCTGTCTCCATGTGATAATATGTTATCCACCAAGTGAGGAATAAGACATTTGAAATCAGTAAATCAGTCTACATTGATAATAATATTTTACTGTTTACAGCATCAGGGTTTGGCAATGGTTTATGATTTGAGACATTTATTTTCATGAGACATGAACACTGGCTCAGTGGTCGTTAACCCCAAAAGTCAGATAAACTCCGGTGCTGAATCTTTCATGGTCTCTAAAAAATCTTGTGTTTTAGAAATTTTTTGTGATATATAACATAAAAATGGTTACCTGATCTGAAGGGGTTGCCATAGTATCTTTTCGTATCTTCGCCTTCTGTCTGTCTGTCCTCAGTCCCTGACCCGTGTCCAGCAGAAAGTGTCTCTACTGATGAAGGAGGATTTTGTGGAGAGGGTGGTGCTACCTTTGCAGTTACGTTACTGGTTAGTTACGTTATGTGAGGTTATGTTAAACTGAAGTTCAACATATTTTTACGTGTTTAAGTGCGTGTAGGTGTAGACTTTTGTCTACATCAGGGGTCAGCCTTAGGTACAGGGTAACTGAAATGGAAATGGGAAGTTGCCCTCTCATCATTTTGCAGATTGGCAGATATACTCCCTTTCTCATATTAAAGGACCTCATGGCGGGGGGTGTCATAATTAAACTTAATGTTAATCTTAATGTTAATGTGGCACACTGATTAACAAGAAAACTTTAAAATGGCACTTCATATTGAAAAGGTTGCCGACTGCTTGTCTACATGCACATGTAGGCTCACAGAGAAAACCCAAAGTCTATATACAGATATTCTTGTTTTGTTTTATTTTGAGCTGCCTGTTGTTTTAGCACTGATGTCTGTGGTGTGGAAAGTATTCTCAAAGTCCAGTCAGTCAGTAATAAATGTATGCAGGAGCAAATCCTCCAAACCTTAAAATCTGAGGTTTTATTCAGTAAACAGATGAGACAATAAGGCACCCTCTATAAAGGCTTTATAAATATGAACTAATAGCTTTATTCAATGTAATGCACTACTGTTCTGTAGATAAGATGTAAACCATGAATAAGAACAAGTGTTGGGTTGTCAGGTTGAGACAAAACAATGGGAATAAGGAACCGCTACTCTTCTCATAACTTGTGTATAAAGTTTGGCCTTTTATTTACTTTTTCCATGGCTAACAGTCCATCGGAGGAGGATCAATACCAGTCAAGGTTTTTTTTTTTATAACCAAGCAATGCATAAGTTGTTATTAATTTATTGATTTATTTACCAAAAATGTTAAATATATCTTGATTTTATCTCTTTCTACAAACAATATTCCCTTGTGACCAAAGACTAAATTTGGTAAGAGAAGAAAAATTAATGAATCTCAAAAGCTATGAACTAGTTGGTTAATGCTACATATTGCTGTAGGAATGGATTTATATTCAATTTATTCATCCATAAAACCTTGAATTAGTGAACCAAAGAGATCAAAACTCTAGCAACACTTCTAGTATACAGAACAACTGTATGTGTGAATGAAACACATTCCAAAAACATTTACATTGGGTAGGTATTAAATAACAAATAACAAATAACAAATAACAAATCCAAAAAGGTATGAAAGACTACCAATCATATATCTCCACAAACATATCAGCCAGAGGGGCACCTACAGAGATGGGCTGGGTGTTCATGTGGCTTAAGGCCACTTGTTGACCAGACATGCGATGTGAAGCGAGCGGAGTGTCCAATAAGGGACACGGGTGACACCATATTTGTCCATAAACTGTAGAAGTGCCTATTTTAGTTACTATTTTACTGTCCGTGTTTTACTGTTCACTGGTAGTTTTCTTATTGTGGAACTACAGATTAGAGGGGTAACTGCACAATTTAAGCTTTAGTGACTATATAAATTAAATCTCATCCTCAATTTTAATCTCAGAATCAAAACTTTTTATTTCATCAATCAGCCTCCATCAATGTCACAAAAAATAGACTCACCATTAAATTAAAGTGTTTTATTTCACTGCTTTCTTACAAGGGGAAAGAGACTTTTGACCAGATGCTTTACAGTTCAGTGATCAACAGCCCCATCGCTAATAAAAGATGTCTGTGGCTGTACTGAGAAGCAGGTGCAACCTTTGAATGTGAAGAACAGTGATGGAAAAGACAAAAAACTCTCTCTGGATAAGCCAAGGTACAGAATGCAGACTCAAAGATTAAGAGCTAAACATTTAATTTAATTGTATATACTCTCACAGTTCCTGCAGTAGTCCCCTGTCATGTGACTGCATCTTATGACTTCCTGTTTTGCATCGACGGGCAGCTGCACTGCACTTTCAAAGTTAGTCAATCATGAAGCTGACAGCTTAATAAAAGATTCCCTTTTTTGCTCTCTGCTGTGTTCACTTCACTTGGAGGAGGCGTTCAGGATGGCCACACGCTTCAGTTTATGCTTACACATTATTATCACCTCTTTGTGTAGCACAGTGTACAGTTCTGACATTTCCTGTAGGAATGAAGATGGTGAGCCTGTTGATTGGTGAGTTGATATGATACACTGTTTGTGTACTGACAAGAATGGAGTTTGAATGGCACAGTACAGTTGAAGCTCTTAGCTATGATGCTTAAAATGTCTTGTGTCTTTGGACGCTAAGCAGATGAACTGTATATTGTTCGTACAATGTTTTGTATTTGGGCATTAAATCAATATAAAATCTATTAAATTATTCTCTATTTCTCTCTCTCTCTCTCTCTCTCTCTCTCTCTCTCTCTCTCTCTCTCTCTCTCTCCACTGTAGGTTTATCATCTATAAACTGCCTAAGTATAAGATTGGTGAGGTCGGCAGCGGGGTGGATTACATGTACCTGGACTCCTCAGCAGGGAGCTGGCAGATGAGTAAATTCATGGTTAACACCAGTCAAGGAGCCATAGGGAGCACACTGAACCAGCTTTACACAGGAAAGGCCTACAAGGTGAGATTATGTCCCTGCTCTTCAAGTGGGTTTTATACACTTGTTCTTGTTCTCTGTTTCCTTTAAGGGAACTGAGCTGAAGCTGGGCATGAACAGACTTCCCCAGCCAGAAGGAATAAATCACACAGGCCTTCATTTGCTTTGTGTTGAATGTAATGGCACATTTTGCAGTGTTTTGAGATCAATCTCTGGTGCAACATCAAGAGAGTACTTAAAACTGCTGCTGGTTATGTTAGCTTAGCTTGGCATAAAGACTGGAAACGGTGGGAAACAACTAGCCTTACTGAACAGATACGAGACTTTGATTCTGTCAGAGTAAGAGAAATGAGGGGGCTGTTGAAAAATCAAAACTCACATCCCCAAAAGTGTACTTCTCTGTATAAAACTAGTATTTCCCTTAGTCTAACAGTTCAGTCTACGGACTCTACAATGATGCCCCGCCGATCCTGGATTACATTCAAGGATATGGACACACTAAAGGTACTGCAGATTATAAAAATTCAACTTTATTTTCACCAGTTCTGAGGATTTTGCTTTGAGTTCAGTGGGATGAAATTTGATTGTGACTGCATTAAAATGCTGATAATACTTCTTTGACTTTATTTTCTGACAATATTCCTGAAGATCATAGGTGCATTATCACATAATATACAGTATTGTGTTTAGAATCGTATGTGTGTTGCATCCTGTGTGTTGGTACTATTCAGACTATTCAGACAATTGTTATCTGATTCCAAATTTTGAAGTTCTTTTCTAATCTATTTTCAGTTGTCTACCTATGTTAATATAAGAATTGTACCTTTTTGAATGTGGTGCATTCAAAGATGTGTTTGTTTTTGTGTCTGTGTATTTCCAGGCATCTATTCATTATTTGCAATGCTATGATTTAGCAAAAAAGAACAGATCAATATGGTTTTGGTGTCAGGGTGAACAAACATGTAAAGAGCATCCGTCTGATAACTGCTGTTGACTCTGGATTATCGATTACCGCCATGACATGACGGATGATGGAAATGTTTGCAAGAATGCATGCCAGTTTTTACACGTATGTGTGAGTCCTTGTTCGTGCTTTGAGCATTGTTTTGTGTGCATCCTGCAGGGCTACTGCTCTTTGACCGCTCTCAAGGTTTCTGGCTATCACACACTATTCCCCATTTCCCCTCCTTCCCTGAGAGAGGCTATCTCTACCCCTCCTCTGGCAAGGTCAATGGCCAGACCGCGCTCTGTGTGACCTACCAGTATGAACAGTTCCTCCGTATAGGTGAGTGAACGCTCATGAGCCAACAGTGCCAGACTTAGTCCAGCTTACAAAATTCTCTATTTGCTGAAAACAAGAAAACATTTACACATCAGGCATTATGTAAGTCAAGTACAGTTTTATTCATATAGGCAAAAATCACAAACCACAATTTGCCTCAAGGTGCTTTACAATCTGTACAGCGTATGACACCCTCTGTCCTTAGACCCTGCATTCAGGGGAAGGAAAAATTCCACACAAAAAAAAAGGAAAATGGAAGAAAACTCAGGAAGAGGCACAAAGGAGGAATCCCTCTCCCAGGACAGACAGACATGCAATAGATGTCTTGTGTACAAAAGAGACCAACAAAATCACAATATAGTCAAATTATGATGAGAAAATTTCTGAAACATGTAGATTATAAAATATATGTGAATATATGTGAAGAGGGGAAGAGAAACTCAAACAGGTGGTGGCTAGTGGGAACAGAAACAAAACAGAAGGATAATAGATGTGTACACAATAGATCAATAGTGTGAGAGAAAATCAAAATATATACAGGTTTTGGCCACAATTTGGCCAGAAAGGCCATCTGTGTGAAATAACCATATCAAGCACAAATTATTACAAGTAATTATCGCAAGTATTTTTATTTGTCATTAAACATGTGATATAGCACAGCAGTAAGAAACATAGTAGCATTGTTAGCAAAGCTCTTGATAAATGTTGTCCACAGTGTTTCTGCACTGATTAGAGGATTTGAAAGGCTAATGCCATTTGTTTTGTATTGTGACAGCCTGTATTTTATGACATTAATCAATGTCTTCAAGTTCTACCAGCTAAAGATTTTTTTTAATGGCTAGCAGCTGTTTAAAGGACATGTCCACATTTGGGGAAGTCTAATCGCTTGCCATCAGATACACAGCAAGATGAAAATTGAATTCATTGATTCATCAGTGAGATCGGCCGACTACACTTTTGTGTTGGTAAGGGGAAATCTGGATTACACAAAGCATTTAGATAAATAACAAAATACATAACTAAACAATGAAATGAATAAATTAATATGTAAATTATAATAATATTGTTTTTTTGAAGCTCTTTTCAGGAACAGCCATACATTCATGATTTCATACTGTAAATCAGCAAAATAATAATTAATTTCAACCCCATCAGGTATAATATAAGCATTTTTTGAATAAGCTATAAATCTGTTTCTGGTTTTTAGGAATACTGTTTTCTAACATACAGTATCTTATTTCCCTCTTTCTTGTGCTGTACTCTCCTCCCTCTCCAGCAAAGCAGATGGCGTACATTTACCCACGTTTCTATAACTGTTCTGTACCTGCTGCCTTCTTGGTCGACCTGCCACAGTTGGCCCAGTTATGTGAGGGCACCAAACCAACGCTGGCCTCAGATAAGAGAGTGGAGCAGCTTTTCTCCACCCAAGGGGACAAGTTTGTCAGTTTTGTCAAATCTGAACACTTTGTGGATGGTAAGATATTCCGGTAATTTTTATTTTTATTTTTATTTTTAGATATTTAGTTGCTCTTTTGCCCTGCTGTACAATATCTATGTATTGCAACAAAAGCCCTTTTTTGTGTTTTTTGGGAGACAATGGAGTTTCACAACTGCACTTGCACTAGAACAGTGACAGTACTCCACAGAAAACTTCAGTCGTAAACTTGTTACAACTTATTATTACTGCAAAAACCTCTATCTGCAACTGTCTCGTTTGCACATTTCACTCATTATCAGGTGCTGACACACTATCATCTCAGGACAGTGAAGCGTATGAACACACCCCGTACCCGAGGCCTTCTGAAGTACTTCCTGCCCCCAAGTTGATGCAGTGTCTACTTGTGACCCTTGTCACATTTTATGGCCTCAGTGTGGACAGTTGCCGAGCAGTAATCTTTCCCATTCTGATTGTTTCATTTGTAGAAAAGATGGGGCATTTTTACAATTAAATATTAATTAATTATTTATCTTGCTAAAGTTCCCATGTGTAACATTTAGGATCTATTGGCTGAAACGGAATATAATATGCATAATTGTTTTCATTAGTGTATAATCACCTGAAAATAAGAATAGTTATGTTTTTATTACCTGAGAAATAAGCCTTTTATATCTACAAACACTGTGGGTTGCCCAAACTGGACAAACTCTGGCTCTTGATAGGGCAGTTTGTTTTTTCTCAGGTGGAAGCAAGGGAGATGCAATCTGCAACTGCTCTGCAAGATGCCACCAAATCCTACATACACACTGGTCCTTTAAATTCTTGTTTTTGCTAGAAAAAAACAAGACTAAGAAATCTGAAAAATAAATATAGACAAGATGTTTTTCTCTCTCATCACTTTTATAATCTTGTAACCCCTCAGATTTATCTTAACTCTAAACTAATACGTCAAGATTATGAGCCCTGAGCATGAAGGTTATATTTGTGCTGTAAAACATCACAGAACTCATTTAGATTTGAATTCCTGGACTCATTAAAGCACACATCTAAGAACTTCCTATTTACTTAATGTTCAATTATGAAGAACTTCCAGTTGAGTCAGAAAAGTTTATATTTGCATTTCATGTACTTTTTTTTTACTCCCTAAAAAGACAAACTTAACATGTGTCTCTTTAGTTTTCATCATTTGGGAAAGTCGCCAAGACAAGAAAAATAAAACTGTTCGGATATTGTTTAAGACATTTATCCTATTCCAGTGCATTTTAATAACCAAGTGAGCTTACATATATCTACTAGGTGCTTTTTATGTCATAATGCAACTGAACTCAATGCCATTCATACAGACATCTACACGGGCTGGGTGGCTCAGGTTCTGGATGCTGACCTGCTGGTGGAGACCTGGCAGACACAAGGCCACGAGCTGCCCTCCAACTGCTCCCTGCCCAAACACACCATGAACATCAAGAGGATTCAGCTTCCAGGATCAGTCCTGTTCCAGTCCCACCACGACCACTCAAAGTGGTGCGTGTCACGGATCTATGAGGACCAGGTGACCTGTCTAGGGGATCTTAACAGGGAGAGGGCCCAGATGTGGCGTGGTGGGGGGCTGGTCTGCTCCTTCAACCCTTTGATTTACAAGGCCTTCAGACAGGTGGTGGACAGCTACATTAGCTGTTGAATGAAAGAGGAAGATAGGATGAGTGGGACCGGATTAGTCCCACACAGCACGGTTTTTATCTGTTTCAAATTTATGGGATTAAAAGTGAAGGTAGATCTCGTTTAAGCAGCTGGCATGCAACCATCGGACCACGCAAGTATCAAATTAGTCATACATTTTACAACAAGTGCTTGAATTTAACACTCTTTGATGGGTACTTGGATCCCAGCTTAGTACATTTGTGTAGTAAACGACATGATCAGTTATGAAATGATGTGATATGCATCTTGACATTTACTCTTTCTGATGGTTTTCCTCAATGAAAAGAGCAGAATCCCCGGCAAGTTTAATACAATGTTTTCCACTTTCTCTGTATATTGTACATTTTTATGGAAATAATTAAACATTAGATTTGTAATTGATGGTTTTATGCAAAGACTTTTCTGTGTTCTGGTACATATTGCATATGATTTGGATGATTATAACAACAGTTTTCAGAAAGGTTTTATTTTCACCAGCTATTTGTATTTTGTATGAGTAATCTTAATTTGTTTACAAAATTACAAAGGCCATACGATGTCACTGACATCACTGACTCACATATTTGTCAAATATCATCCAGTCGCATCACAGGACTTCCCTGAGTTTATGTTAAATATAACAACATTTGTTTCTTTACTTTATGTTTTTTGGAAAAACTGCAAATCAAATATGTCTAGTTCTGAGAATAATCAAACTTTATAAGACTAGAGGGAAAGTGAAAGAATAGCCCCTCCAGTGAAATGCCCCTTCCTCATTACTACCACAGGCTTCACTCCCAACTCCTCTACTGGAGCTTGCCCAGTAGTCAGCTGCAAATCAGACTGTGGTTGTACTAGTGTGTGTTTTGGTATGAGTGTGAGCAGGGCTCTTCAGGAAAAGAAAGCATTTTGCTCAATGAAACTTTCCTAGATGAATGAAAGGCTCTATTAACATCCATTCTATATCTATTGAATGTATTGTTTTATTTTACACAGGTGGAAACTGTAATTGCATCATTATGATGTTTATGTATTTGTTACCTTGTCAGGTATGCAGTGTTTTGGGTAAACAGTGTCACCTAGTGGTCAAACTGGTAGAATCATACTGTATGTTTAGTATTTTCTCTGACGATCCATAGAAAGGGAACACACATATTGATATTGTTGATATTTTACCTCTAGACTATTATTGCACCCTAAAATGAACAAATCCTATTATTTCGTTTCCAATAAACACCAACAAATTTTTCTATTTCCTTAATACCAATAAAGACATCAGTCTGATTCTGTCTTGTTTAAATTGACTAATTTCTACAAATTTCCCAAAACCAAAACAACAGCACTGGTAGCAGCATGGAATTACAATTTCTAAACCACACCAAACCCCCCCAGCTTTTGAGTCTTATATCGTACATCTACTAGTTCCTGGTTCAGTATCGCCTTTACCTCTTCCTGTTTGACTCTGTGCTGTTCCCACAATGTACTGTGTGACGAGACTGCTGCTTCTCCTTCACTTTTATTGCCTTTAATTACTGATACTGATTGCTGAAGAGTGACTGGAAAGGCAGATGAGAGAGGGGAGATGACGTGCCACAGGTCGCTGCAGCAAGGACTCAGCCTTTGTACATGGGGTGCCAGCTCTACCAGGTGAGCTATCAGGATGCCCCTTGACTATGAGTCTTATGAACTTTTCCCTGAACGTTGCCATTGTTTCTCCTCACCCATTAAGGCATCCAAGTCAGACAGTCTTATGAAAAACTAAAGCAGCTGAGAAGCTTGGTCAGAGAGTTTGTGCAGCTGAAAAAGGCATCCAGCACCATTCAACAACAAGTAATGCCACCAAGATTGTTATCAGAAAAAATAACTGAATTGTTCCGTCATATTCTCTTCTAGGATACACAAAACTGGTTTAGCCAGCAGAAACAAAGACAACAAACATGCCCTTCAAGTGAACAATTATTGATGCACTTGTAGTTTTAATTTATCCTGTTGGTTGCATTCAGGTCCTGAAAGATTTCAGTTTCAGTTACTTTTATCTGTTGTAATACTCTGGGAGTGTCAGATGGATGCAGTATTTCAACTTACGTCAAACTTTCAACCTCATTTCACTTTCATAATGACAATTGTCTCTTAAAAGTATTCAGAACTGCTTCTTGAATACAAAGAAAGTATTAATTCAATACTTTTTGCTACTTTCTACTTTCGTAAGAACAGTTCCTTTTCTGTGGCTCTTCATGCTTAAGCTATGAAACAAGTGTTCACTTTGAAGGGTGTCAATGTCACATCCACATTCATTAACACAGCCAGTCCAACTGGCTACTATACACTAAAGCCCCAGCTTATAACAGGCAGATCAACATTCTGGTGACAACATGAAATCTATGAATCATTTACAACGAGGTTTCTGAGCGAGGTACCAGGAAGTAAATGACATATGGGAGATGCGGGTGCCAGTTTCATTTAACAGTGTCTAAAGCTGCTTTGCAAACAGATGCACAGTTTGATTGTGAAGAGACAAGACGATGGCCGGATACGTGAGTAAAATGTTTACTACTAGTTAAAAAGGATGCTAAAAACAGTAATTGAAATCTAAAATGTTAAAATGCAAAACATATTAAGCTTCATATGTTTTAGAAGAAATGCCAGAATAACTGGCAGCCACAGTAATAATAGATAAGTGTAGTGGAATAAAAGTTTGTACAGTGTTAGGATTGTAAACATGTTTGCTTTGTTTTAGATGTTCTTCAAATATTACATGACTTCTCAATACTCTTGAAAATAGAACTGGCTGTGTTGCACTTTAGGCTGATTTAATTTTGTAGGTCCAGTGAAAAATAAATACTTTGTTTTCCACATATGAGTTATGTGTACAGAACATCATTATTTTTAGTAGTATTTGGGTTTGATCAAGGTGGACCAGCGTGATTTCCAGGGTAAGCCGTACGTATGGTCCACTCCTCCGGACACACTGCGGTCATTCTGGACCGCAGTGTTTGCAGGGAACTACTGTGATAGCTGTTTCTAGAGCTTTAAAACAAACATCACAGCCTTCATCAACGCCAATCTCTGTTTAAAGATTCAAGGTTTAAAGCTCTGGAAATAGCTAGAAAGGGGACCTTGAATTGAGATTATTTTGTCATCAAAGCTACTAATCAACAACAGACATTAATGTAGGTAATCAGCTTTAAGTTCAATAATATTTTTAGAATGGCAAAACTTAAAAATGAACCACTGCACACTGAAATGACCTCAGTGTGATTTATTTAGGAGCGCACAACGCTTTTTGTCTGCAGGCTTTTTTTTTTTAATGACACTTTGCATTTGTCTTAAAAAAACGTTTTTTTTTCAACAACTTTTTATTCAAATTAAACACAAGGAATTTTCATCACTGTCCCAATGACCTGCTACATTTTTCAGAAAATCTGATATATTAAAGGCCATCAACTGATTAAACTGTGGAAACATGACGGTCTCCTGTCCTTGTAATTGTCATGATTTGATGTTTGATTGTTTCAGAGAACACTGATGACATTCCTCGTGGGTATTGTCCTTTTTCAAGGGGGTGATTCAGATGTGAAATGCAGGGATGACCAAGGAAATGTGGTGGACTGGTTGGTGGAAATTTTGAGTTGCTTATGTTCACCTATTCTCAGAGTCAGCTGAATACATAATGAAATGTATGTATCTCTGTATCAATAGGTATATTTTATACAAGTTGCCCAGTGGGACTGGTGATGGTTTGTCATATCTGTACATGGATGAGAGCACCAACGGATGGAAAGTCAGCAAAAAGGAAATCAACAGTAAATCTGGAACTCTGGCAAACACCCTGAAACCTCTTCTTGACTTCTACAAGAAACAGGTGAAGTATTAAAGGATGTGTGGTCCTGTGACTTGGCATTATTGTAACTGATCTGAGAGGGAATCATGGGAAAAGATGCTATTTAAAGAATTGCCTAAAAGGTCTGATATAAAGTGTTTTGTATGGTGGCCTTGAAATGCAAATCACAACAGCTAATAACAAAACACAACAACAAATTCGGAAACTAAATTAACAAAGCAGAAAACACAATGACATGAACTCTACAGCTGTTAAAGCCAACTGACAGCTGATCCAGCTGTGATCAGCCTCCACCGCCTCCAACCATCCAATCAGCAGCTGTTGCTTTGTGTGCTCATGGTTTCTGTTTTCTTGATGCAATTCTTTACATTTTTATCGTGTTCTTTTATTTGTCGGCCCATGCCCATAGCTCTGGTGGCCTTCCTGACAGTTGCCAGACTTTCCAGATTGCCAGTCCATCACTGTTGTTAACTGACGAACAATCTGATCACCCAAGACTCAGTCAACACCAGGTGAAAACCAGAGTATAGTTATTTGATCCAGGACACTGATTCAGAGTTTCCTGTTGTTTTATTGTAGACTGAAGGTTTTGGATACATGCTCTATAATGACCAACCTCCAATAGGTACAGCTTCTGCATCATATGGGCACAGTAAAGGTAGGCATAGCAATGTTCCACTTTATTGCATTCAAAGTCAGAAATATCATAATGTAACAAAGCTCGATTTCTGATGCTTTCTACTGTTTTACTTCCTAAAGGAGTCGTGATGTTGGACAAAAAATCTGGAGTTTGGCTCTCACACAGTACACCAAAATTTCCGCAATATCGCACGCAAGACTTCTGGCCGAGCAGTGGAAGCGTTAATGCCCAGACATTTATGTGTGTGACTTACTCCTTTGATAAATTCAATGAAATAGGTAGGTTAATGCCAGTTGTATTGTCACTTTGTCTTTGGCTGTATTTTAGTGTTTTAAGTTATTTGCCAAATAGATAATAATGCAATAATTCTCTTTTTCAAAAATATTCAGGATTGCAACTTGAATACATTCACGCTTATCCATACGACTCTGCCATCCCAACAACCTTTCCCAATGAGCTGCGATGTGTTGCACAGCGAAGCTGCTACCCCAAGAAGGAACCCTGGACTAGAGTGAAGAATCTGACTTCAATGAATGGACGTGATTTCTCCAGCTTTGCAAAGTACACACGTTTTGGGGATGGTGAGTGTTTGCACATTAGGTTGATGATAAAAGTTTTTTAACAGAGCAGAATTAGGTTTTATGTACTTTTGTTTGTTTGCAGTTTTATCCCTTTTATGTGTATATGAAATGTGTTGTATACTAAAATGTTGTCCCTAATGTTTATTTGTACAGGAGTTACTCTTAATTTAATTGTGTTGTGTTTGTTCCATTCTGTTGTAGATCTTTACTCTGGCCTTATTGTAAACCATTTGGGGAACAATCTGTATGTTAAGAGCTGGGGGAAGATGCGTGACCCTCTGCCTTCTAACTGCAGCACCAGCATCCCTTATAGTGTGTTTAATGTGGAGACAGTAAAGCTGAATGGGAAGAACTATAGTGATACTGTAGATCACTCCAAGTGGTGTGTGACGCGTGATGGTGACTGGACCTGTATAGCTGACATGAACAGGGAAGAGAGTCAGATGAAGAGAGGTGGGGGAGCAATATGCATCAACGATGTTAAAGTTAGGAAGGCTTTTGATACAGCGATCGCACAATACACACCATGTAAACGTCCACGTCCACCTTCTGGTGCTCAACACATAGAGTTGTGAAGGCAAGACAAATCTTTATTGAAATATAAAGAACTGGAACCTGATATCACTTCCAAACACTGACTACAACTTTGCATGTCCAGATTTGACATTGTTTTGCACCCATGTTGTGGTATATGTTAACCCCTGTCTTTTGTGTTCTGCATTATGTATTTTGATCAATGAAAAATCTTCTCTTAAGCATTAGCCTCTATACAATCAGACTATGACTTTAGATGAAATAAATTAAAATTAATTAATTATACCAAGACTAAATTTAAAAATTCATGTTGCTGCAAACCTGTTAGTTATAGATGGCTTAAACTGTTTGGGGGCCCCAGGGTAAAAAAGAGCTACTGGGTGCCTATAAACTCCAAGATCCTCCAACTCTCTGTGCCATGTGTACTGTTTCTCAATGCTGGCTCCACATTAACACATTGATTGTGGAATATGTAACATATATACAGAAAATAATATAATTAAGGGCTCACAACTAGATTTTGACACGAGGAACCTCTACAAGGGACTCAAGGTCAGGTATAAAAGCAGGACCCACCTTATGGCCCTTATCATGTCAGTTGAGTTGTTCAGCCTATATTCCTGCACACATTTTCAACTACATTTTCACAAACAAGCTGACTCACAGCAGACCTGGAGCTTTTGGGGCCCCTGAACCTCTAGGTCAGTTGTTGCCTTTATCAAGCCAGTGATGACGGACTACTTTGTCCTGATAAAAGCAAATAAAAGGAGAATTTAACAGAGAAGACTATAATAAAGCACATGAGAAGCTAAATCTGCTATGTTCATCCAATCAAGAGCTTGCTACTGTACTATGTCCTGAGTCCCGGCTCAAGACTGAAAGTGCTGAGTGACATCTTTTTAATCACTTCTCAGCACCTATTCGTAAAAAGCCTTTTATTCCATAATTTCTCATCTATTTGCTATCAATATTGTTTTTATCTTGTATTAGTGTGGGGTATTTAATTCTTTTTAAATTTGTATTATTTTGTCTGATTTTATTTGCCTCAGTGCAGTTTAATGTGAATATGTTTTATCTGTTTTATTGTTAGTACTTATCTTGTTGGGGGTCTTTTGTTCAAGTAAATATAATTTTAATGTCTATTTAACTTAAAAAATAAACATTTTCTATTTTTCCCCATGTAAAACCTCGTTGCCCTCTGGTTGATTCAGTAGCACACAATAGGCTATTCAGGTTACAGGTTAGGCCTTTGGCATGTGAAGGACATACCCAAATATTTTATTTGAATACAACTTTCCCAGCTCCCACGCTATGTAAATACAGTGAGCATAAATGGAAAGCCAAACTTTCATAGTAACAGTAACTCAGTCGTGTGTATATGTTTATGTCTTCTCAGGGCAGCAACCCCTGCTTTTACCAAGCACATTATTACATTATGAGTGACAAGTGTTACACCCAAAATCAGCAACTCATTTGCAGTAAATATAGGTTTTGGGGGAAGGTGAAGTGTGAGATAGCACAGAAGCAATTTCTTGTAAAAAAAAAAAGAAAAAAAGATGTACATTTCACTGTGAATATATCACAGTAACAAAATGGAGATTGCCAAATATGTAAGTAAAAAGTTTTAAGGGTTAAAAAATTATACTAGAATATTAGCTTTAAACAAAAAACAAAAACCAAATACTAGATTGTTATTGTTGTACAAACAATAACAGAAATGCTTTATTCTTATTGTTGCAATCTATTTTAGTGTAAATATATGATAAATAGATACATTTTGTTCTTTTGTCACATAAGTTTTGGTTTTACCTCTTGTGAGTGAAGTTTTGTGTATGGTTTTGTTTCGGCGCCACCAAAGAGCATCATTTAGAGAATCGTGCCGTAATGTTTGAGTGTCTCTGTTGATTTGAAGTCCGAGCATAAGGACCTTTACGTTAAAAGAGAAAGAGTGAAATTAACAACATTCATCAGAAATCAGATTATTATTACAAGAAGCATTGCATGCAGAGTGCTGTACAGTCCTTGGACAGTACAATGTGGTACAGTGCTTTTGAGTAACTTAAAGGCAACGTAACGCATGTGTTAAATGCACACAATGATCTTGCTGTACTTACAAGTCATTATTTTCATCTTGTGTTTGTTACTTTGGTAAAAACTGTGCTACATATTTGCTTGGAAACGCAATTTTACTAAAATGTTGATAGTTGATTTGACTTAATAAACTGGTTGTGTGGCCCTTTACAGTGCTGAAGACCTGGGAAGTGGCTTTTTAAAAATGTAGAACTATCTCACAGTGATACCACTTCCTGTTCACACCACCATCACACCCCATCATACTTAAAAAACCCCGATAATATATTACAATCTCCAATACTCCCCGTTGCTATAATCGACAGTTTATTTCAAAATTCATTAAAACAAATGCAGCTAAACTCATTTAAAATATCTAATTATGTTATCATTAAGACCATCACCTGGTTAACAAAATATACATGTGAATGTAAATGTCGTTTTCATAAATACGGTGCAATGTTTTTGACTTTTTTAATATTCTGACTTTCTCTTGTTATTATAATAATATCATGATTATGTTTGATTGTTTCAGAGAATAATGTTCAGATTACTCTTCAGTGTTGGGATCCTTCTACAAGGGTGTGATTCAAATGTGAAATGCAGGAATGACAAAGGAACCGAGGTGGACTGGTTGGTGGAAATGTAAATATACTGCTCAGTCTCAGATGAACATATAATAAATACTATATATATATACATAATAGTAACAGTAAGTGTATTTGTTTCTCCACTACCAACTCCAGGTATTTATCTCTGTATGATAAAGTATATTTTATACCGAACGAAGGATGATGGTTAATCGTATCTGTACGTGGGTGAGTGCACCAACAGATGGGAATGTAGCAAAGAGAAAATCAACAGTGAATGAAAAAGTGGTGTGTGGCGCCTGATGGTGGCTGGAGGTTGACATGGACGGTCAAAAGAGTCAGGTGAAAACAGGAAAAATATGCCATAGTCAAATGGTATGAACCATGTCTCCACAAAACTAATAACAAATAAAGTTGCTCTACCAAACCACAACCACAACTGCAAGTTCCCAACAAATGCAAGTGCAAAAAAATGTTTTGGTGATTGTTAAACCTTGTCTTTATATATCAATATATATTTTTATGCTTCAAAAACTGCTCAAACCTCAATGCCTACAATTACAAGTAAATAGAAATTGACAATGTGATTCTGTTTTTTTCCTGAAAGATAAATGAGTAGACCTATACCCTTTCTGATAAAACTATTTACAATGGAAAAGTACGGCATTAGGAGAAGAATTCATGCATTTAAAGTTTTACAGTTGCAGTGGACAGGAGGATGAAAAGTAGAATTGCGCTGCTACAACTGAAGGTTCCTCTTTTCACATCAAACTAAGTTGAATATTTGACTATGATCGACAATCCTGCTAGTATGTGCATGTCTTAAACTGAAATGTAAACCGGCAATAACCATAACAATACATTTATCATATAATGACAATGTGTATAATCAGAGTCGTAGTGATGAACCTACAGAAATAAACGCTCCTCAGCTCACCTCGCCAATAGCACTGGCTGGACTGCATATGTTTTATTTTATTAATCTTTATTGTACTTTTTGCACTACATTTCCCCTGTGCTGCTGTGTCAAACTTGAATTTCTCCCACAGAAAGGATCAATAAAGGAACATCTAATCTCTGACCTTTCAAGGCAAGCCCAGAGAAACCTTGTCCCTCCAGCAGATGAATGTGAAGAGGCCTTTTAGTACAAACTCTACAACCATTAAAGAGAAGTAACACAAAGCAAAAAGCATTTTTATATCAACAATTTAATCTCTCCATTTAAATCCAAACCTTTTCCTGAAGCTGTGCTGCAGTTACACAAAATTAAATGACAGAGAGGCGCTCTGTCTCCTCCTCACCACTAGGTGTCCCCCTCACATTTTCCCTCCACGACCACGTCCACTCTGTCACTTCCGCTTGTGAACACACGAAAACGCAGCGAGCTCAACACGCACGTGAGCGCAGAATCAGCCAAAACACACCGCTGTCATACAAAATGGACATCACAGAGGTCCCCGTGAGTCAGGACAACAAAGGTAAGAAAAAGAAGAACAAGAAACCGAAAAAGAAGAGTCCGGAGGGGAATGCGGAAAGCAGCGGGGTTGAGAAAGAGGAGGAGAAGATGGAGAAGAGCGAGCCAGGAGCAGCTGCCTTTCCCCCCACCTTCAGTGTGTCCGAAATCAAGAACAAACAGCGGAGACACCTCATGTTCATGAAATTCAAGCAGGAGAAAAGAAAGGTAAAGATAACGATAATAAATATAGCAGGTAAAGCTGTGGTTAATACAGTCTGATACACTGTAATAATAATAATAACCCCTCCGTGTAGGTTTGTAATATTATTTAGTGTGTGAGGTTACATTTACTCAGCACTGTACCAAGTTTTGTGATACTTTACTTAAAAACTTCAAGTTATTTTAAATATCTACTGCACCACATTTCAGAGGGAAATACTGTACATCTTACTCCACAATATTTACAGAAAAGCCATAGCCATTGGTCACTTTGCAGATTTATTACGTACAAACTGTCTGTTATTATTTACCTGAGCCCAAAGGTAACATATTCACATTGCTTGGTTTGTTCACCCAACAGTTTAAAGCCCAGCAGTACTCATTAATACAATTATATAACAATGAGATAACCACAAAGTGTTTATATTTAAATTATATAAATTATCAGTGTATAATCACCTGAAATAAGATTTATTATATTATGTTATCTTAGAATGAGACTTTTATATCTACAGATGCCGCCGGTAAAACATAAGACTACTTCTTCCACCGCTGACCTTTTTATAATAAATGGGGTATAACTACAGACTTCATGATCACAGGACTTGTTGCAGGGCTGTTGTATTAGACTGCATTCGATTTAGCTAGGTGCACTAATACATTAAAAGCTGAGTGTAACGTGTATAGACCTTTTCCTGAATTACTGATTAAACATTTACTGTATCACGTCTTCCACAAGTTACCAGCACTCAAATTGATGTCTTAAACTTGCTTTTTAAATATAAATGGATCAAGCAACCTTTCTAATACTTGTTAACTTGTTACCAGGAATACTTTATTTGTTTGTGTATTTGTTAGAATCCCCAGAGCACAACTAGTCTTCCTGGGGTCCACATTTAAAAACATTAGTCGAAATAAACACGTACATTAAATCTTACAGTCAAATGACAAACATAAAACTTGTTAGTGGTGATGATTTCTTTCCACATAAATCAACAAGTTTTGTACTTTTACTTTATTCACACTGCTTTTTTGGACACAGTTCTGACTAAAGAGGAATTCATTAATCAGTTCAGTGTAATATAAGTGTTCATATTTGATCTGTCTTCATATTTCAGCAAAAGATGCAGCTTAAAAAAAAGAAGAAAAAAGAAAGGGAAGCTTTAGGTGACAAGGTGAGTTTCGTTTCTCCGTTTTCTATGTTGTCACTATCAGTCAATAACTACCTTTTTATTATGTGGCTTCTTAGAATGTGTATATATAATATGTTACTATTAACATGCATTCATTTTGTGCATCCATTCTTCCATTTATTCGGTCCCTAATGTAGGCACCACCAAAAGAGGTCCCAAAGACGATAGAAAACCAGAGGGTGTTCGACGAGACAATGGTTGACCCAGAAGATGAAGAGGTATGGACCAAGTTTCAGACGATCTCAGATTATATTTGTAATGAATTTGCATTAATTTGTGTTTTCCTGCCATCAACAAGGTTGCATTTGACGAGGCAACCGATGAGTTTTCCGCCTACTTCAACGGGCTGACAAACCCCAAAGTGCTCATCACAACCTCAGACAGACCAAGAGGGGTGAGCAGGCTGCTGATTGATCATAATACATGTTTTTATTACTTTTCTTCATCATTCTCATTGAGGTTGCCAGAATCTGTCACCTTAATATCAATCGTTCTCTGGTGTATGTTTTGTAGAGGACTGTGAGGTTTTGTGAGCAGCTGGCCACAGTAATCCCAAACGCCCACGTGTACTACAGAAGAGGTTTGGCCCTGAAGAGGGTCATTCCTCAGTGCGTCGCCAGGAACTTCACCTACCTCATGGTCATCAACGAGGATCGCAAAATGCCAAGTATCCTTTTAAAGGCAGCCTTGTCGGGGGGGGGTGATACATAATGCTCTATGCTGCTTTCTGTTGAGATGAGAGCTGTGTTTAATTAAATCTTTTTACTGAACTGACTTTTATTGGACGAAAGCTCAGTAATGAATGTGAAAGTTTCAAAAAAAGTAACTAATTTCATGGCAAATTCTGACTAGGTTAGCAGTTTTTTTTAAATGTCTGCTTCCTTAACCGTGACTTTAAGATGGTATGGTTCTCTGTCATCTACCTGACGGGCCGACTGCACACTTCAAGATCAGCAGTGTTCGACTACGTAAGGAGATGAAGGCAAGTAGATTAGTCCAAGCTTTCCCCCCTTAAATAAAAACAACAAACAAACATTATTTTATTTATGAAGCCACTGTTCAGCATCCCTAAGCTTAACTGTGTGATCCCATCATAATTTTAGTATGTTTTCCCTGCAGAGACGAGGCAAAGATCCAACTGAACACTCTCCAGAGGTGATCCTCAACAACTTCAGCACACGTCTGGGCCACAGCATCGGCCGGCTGTTCGCCGCTCTCTTCCCGCAAGACCCCCAGTTTGTGGGTCGACAGGTTGCGACCTTCCACAACCAGAGAGACTTCATCTTTTTCAGATTCCACAGGTGAGTGTCTTAACTATGAACTCTGAGCTGGACGTGATGTCTTGTGATTACAACCCTCACTCCCAAGTGTTCAAGGAAGATGAAAAATTAGAAGGGCAAATAAACAATGTTTTTATTTATTTATTTCAAGATACATCTTCAAGAATGAGAAGAAAGTTGGGATTCAAGAGCTGGGACCTCGCTTCACCCTCAAACTCCGCTCCCTACAGAAAGGCACCTTTGATTCAAAGTTTGGGGAGTACGAGTGGGTCCTGAAGGTCAGTAACTTTTCTTTGAGACGCCAGAAGAGCTGTGATAAGGAAACTAATTAGGGATGCCTGGTGATATCTGCACATATGAAGGAAGGAGAGGGAGTTTCAATCTACTACTACACTGCTAGATGTCCAATACCGTGCATCCCTATAACTAACGGGTTTATTGTCAGCACTTGCGCAGTGTATCAATGTTTCATGTGGTAGACCTCTTTGCTGCCCTTCATAAATGATCGCAGAGCACTTCAGCAACATGTAAAAAGTACTTTTATGTCGCAGGTTTTTCTTGTAAAACTAAAAAAAAATACCCTTTCTGTTTCCAGCGCCACGAGATGGATGCCTGCAGGCGGAAGTTCCAGCTTTGAACGCAGAATAACAACCAACCTTTGTGGTCAAGACAAGGACCACGTTGTCTATTGTCCGAGATATTACTGCTGTTTGTGGCTCTGCACAAACAGACTTTTATTGTGGATATCCAGATTCTTAGTGGACGACCAGTGGCAACACTTGTCCTTTCAACACCGATGACGGGATTTTATGAGATAACACTGCTGTGGATCGGACACACTCACCCTGAAAATGACTTCTGTTTTCTGGAGAACAAGTGTGGAACAGGAACCTGTAGCTCATGGCAAGGACTTTTACCCCCTCTGTTAGTTGGAAGACATGCAGGCCCTCCACATGAATCCCGATAACCTAAAAAAATTCTGACCTGCAAGTGTATGTGAAAGTTGTAATGGCAGATGTTCAGTTCCTCTCAAATTTAAAGTCATTGTGAGCCTGCCCTGGTCACAGTCATGCATGCAGACATACAGCTGTATAATCCTGGTCTGTGCACATTATATAAGGCAAAAAGTGGCCAGTGTCTGGAAATGGGTAGATGCTTATATCTGCATATCTGCAGCTGCTTTTGTATGCGACAGGACTTTAAAAATAATTATGGATGACACATTGAACACCTTCCAGATTTCCAAATGTGTATATATATATATATATATATATATATATATATACTCCTTTTTAATAAAACATGTTGCTGCACGATCAAAATGTGGAAATACCATTTATTTATTCTCAAAATCAGGAATGAAAAATTTACAATTCAAAAGGCACGTGTGTGTGTGTGTGTGTGTGTGTGTGTGTGTGTGTGTGTGTGTGTGTGTGTGTGTGTGTGTGTGTGTGTGTGTGTGTGTGTGTGTGTGTGTGTGTGTGTGTGTGTGGTACTTCTAAGCAAGAAGGTTAAGAAATTTATCGTTCTACATGAGCACCTGGAAATGTTTGTGTGAATTTTTACAAAGGCAAAAGTTTAAAAAAAAAAAAACAACTAAAAATAATAAACTTTTAAGTTAGTTGCTTGTCCCTAAATTCCAAAGACTCCTGAGACGATTCCAGTCCACAGCGCAGGTCCTGCAGCCAACTTCAACAAGGCACCACCAAGTCCAAAACCTGCAGACGTATTACAGGAATTAGTTGCTACTCAAAAGTTAGTGCAGTACTGTACACGTCATCCATCAAAGTTTATGACCTCTTAGTCATCTGAGAGTTGCCTCAAGACTTTTCCAGGTACTGCAGACAACGAGTTTTACTTTAATCCAATACCAATATCAGGTATGGATAAACATGTGGTACTAGTACAAAAGCAGGTGCAAATCAGGTTAAACTTTTCAGGCATGCCCATCCCCCCCATGATGCCTGTAATCTGTTGTTTATTTGAGAGTTTTACGTAGAAAAAAAAACTGGCTTTCCACCTTTTTAAGATGGCAAAATAGTATCATCAGGAGATCCAATTCAATTCAATTTTATTTGTATAGCGCCAATTCATAACAGAAATTATCTCAGGACACTTTTCAAATAGAGCAGGTCGAGACTGAACTCCTTATAACATTATTTACAGAGACCCAACAGTTCCCACCATGAGCAAGCACTTGGCGACAAGGGCAAGGAAAAACTGCCTGTTAAAAGGCACCTTTAAAAGTTCATATTATAAAGTCCAGCATTGTTGCATCCATATAACTATATCTTTTACTTTAGGTAAGATCTAAAAGTTTCCAGATATCATGTCAGGCTGAATTATATGATGCAATATTTCTTCAGAACATTTCCAAATAGTACAAATTTGCCCAATGTGGAAAATAACAAGTTACTCTTAATTTAGGGAGAAACTTAAAAGTTTTAGGGGTTACGTCTGACCTTACATATTGGTGCATTATTATAGTGGTCCTCTATGCCAGTGGTTCCAAACCTAGGGGTCGGGACCCCGATTAGGGGTTGCCAATGCTTCATGCAAGGTCTTCTTGATTTTAATGGGTTTGAGAAAATGAAATAAAAATTCACTTTAGGCCTTAATCTCAGCATTTCCTTCATTTCTGTAAAGACGACTAAATGAAATTGTTATTTTTAACAATCTGAACACAAGCTTATTATTATTATTATTCACAGAGACTTTATACTGTCATTTGATATGAAAAAGTACATGATAATGTAATATATAATAAATGTTCCTAAAAACATCAGGAAAGCTCATCTGATGCAATATTCTTAGGAAATAATCTGCTCAAAATGTATCCAAATTGCTGGTTTTACACAGATTATGTCCCATAGTTAGTTTACTCAGTGACAGCAAAGGGGTCCCATAAGGAGAAAGGTTGGGGTCCACTGCTCTGTACAGTGACTCCTGTCAGAATCAATGGATGTGATTGGGAAAAAATGGGTGTGAAACCGGTGTCCGAGATGAAAATGGCCGTAATGACGGATAACGGGAATATCTGCGGTGGTACTCACAGAAAGAGAGAGAGGGAGAGAGGGGAGGGGGGTCGGTCGGTCGGTCGGTGCTATAGGAAGGAGCAGACTTTCTGCGGTCTGAACGGGTTGTTGCTGGAGGACATGCCGGTGAGCAGAGGGTCCTGCTGGGCGTTCTGGAGGCAAAACTGCTGCAGGTCCGCTGCGGCCTGGGACACCTGTGGGAGGGAGGGAGGGAAGGAGGGTGGGAGGGGAAACAACGCCGGAAAAAGTTAGCTACCTGTTGCTTTACTAGCTGTTCTTTGACATAAACGAAGAGCGGGTGACACCGTCAGCGTTTACAGAGAAAAAGAAACACCGGCAACAAATGAAACAACACCGGCCCGGAGTTAACGTTAGTACCGCAGCGCTCCACCGTTACCTTCACTCTGTGTATGCCGGCTTCGAGGCGTAACTGTTGGACGATTTTCTTCATCGCTGCGATGCTGGATGATCCCGACATTGTTAGGAATTTGAGGGACTGTAGTCTTAAATTACGACGAGTGTAAAACTTTTTTTTAATTTTTATAAAGAATTGGCTGTTGGGAGCTAGCTCGCTAACTTCTTCCTCATCACCGAGTTTCCGGTTTTTCTTTAAAGGAGTGTCCGCCGGTGTTGCCTTCACTGGATGTTCGTAAATTAGAAACATAATCAGAATCAGAAATACTTTAATAATCCCAGGGGGAAATTATTTATGTTTATATATGTTTTTCTGACTAGTTCCCTCTAAAGTTATTCCAGTTTGAAACTGCACCAACATGTACATGATAGTGAAAGTAGCTCCTTTTTAGTTGAAACTTATGAATTATTTACGCTCTGAATTCATAGCAATGGAAGGTAACTTAAATGCACAGTTTTTCACATTATTTGTGCTTTGGTTCATTTGTTTGCAAAAACCCGTCTTATACCCCGACTTTTACGTCGATTGTATACGTAGTTCATATTTTCTAATCGATCTAAATCCAGCATCCCAAACAAGACTGGAATTTGAGGGCGTAAATAAACGTTTTCTTCTTTTTTTCTAATTAACGACAATTTACAGCGTACGGGAAGGCAGCATCAGATCAATACAATTTGCGCCCTCTAGTGGTGAAATACATCATCACACTGGACACGATCACCAGCCGTACAAGAAAAACTCTCGATGTTATCAATATAATGTGTGTTTTTTGTGAAATTACTTAATTTTTTCAATATAAAGTAAGCAAATAAGCCACCAAACAATATAAAATAAATACATTTCACGTGTCGCATTAATTTACTAAAACTATAACATAGTTCCGTCAATTCAGATTATACTTAAACGCGAGAATAATGTAAAATAAAATCCAATAACTAATCCCGGACAGTTTCAGCTCTGGTGACGGCAGACTGGATACGTTGTTTTTTTTTTGTTTTTTTCCTGCAGCAGTTGTCATCATCAGCACCAGAGCAACCACTGCTGGCACTCTCATAAAAGAAACTCCACTGGGCGATTGACTGTGTTTCATTGCACCGGATTGTTACTTGGAAGTCCACGCCTCCACAGGGCAAGAAAAAACACACAGGCTTCCTGCAGATAATCCTAACTGAAATCTACACTCTGTTACAGTGTTTCTGTGCTGCTCCTTCTGATGAGCTGGACTGATAATGGAGCTGTCTTGTGAGTCAGTGAGATATCCTGAGGACCGGAGACCGGCCAGTTGCAAGGTATGTTGAGTGCATCATTGCAAAAGGAACATTTTATTGTGAACTAAAAATGAGTTATTTATAAAGCAATATGCTCACTGAAAGGTGATTTTTTTCCCCGTGTTTCTATGTGTTTAGTTTGTGGAGCTCCATGTGCTGTATGTGCCAGATGACCAGTGGGATGTGAAGCTCAATAAAATCCCTGCTGAAGCCATAGAGAGCTTCATATCTGCCGGCTTCATCAGGTGAAACTGCTGGAAATGTTCATTTATTATGTTGTAAAGCGATATTTTAAAAGACATGCAGATCTCAGCCATGTTGAATTGATTTGGAAGTTATGTTATCAGGTAGTTCACTTGTATAAAGTATTTAAATTCCTCCTCTTAGGTAAAAATGCCATACTGCATTCCAAGAAATAAAGCTTCAACTTCATTTAATTTTAAGTAAAAGTAGATTACTAATAAAATCAACTCTCTTAGTGTTAAATTCTTGTTGCAACATGTAAGGAGTATACTGGTGTAGCTGGTCAAGGTGGTGTGGTGTACTGTTGGACTGTTACATCTATTTAAAAAAAGCATGATATGAACATGTTCTATGTTTAACATGTACAGTCTTAATCTGCAAACACAAGTTAAAAGCTTTTTTCTGGGCTGAAAGTAAAGTCACACAGTAAATGTCAGTATTTTAAAGTGTTCAAAGTACAGTATGGATGTGAGTAAATTGACTTTATGATATGATAATGGTGTTTAAACTGAAGCCCTTGAAAGCTGATATTTATTTTTTTATTTATTCTAGCAAATACTAAACTTTAAACTCTCTGGTTTGTATTCACAGCATTTAGACTGTAACAGGCAACTAAAACGCCCTAAATCCCAGACTAGAAACTGCTTTATGTTCATATTTATGATCATATGTGTTACAGTTCAGTAATCTACAAATCTCTTATTTCACCATTGTGATGTCAGGGTTTATCCGGATATCACCCTGAAAACTCTGAGGAGCGAGCTTGGAGCTCTTCTTGGCGCAGAGAGGGGCATCGACAAATTCTCCTTCCTGAAATGTGTGGGCCGCAGTTTGGCACTGGTGAGTGCTGATTGGTTGTTTACTGTGGTTTTCCATAGCTGGTTGTGTTTCACCCGGCAGACAGTAGAGAGAAACAATGCAGATGGTTTGATTAACATGTTCACTATTCATGCTGCTACAATAAAGGGTGTGAGAGAATGAGCACACAGTTTTTACTGCCTCTTACAACAACCAAACTCTTTCCTTTTCCAGGTGAAGAGCAAACAGGAGAGGGATCTGAAAGTGAAAACATTCGCTCCACCGTATGTATGTAGAATCCATGTTCCATGTTTGCCTCCTAAAGCTGGTTATTTTTTCTTTCTTTGGCACCGTTTCCTACGTCACTGATTCAAAAAACATCAGGCTGATGTCAGTTTAAGAAGCCCAAGAAAATATGAAAATGTCTCACATTTTTTGTGAGATTTTTCCTTTTTTGTGTTTTAGGATTTCAAAATAAACTAAATATCAGTGATTTAATTTATACTGTCTAGTATGGTCTAATTTGTTTCTTAGCTGTCACTCTGCATTATCTGTGATCTTCATTCAGGTGTCAATAATGCTTAGTCATTATGTTCCAATTAAGCTCCACCAACCTGTCTGCAGGCCCCACAGCCAGAGCTTTACCTGCTGCCCACTGTGGAGAGCGACAGCAGTGTTTGCTCCCAGTCTCTCACCCCAGACACCAGCAGCAGCTCCCCAGACCACCAGACCTATTACCAGCCTCCCAAGATGTGCAGCCTGCCAGCAGGAACAAAGAAGCCTGTTAAATTCCCCCTCATTCCCCAGTGTTCCCATCAGCCACCTCCCACCACGAGCCTGGAAGAGGAAGAGGAGGAAGACGAGGAGCAGAGTTATAGTTCTTCAGAGACAGAAGGAGAAAATGAAGAGGAGGGTCTTTCTTCCAACAAGTTAGAGTGGGCGGAGAAGGAATGCTGCCCAAGGAAGCCTCAGAGTCAAAGGGCACCGCAGCCTGTTTCACACAATAAAGGTAAAATTAACAACAGTAAATATCTTTTACTCTGCAACAAAGAATGCATTATGCACTCTAGTTGTACACATTTTCAACCTTTACTTCCTTCCTTCCTGTCCTGTCCTGTCCTGCCAATCTCTCCTGTTTTTGCTGCCTTGTGGTCAAAGTGTATCATGCTACAAAATATCCTCATCTTTGTATTCATTTTAATGTGAAAAAGGAACTTTATTGTAGCTTTGAAAATGAGCCTTCGGCATTTTATAATATGGTTAACCTGGCACGTTTGGCATTGGTGGAAAAGGTACTGTACTGTACTGTACTGAGCTCTTCTGCTGCTCTATATCTACAGCTTTACATAGGCGTGAAGCTGATTCAGCTCAGGTGAAAGACTTGGCAGAGAGAGAAGAAACCTGCAGAAAGGAGAAACAGCACCACAAACAGAACAGAGCGGCCAGAGACTCAGGAGTTGCCCCGTCTCTGGAGGACAGAGATTCGGGTTTCTCCTTCACAGATGGGTACTGAGCAGCATTACTGAGTGACACAGTTGTACTCTGCAGCAAATACTAGTACTACTACTGCTGGTTGTTCCAACGGTGTGTCTGTTTGCAGGCTCGGGAAATCAAAAGATGCACTCAAGTCCATCAGGAATAAACCAAGAGTAAGTGGAGTCATTTATAGCCTTACATATGTGCCATACAGAGGTCTCAGCATGTCTTCTTCACTCTTTCCTACCTTGAAAATTGTTTTGTGATTAGTCCAAATTCCATTGCCAGCAGGTGGGTCTAGTGGGGTGTATGAGGTCTATGAAATTAACGCAGAGCCGGAGTACAGACAACTGCATGCAAGTCCACTCAGATGAAGACTCATGTCGTAATTATTGCACGTTTTAAGGTGACAGAAAGTCCAGCGGTGCTGTCTCGGCCTGTTCGGTGCACCTCTCCACCTCCAGGTCTGCACTTGGCCAGGGTCACTCAAAAAACGTCTGCCTCTCCCATCTTTCAGACAAACAGTAAGCTGCACTTTGGCTTCATACCAACATTGAATGATTTTTCTTTGTTTTAGCACCACTGACACAGGTTGTTTCTGTTAGGAGAGGAACTGATTGAGGAAATCAAGCTGGTCAGGGAGGAGAGAAGGCAGCTGGAGTGGACAAGGCAAGAGCTGCTAAGAAAGGGGAAAGATTTATTGGCTCAAAACAGACACCGCAGGAACCAAGGTGAGCAAAAAAAAAGAAAATCGAAAATTTTTTAAGGAATTATTGCAAGTTCTCAAGTTTGCCAGCAGTTTGTGAGCCCAAGAATAATCAACATATTTGTTCCGCCTGTGCTCTGACAAACCTGTAACATATCTGTGTTTTAATTGCCGTTGTTAAGTTAAAGATAAAAAAGAAAACATGCACTATACTACTGAACTATATTTTTGAGTAGCTCGTGACAGTTGGAAGAAGAAATATTTTGAAACCAAGAAGGCCACAGCCCCATTGGAGGAAAATCTGAGAAACTTACGGCAAGAGTTGGAGACATTTTACAACAAACTTTTACACCAGCTCCAGGCCAGAGATAACAGAGGGAAGCCAAGACGACAGGACAGATCTTCCATAAAGGTAAAAATTTGACTTGATTTTTATGTACTGTACTGTCATTTTTGCCTAATAGCTAATCCAATTTCTCATGAGATCCCTTAATTGTATTCTTTAGTAGATTAAGTCCAAATATTGTTTTGTAAATTTGAGTTATATTTTGAAATGTCATATACCTTTTTCACAGCATGTATATTAAATGATAGCACGATCAACATGGCTGAATTCCATTTTAATGTCACAGTGAGCCAGAAAGCATAATGGCAAAGACAAGAAAGTGAAACATTTTTGGCTTTTGCTGCTAGGACATGTCAAAATGTCTGTATGAAAAAGGTCTATTGAAGAATTTAATAAACGTTAATAAAACACACATTAGGAAGCTCATCTGCAAGTTTTAGTTAAGTTTTCAAACTATAAAAGTCATATGATTAATTGACTCAAAGAAAGATGCATTGATTTCAGAATGAGCTCATCATTCAGATCATGACAGAGAGCCATGAGATTGACAACCTGAAGAGGAAGGTAGAGGATGCCAAGATGAAGCTCGTAACAGAGATAAAGGTAACTTTTCTCTGAATCTCTCAAACTATATACTTTATATAACCTATAAAAAAAAGTTCACTAGTTGGTCAATGGAAAAAATTGCATGGGCTATTTGAGCAGTAAATATTTTAATTGTTTAAATTAAGCCCTATATCCACTGTACTTGCTACCTGTCATTTTATATAGTCACAGATGACTTCTTATCTAATAAGCAGATATTAACCAATGAACATTTTATTTCAAGAAAACCCTTTAATAATGACCTGACAGCCAAAAAACACTCCAACTTTTCATCTTTACTTTTTATGTTAATCGAGCTTCTTTGTTCAGGCATAGTGGACTAATAGCTGGTGTGCCATCTGGTATATTATATTAACACACTGCATTGTTTTTTTTAATGACTGTGCCGTGTAGTTGAGGAGACAGGCTGCTACAGAGCTAAGGGCCCTGAAGGCTGAGCTGGCCCAGAAGAAGAGCCAGTCCTCTCATCCTGCTCCCACGGTCACTATTGGCTTTGGAAATACCTCACAGGACAGATCACAAGTTCAAAGCACTTCCATCTAATTCAGTACATACAAGAACAAGACTGTTGTCTGGGCTCAACTCTGCTGGGACAGATGACTTATTATTTTGTAACTAAGTTTTGTATTTTCTATGTTGCATTTTATTATTACTTCATACGCTCTTCGGTGTGGTCTCATTTCTTTGCAATGTTGGTACTGTTGATTTCTCAAATTTCTCAGGTGCTGTAAGCGAGTTACTACAGGAAGAAAGCTAAAACGTTTAAGTGGTTATGTAACTTCAGGGATTTATAGATTCATCAGAAGAAGTTTTATTTTTGAAAAAGATAAAGTGCACAGATCTCAGTAAGCTCAATATTGGTCAATCAAAAATACTGTGTTTGTGTACATCACATTAAAAATATTGGTAGTTTTTTTTCAGGTAGCACAGAGGAATGTCTGAGATGTAGATTCATTCAAAGACAACAGCAATAAAAGCCACAATAAACTGCAAGTATGCACCCCTGAACTCAGAGGAAAGTCACACCCCATTACTGTTACAAAGGGATATATTGACTTAGCAATAAACAGTGGGCTCAGGGGTGATGTAAATTTCTGCAGCAGTGTTACGTGTATCCCAGCTAGCATCCTAAAAGTGCATTCCACATCATGGCGGTCTGCTGCCTGGCAACCGGTTCATCGCTGTAGTCCAAGATGTTGCCATTCCACATGCCAATGCCCCTCAAACCTTTAGATTGCACAGAGTCTGCCTTGGGACAAATGCTCTGTGGGTCATCATACCAAATCTGGTGAATCTGCCCTTTCTGGTCCTGTGGGGGGAAAAAAGTGCACATAATAGACAAAATGAGAACTGATGATGGCACCATCTCTTAAGGAGAAGACTTTTAGACCCACGGAGGAGAAGGCATTCAGCAAGAATGATTTACTGCAATTTTCTTTGTTTGGGAAGTGACACTGTGGTAGCTCGGGTGGACACCGGCACTCTAGATAAACAGCACTTGCCTGAAATGCTTGCCTAATAAATTACATATGGTAGTCGAGCTTAAACTCGGCAGAAAGACAAATAATCCATTAAACAGGCGCCCACTTTACTACATCTTAACCACACATCTTTGTATATTTTTAAGCAAATTAATACAGAATTAAGACAAACTATAAAATAGATACAATGTACCTTGTAATTGAAGTAAGGGGCCTGCTGCTTGTTGTCCCAGAGCCTGCCAGACATTGACATGTTGACCTGCTTCATGATCCAGTTGTATGGTTTCTGTCTTCCGGCCGCATCGCTGCAGGGGGCTCCACGGAAAGGAACTTTGGCTATAGAACATATTCCGTCCTGGTAGTGGAAAAGAAAGGAAGGGATATATCATATGTGTTTATATTTCACACAGAACAACCTATGATATACTGCAACAATAAAATAAAAATAAATAATAGCAGTAGCATGCTTTGCCTTCAACAACATTATCCTGGATGGGAGAACTATCCTGATCATGAATGACACACCTGGATAAAGCTTTATAATTTCTATATTCTAATTGTATCGTAATCTGATTTTTAAAGTAAGGTATAGCAATCTAAGGTGATTTACATAATACATTAAACCGTTTCTTATTGTTAACAATATCATCTGTTGGGGACTATTTTGAGCTGCGGATTAATACACATTTAGTGCTCCATTGAGTATTTATTTGCATGTGGGGAAATTACAGTGCAAGTCTATGGTACAGAGAAATAACATGTCAGTTTTTGGCAGCACAGGCAGTACTTGTTAGTAGGATCAAATGATTGTTAGTTTTGGTCTTTCTATGGGATTAGTTGACTATAAGTAGAGTCTACAGCCATGCTAGGGGCACTTTGAGGCTGTGGCTCTTTGAGCTAAATGCTAACTTCAGCATGCTACCCACATCCACAATGCAACAAGCTTACTATGACGATGCTAACAAGAAGCTGATGGAAATGTCATTTGTTTTCAATCATAAAACAAAATACTGGACAATTACAATGTCCGTCCAGAAGGTGGCGCTGGATGGAAAGTTACAGGATCACCCAACAAAAATGATCCTAAAGTGGACCTGAATGTGTCACATTTCACGGCAGTTCACTTAAAACTACACATGTGAACCTCCATGGGGCGCTAGAGGAAAAGTTATTAGGATTCATCATCAGGGATTTATAGCAATCCATCCAGCAGTTGTTGAGAATATTACCAGACCTATTTATTAAAAAAAACACTCAACAACCAACATTTTAACTGTATAGCTTTTAAATGAACAGTATCTTACCTGGGAAAGGTTGAGGCATGGGTAGTCATAGCCGTACCATGGCAATCCCATCACCAGCTTCTTTGGATCGATCTTCATACTCAGATACTGGTCGTAAGCTTATAAAGAAAGATAACAGGCAGTTCAATGTTGTGCTGATGAGTAGCTCCGCATCAACAAGCTGGTTTGTTCTCATTCACTACTAAACAACTGGACAACAAACCATTCAGTGTTTGATTGAGTGGAGCATTTGCCATTGCGATACAGTCGCCCGTGATCTGGCTCTGTTCATCGTAGGACATCACAAACAGCAGGTCGCAGGATTCAGCAATGGTAACGTAATCGTAGCAGCGCTTGTCGATACATTTCGGTGACCATGCAACGTCGAATGAGACCTAGAGATCAGGATAAGATAAATATCGATGGGCTGGATTTTTTAAATATAACACGGAGACAAGGCAGGTGAGGGCCTATAGCACTTCATTCATTCATTTTCCTGCCTGCCTATTTAGGGTGATGAGTTTGAGTTGGGTTTAGGAAAAACCCAAACCCAAAAATTCATTAGGAAAAAGAAATAGGAATACGCCCAACCCAACCTTATCAAAACACTGTCTTTACCTGGGAACCTGGGATCTCCCTGTGGAAGGCCTCAGTAGTCTCTTTGACCAGGTTTGTCAAAGCATAGTACTCTGGTGAGCCATCCTCCACTGCTTGCTCGATGTCGATGTTGATCCCATCCATAAATTGACTCTTGGCCAAGCTGACCTTCTCTGTTATCCACGCTGTCCTGTTTCCTTGGTCCACGATGTAGGAGAGGGGAACGTCACCTTTACCCACCAACAAGGAAAGAGAGAGATGGACATGATTACGAGAACAGTGGGTTGATGAACTGTTGACAGCAGGAGCTGGGCTAAAGGTTCATAACAATAAATATTACCTACATATAGATACCGTAACTTTGACCTTTTTCAAAACTACCAATCAAAGAAAAGACAATGGACAAACCCAACCACATAGATTCATTCTGCAGTGAGGAGAGAAACTTTGACTCTACCTTTGAGTACAACACGTGCTCCTTTGGAGTGAGCGTGACACATGAGTTCAGCGTCATATTTTCCAAATGTCGCCACCGTCGTCACCGAGCTCCAGTTGTAGGACTTCCACGTCTTTCCACCCACGTCAAACACAAACACCTGAAAGAACCACAGAGACCACACAGACACATGACTGTAAGATTAACCGCAATAGCAATTTTATTTATTTACTGATAAATTCCCAAAAAGGAAACATGAAATGTGTATTCTCAGTCAGTCTCACTTCACTTTATCCTACCACAGCAATTTAATCCTGAACTTCTACACACTACAGAAAGAAAGCAGGGCTGAAGACAGTGGCTGGAACATTTCCCCATATATTGATTATTTTTCTAATAATTCAATTAATCATTTAGCCAAAAATGTGTCAGAAACATAAAATGTTCACCAAGAGCATATCTTCTTGTAACTACAGCTTATAAATTGATATGCAATGATTAAAACAACCAGCCAATGTTTGGTATGGTATGGTAGGGCGGCTGTGGCTCAGAGGCAGAGCGGGTCGTTCCTTAATCGGAAGGTTGTGGGTTCGATCCGCGGCTCCTGGTGCCACATGTCGAAGTATCCTTGAGCAAGATACTGAACCCCAAATTGCTCCCGATGCCATGCATCGGTGTGTGAATGTGTATGAATGTTAGTTTCTGTTCGATGGACTTTGCCATCACTGAGTGAATGTGTGGAAAGGGTGAATGTGGCACGTAGTGTAAAAGCGCTTTGAGTGGTCGGAAGACTAGAAAGGCGCTATACAAGTACAGGTCCATTTACCATTTATTTATATTTGATACTTGGCTAAAACATTTAATATCTTTATTTCTTTATTTTTTAATTTTCATCAAAACTCGCATTTTTACTGAAGACATGTTAATGAAATATCCCTCCACAGTTTAAAATGTCAATATACATGTCAGTATAAAACCCCACAAATGCCACCTGAAAGAAGATTCACTGCTACAAAGCTGAATAACAATATAGAGTTTTCTCAGTCAGTCGTACCAGTAAGTGACGCAGGATAAAATCTGGGCTCCTGCACATTTAACTACAATGGCTCTTATTAATAGTACACATGTATTTGTCAAGTCACATTATCTCTTGTGAGAAGGGTCTATTGGTAGTATTTCTAACCTATAAAACATTGAACAGCTACAGAGGGGATCTTTCAACTGAGTCGTACTGTGATATGTGAGTTTCAAAGCAACATGGGACATTTAACAGAAGTCCAAGAGGCCAAATGTGCCTAAAAAGGGGAACCTTCTCAAATATCACACCACCATCAACCTCACACAGACACAGACTGCAGGGATAAAGAGGAACAGCAGTCCCAATTTGAAACTTACAACAGAAACTAGAGAAGACCAGCAAGCAGCCAATACATATTAAACAGTGTACAGTGATAATGTAGCACCCTAACTCTTACACACCTTTGTCATGAAACATGTATATTTCTGTTTCTAAAGTAAACATTGGATCGTGTTCAATTCATCTATGTCAACATTTTATAGCCCTCATATCACAAGATCCACTTCCAGTGTCATGATCATTATGTAAGAGGTTTGTGACTTAATTGTGAAATAACTCCCCTAACTTCCTTTAATTTATCCAAACAGCTTTTTGTTGTTGTTTTTGTTCAGACTTGTGTAACTAGAAGAGATACTACAGTATGAAACAATGCTACAAATTGGTGGAAGTACAAAAATAAGTAAAAGACTTTAATGCGAGGAGTTTGTGGAGTTTGGGTGTCAACAGTTACATTATTTCTGTTACATTAATCTCTACATTCCCCTGTGAGGTCAGTGATGTTACTACTCAGTGGACTACAGCGGAGCACTAAGTTCCTGTATATGTGTGTTTGAAGATATAAGCTGTGTGCAGCGGCTTGTGTCCGATTCTTTTAACAAGCAAACTACCTCAAAGTCTCTCTCTTCTCGGATCGGTTGACAGAGCTCCGGTCTCTCGCACGGACAGACGGCAGCCCTGCAGACCAGGACTGTCCACGACAAAGCCAGAAGAAACCAGGACATTTTTTATAATGGGGGGAAATTTAAATCCGAATGAAGCCCAGTCGGACTTTGAACTGTCAACAAATCCTGTGGCATGTGCTCATTTCTTCTGTACGGAGGCTGAGGTGGTACAAACTTCATGCGGTTGTCGTAAAAGGCGAGGTTGTCAGTAACTGGAAGTATACCAAAAACTATGAATGACGGAAACTTTCAGTATAAATACAAGTATAAATAAATAAATACATAAATTAATGAAAAGTAAATACATTGTGGTTAAGAAAAAGTCTTTTTATTTATTTATGCATTTCAATATTTATTTATAAATACTTATATAGAGAAATATTCATGGGGTGGCAAGAATAAATGCTGATTTAATTGCAAAAAATCCCATACATCAGTATTTGCTTGGTTTTTCAAATATTTTTGAGATCTGATCACTCTGATCAGGATTACAGAATATAGGCTACATGTGCAGTCTTTGGATAAGCATATAACTATTGGTCAAAGTAAAACAGTATTTCAATCACACAGCACAACATAAATCAGTTTACACATTATTCAGATTTACTTATCTTTATCTTTATTGGATATTCTATGCGTCGCTTTCGGCCCTAACCAATTTGGCGCCCTAGGCAAGATGATGGCGCTTTTATGTTTATTCTATTTTTTATTTTTTTTTATGTAAAGTGTCTTTGAGTATTTAGAAAAGCGCTTATAAATAAAATGTATTATTATTATTATTATTATGGGGAAGTGGGAACAGGTGGAACTTACAAGATGATGATGAGAGTTAGTACATGACCATTTCAGGCCAAGGCCTCAATTATTTCCAGAAAATGATTATTTCCCCTGAACATATGCATATTTCCAACAAACTAAATACCTATAATGTCTTTGTGGGGAGAAAATTGGTGGTAAAAATGTGTGAGCACTACATTGTAAGTCTGGTTTATATTTGTGGTGTCTAGTAAGCTCTTGTTGGCAGAACATACACCTTTGCATGATACAGTAATAAAAAATAACACAATGTGAATTTTGATTTGATTTACTTGATTTTGATACAATTTAATCTTCAGTTTGATGATGTGAAAGTTACGCAAACATATGTTGGACTGTTGCCTTTGGAGTGTCAACAGCTCAAGGTGACAAAATGACAGGTCATGACACAGTGACATTTTATAGAGCATTCTTAAATATATATTATTTTAGTCAAACTCATCTGACGCTTCTTTTAGATATTGCTCTGTAGTAAAATGTATGTAGGTTAAATATGTATATAATATCATAATTTTGTAATATTGTAAAATAGTATAAAATAGCATTGCAGTTCATCTGTTTATGTCATGTGACAGAATGGGATTTGGATTTGGGACATTGGATTGTTTGCCAGGAAAGCCAAGAGCCAGGTTGAGATAACTTGTTACGTCTGTGACATTTTTAATTCATCTTTTACTCTGTTTGTCTAATCTGCATGTTCAGGGCATGGTAACATTGGTGACAACTAAAGCTGATATTTAGTTAATGATACATTGCGATGTGCACACAGTCAGCAAAAACTGTAGACTTTAAAAGGTGGCTTCTGGCTGCAGTCATTTACATTCACCAGCCATGAGGGTGCTTGTGCTAGCTTTCACTGTAGCCCTTGCGGGTGAGTATGTCTTTATGCATTTACAACTAAATGAACTTATATTTAACTCACAATTATATTAATTGAGCTTTTTGTAGAATTAAATAATATAGAATGGAAAACTACAGGAAATAATATCTAAACTGATATTGTGTCATATATGCAGTTATAATAAGAAAATAAGTAAAATGATGACTTTTTGAAAATTTGAGAACTAATATTGAACTTGCTGACAGTGTAATGTTGAAAAATAGATGTTTAGAACTTCAGTTTTAACTACTGTCTTGGCAGTTTAATATAGATTGGAAAAAATATGGCATATATACACTATAACATTTCCGATTTCAGTAACACATTTATTGTTTTTTTTTTCAAATATTGTATCTTGTTTTTCTTTTATTAACACCAAAATAATAATTTATTCCTATTTTGTAGCGGCCAACCACATCAACTTTGGTAAGATGTCCTTCTTTCACATTAAAAATGTAATACAACAGTTAGAAAACATGTGAAATATTGAAAGCTTCTTTGTAACTTTGTAATCTATTACTGCAGTACCAGAGTTTTCTGCTGGAAAGACCTACGTGTACAAATATGAGGCACTCCTCATGGGCGGCCTGCCCGAGGAGGGTTTGGCACGGGCTGGAGTGAAAGTCATTAGCAAAGTTTTGATCAATGCAGCATCACCCGACACCTTCATGCTGAAGGTAAGGACCCTAATACACATTATTTATGATGAATAACAAGTGAACTAGAAACAATCAAGCGTTAACAATTCATTCAAACTGTCACTCTTCACAGCTGGTAGACCCTGAAATCTTTGAGTACAGTGGCATCTGGCCCAAAGATGCTTTCATCCCAGCCACCAAGCTCACCTCAGCCCTGGCTGCTCAGCTTTTGACACCCATCAAGTTTGAGTATACCAACGGTGTTGTCGGCAGAGTGTTTGCACCAGCTGGCGTCTCTGCAACTGTTCTGAATATCTACAGGGGAATCCTCAACATCTTCCAGCTGAACATCAAGAAGACTCAGAACGTCTACGAGCTGCAAGAGGTATGAATAACTCATTTCCATCCACAACATGGCGCAAAACTTAAACTGACAAACTCTATTTTGATTTTTGGGAAATAGCCTGGTGCTCAGGGTGTGTGCAAGACCCATTATGTCATCAGTGAGGATGCAAAGGCTGACCGCATCCTGTTGACCAAGACCAAGGACCTGAACCACTGCCAGGAGAGAATCATTAAGGACATCGGTTTGGCTTACACAGAGAAATGTGTTGAGTGTGAGGCTGTAAGTAAAATTTCCTTCTCACTAAACACTTTCTAATACAATCCACTCCTGTACACGGCTGATGTGATGATGTTGTGGGTCTTGTCAATGCAGAGAGGAAAGACCCTGAAGGGAGCTGCTGCTTTTAACTACATCATGAAGCCTACAGCCACAGGTGCTCTGCTCTTGGAGGCAACTGCTACAGAGCTCATCCAGTTCTCACCTTTTAACATCTTGAATGGCGCTGCCCAGATGGAGGCAAAGTATGTGGTTTAAATGAAAAAGAAACTCTTTTCTAAGCACAAAATGTCACATTGCAGATTGATGCAGTGCTTATCTATATTCACAGGCAAATCCTGACCTTCCTGGAGATCGAGAAGACCCCAGTGATGCCCATCAGAGCTGATTATCTTCACCGTGGATCCCTGCAGTACGAGTTTGGCAGTGAGCTTCTCCAGACACCCATCCAGCTTCTGAGGATCAGCAATGCTGAGGCTCAGGTATTTCAGGAAATACTCCCTCTTAATCAGATTTTTGTTGAATTTATCCTGTAGCAACATTTTGTTTCTTGACAGATTGTTGAGGTTCTGAACCACCTGGTGACCTTCAATGCGGCCAAGGTCCACGAAGATGCCCCTCTGAAGTTCATTGAGCTCATCCAGCTGCTGCGTGTGGCCAGATATGAGAGTATTGAGGCCCTCTGGACTCAGTTCAAAGCTAGACCAGATTACAGGTAACTGACATTTACATTCAGAAAAGGGCTATGAAAACTGGTGCTATGGATAATATAATAATAAAATACATTTTTCTTTCCCAGGCACTGGATCCTGAATGCTGTCCCTGCCATTGGTACTCATGCTGCTCTGAGGTTCCTCAAGGAGAAGTTCCTCGCTGCTGAACTGACTATTGCTGAAGCTGCTCAAGCCCTGCTGGCATCTGTACACATGGTGACAGCTGACCTGGAGGCCATCAAGATTGCTGAGGCAAGTCAACGCTAAACATTTTCTTGAGTATTAGTAATGATGGGAGAACTGGGACACATAATCAGTTCTTTATTTTCACCATCTTCAGGGCCTGGCTATGAACAACAAGATCCAAGAAAACCCAGTTCTGCGTGAGATTGTCATGCTGGGCTATGGCACCCTGGTTGCAAAATACTGTGCAGAGAACCCAACTTGCCCAGCTGAGCTTGTGAGGGTATGTAACGTTTGTACTTGTGTTTTATATAACTAAAATTCAGTTTCAACATCAGTGACAGTAATGTTTTTTCTGTTCCTCCCACAGCCCATCCATGAACTTGCTGTCCAGGCTGTTGCTAGAGGTGAAATTGAGGAGCTCATTGTCGCTCTCAAAGTTCTGGGTAATGCTGGACATCCTGCCAGTCTTAAGCCAATCATGAAGCTCCTGCCTGGCTTTGGCAGTGCTGCTGCTGGTCTGCCCCTTAGAGTCCACATTGATGCTGTTCTGGCCCTGAGGAACATTGCTAAGAGGGAACCCAAGATGGTAAGACTACATTTTCAGATTCCTTCCATTACTAAGAGGGAATACAGTTAAGACGTGTTTTGTTATGCGCAGTTTTATTTCTAACATTCATCTTTGTGAATTAGATCCAGGAGATGGCTGTTCAGCTGTTCATGGACAAGGCTCTCCACCCAGAGCTCCGTATGGTTGTTGCTATTGTGCTGTTTGAGACTAAGCTGCCCATGGGTCTGGTCACTACTCTTGCCGATACCCTCTTGAAAGAAAAGAATCTGCAGGTCGCTAGCTTTGTCTACTCTTACATGAAGGCCATGACCAAGAACACCGCCCCTGACTTTGCCTCTGTGTAAGAATATCTCCTTTTGAAGTTTTGTGCTATTTAAACATGTCAGCACCAAGAATCTATATATATATATATATATATATATATTTCTACTTTCAGTGCTGCTGCCTGTAATGTTGCTGTGAAGATCCTCAGCCCCAAATTTGACAGAATGAGCTACCGCTTCAGCAGAGCCCTCTATTTCGATGCCTACCACAGTAAGAGCATAACAGAATAATAATTTGTCCTAAAAAATTTCAGATTAAAATATGTGGTTTGACGGTTATTGTATTTCGCCCTGCAGACCCCTGGATGATGGGTGCCGCTGCCAGTGCCTTCTATGTTAACGATGCTGCAACTGTTTTGCCAAGAGCCATTGTGGCCAAAGCTCGCACCTACCTGGCAGGAGCTTATGCTGATGTTCTTGAGGTATGACCCTCATGTCTTACATAGCAATCTAACACTATAAAAGGTTCTTCTATGTCTGGCATGTGCCTCCCACTCTGCACATCTCAGTTTACCAATGCCCAGAATCATAAAGTTAGCTCAACACATAGATATAATTTACAATTTTTCGATCTGTTGTAACTGTCTGCTTTACTGTTTGGACCTTTAATTAATGCTATTTTCTGTTAACAAGCTTAGTTAACATGGCTATATAGACCATGTATATTATATTTTTAATCTTATCATTTTAAACAAACTTATCCATCAAATGCTATTTATTCAGCTTGGAGTGAGAACTGAGGGAGTCCAGGAGGCCCTTCTAAAAATCCATGAGGCCCCTGAGAATGCTGAAAGGATCACCAAGATGAGACAAGTTATGAAGGCTGTAAGTTTAAGAGATCATTAATATCAATCAAAAATAGAAATATTAGTATATTAATATAAGAATGATGTAATCACACTTGGTTTGTAGGAGCTATAATGTTTAGATATGGTTGTCTTCCTCACACAGCTTTCCGAGTGGAGGGCTAATCCTTTAAGCCAGCCCCTGGCCTCTGTGTATGTGAAATTCTTTGGACAGGAAATTGCCTTTGCCAACATTGACAAAGCCATTGTTGATCAGATTATTGAGGTACAGCATATTACAAAAATAACATTACAATACAATAGTTTTATTATGAATTGAATATTTGATGTCTTATTAGCGACTTTATGTTTACAGCTTGCCAGTGGACCAGCAATTCAAACTTATGGCAGAAGGGTGTTGGATGCTCTGCTGTCTGGTTTCGCAGTGCATTACGCTAAGCCAATGCTGGTTGCTGAGGTTCGTCGCATCCTTCCCACCGCTGTCGGTCTGCCCATGGAGCTCAGTTTCTATACTGCTGCAGTGGCTGCTGCATCTATTGAGTGTAAGTTCCACTGATGTAGCTTAACTCTTGCTTAATTATATATACTGATACTGACAATGTGTTGTTTTTCATAGTCCAAGCCACTGTGTCACCACCTCTGCCTGAGAACTTCCATCCTGCCCAGCTTCTGAAGTCTGATGTCAACATGAGGGCTGCCATTTCTCCAAGGTAATTCAGTTGTAGCTTACTCGAAAGCTAAATAAGCTTCTTCTCATCTTCTCAAAAAACAAAAACAAAATGTATTAAAGTTGATATTTTCTATTCCTTTCAGTGTTTCCATGCATACCTATGCAGTCATGGGAGTGAATACTGCTCTCATCCAGGCTTCCCTGCTGTTAAGAGCCAGAGTTCACACAATTGTTCCAGCAAAGATGGAAGCAAGAATTGACATGATTAAGGGCAACTTCAAGCTTCAGTTCCTGCCTGTTCAGGGCGTTGATAAGATTGCAACTGCACTGTATGTACTTGTTTGTCACGAAGTAACTTACTGTATATCAACCAGTTTTAAAATTATTATTTATTATTATTTTTCTTAAAATTATGTTTCTTTTCTTCAACAGTGTTGATACTTTTGCTGTTGCAAGAAATGTGGAAGACCTTGCAGCTGCCAAAATCACACCAATGATTCCAACTGAAGTTGCAGCAAAGATGTCAAGGGAGATCTTTTCTTCAAAGATTTCTAGGATGGCATCCTCTCTGGCTGGTAGCATGGTGAGTTTGATTCACTGACCACCTTTTCCAACACAAACATCTACCTCATTCCAAATTAACGTGGTGATCTCTGTTGTGGTCTCCCAGTCAGCATCATCTGAAATCATTCCCGTTGACCTGCCAAGGAACATTGCCAGCAAACTGAGAATCCCCAAGGCCTTCCAGAAGAAAATGTGTGCTGCAATTGAAACCTTTGGAATCAAGGCATGCACTGAGATTGAATCTCGCAACGCCGCCTTTATCAGAGACTCCCCACTTTACGCCATTATTGGAAGACATGCCGTCATGGTTGAGGTTGCTCCAGGCAAGTGAACTGGATGACATTAAACTACAGATGGAAGGAATTTTGTAAGATGTTGCTAAAAAGTAATGTATCTGTTTATTTATTTGGTTGTAGCTGCTGGACCAGTCATCGAGAAGATTGAACTTGAGATTCAGGTTGGAGAAAAAGCAGCAGAGAAGATAATCAAAGTGATTAACATGAGCGAGGAAGAGGAAATTCTCGAGGACAAGAACGTGCTGATGAAACTCAAGAAAATCCTGGTTCCTGGTCTGAAGAACAGAACATCAGCTTCCTCCAGTTCCAGCAGCTCTCGTTCAAGCAGCTCTCGCTCCAGCAGCTCCCGTTCAAGCATCTCCTCCTCTGTGTCCTCCTCCAGTTCCTCCTCTCGCCGCAAGATGATCGACGTTGTTGCCCCCATCAGCAAGACATCAAAGAGACTGAGCTCCAGCAGCTCCTCCAGCAGCAGATCAAGCCTTAACTCAAAGAGCTCCTCCAGCAGCCGCTCGTCTCTTCATTCCAGCAGCTCTTCCAGCTCCAGGTCCTTGTCCAAGGTACGACAACTTCTCCTCTGAACATGTAAAGAAAGGTGGAATCAAAAAGTACATCCAGATATTAATGTACTATTTTTTCTATTACAGCAAGAACTGTATGAGATGAAGTTTGCCAAAAACCACATCCATCAGGTAATTATCAGATTGTTTTGCTAAGAGTATGAGACAGCCACATCATGTACTCAGTTTGAGCACACTAAATGTATGGTTTGTCTGTTTGCAGCATGCAGTCTCCACAGCCCGTGTCAACAGCAGAAGCAGTGCCTACAGCTTCGAAGCCATCTACAATAAGGTAAGTCATCAGACCAAGCCATTTACAATCTGTTGAATCAGTGGAACTTTCACTAATATTGATCTCTGGTTTGCTTTTGCTTGAAGGCCAAATACCTTGCTAATGCCATTACTCCTGCTGTGACCATTCTCATCCGTGCTGTGAGAGCTGACCACAAGGTTCAGGGATACCAGATTGCAGCTTACTTTGACAGAGCTACTGCCAGACTGCAGGTTGTTTTTGCCAACCTGGCTGAGAACGACCACTGGAGAATCTGTGCTGACGGTGTGATGCTGAGCTACCACAAGTTGATGGTAAAAAGTTTGATTTGGTGACATGAATTGAGTTGGCAACAGTTGTTAAAAATGTGTGTGATGCCTGAGATTTTAACTCATTTAAATGTCTTTTAGGCCAAGGTTGCCTGGGGTATTGAGTGCAAACAATACGAGACTGAAATCACAGCTGAGACCGGTCTTGTGGGTCAAGACCCTGCAGTCCGCGTGAAGATGACCTGGGACAAAATTCCAACGAACATGAAGCGCTATGCAAAGGAGTAATGTCACAACTAATATTGTTTTCAAAAGATTTGCAAAAGCAACTAATGAATTCCTACAGACTCCCTGCAACTAACTTGAAAATGTAACATTTCAGTCATAGACCTTAGTCAGGCATCCAGATGTAGAAATGTGTGGGAATTTTTATTTTTTATTTTTTTTTTATGGGATTTCCAGGCCAGTTGGGCATTAGGCAACAATCAATTTGACATTTATTAAAAACTTAAAAATAACCCTAACCTTTATCTCTGCCTAGGCTTTCTGAATACCTTTCCCGCATCGCTCTGGAAGCCGGAATAGGCCTGGCAAAGGTCAAGAATGTTCGTAATCAGATCAAACTGAGTGTGGCTGTTGCTTCTGAGACAAGCCTGAATGTTGTGCTGAAGACACCTAAGGTGCGGTTTTCTTGGCCATTATTTGCACACGAAAAATGTTTGCATCATACTTTATCACTCATAAACACAATAATCGATTGTATATTACAGAGGACCATTTACAAACTTGGAGTGGCTCTCCCAGTTTCTCTTCCATTTGGAGACACTGCTGCAGAGCTGGAAGCGTACCAGAGCAACTGGGCTGACAAGATCACCTACATGGTCACCAAGGCTCACGCAGGTGAAAAGCAACAGGTTTTATTGCAATAATAGGCTGAATAGTAAATAGTTAACTTCCTGAAACATCTTTTCTTTCTACTCCAGCTGAGTGCACCATGGTCAGAGACAAACTGATCACATTCAACAACAGGAAATTCAAGAACGAGATGCCCCACTCTTGCTACCAGGTTTTGGCTCAGGATTGCAGCCAAGAGCTTAAATTCATAGTTCTGCTGAAGAGGGACCAAACACTGGAACAAAACCTGATTAATGTGAAGATTGAAAACATGTAAAAACAAGCAGTATTTATATTTAAAATGTGGGAATTGTGACAAAATTGGGAAAATTGACAGAATTCTGAATCTGGAAACTGACTGTAACACATGTATTTCAATTGTTTTTCAACAGTGATGTTGACCTGTATCCCAAGGACAGTGCTATCATGGTGAAGGTTAATGGAGTAGAAATCCCCATCAGCAACCTGCCATATCAGCATCCCGCAGGTTTCTTATTTAATTTATTAACTCAAATGTAACTGCTAAGATTATTCAATTTGTTGGAAGTAAAATATCACATATTTATATATATTTGCAACCTTTTTAGGCCAAATTCAGATCAGACAGAGAGGTGAGGGCATCGCTCTTTATGCTCCCAGCCATGGTCTTCAGGAGGTCTACTTTGATCTGAACGCATTGAAGGTGATACAAGAAATCTAAATTTGACTTTGACTCAAATTTGTATTAATCTCCATAGTGAGTATGTAATGGTGCAAATTTTGAACTGTTTGTTGTTTTTTCAGGTTAAAGTTGTGGACTGGATGAGAGGACAGACTTGTGGACTCTGTGGAAAGGCTGACGGAGAAATCAGACAGGAGTACCGTACACCAAACGAACGCCTGACTAGGAACGCAGTCAGCTACGCTCACTCCTGGGTTCTGCCTGGAAAGAGCTGCCGTGATGCCTCTGGTAATACTTACAGTGCCTGCTTCACCTTTCTCTATTAGAATATCATTTGTGTCAGAATACAACATAGAGAAACAATAAGTATCAGAATTTGGTTTCAGCTGATGACTACTGTAGGTAAACATATCTATTTACGGTGCTTACCTTCCCTTTTCACCAATTTCCAGAGTGTTATATGAAGCTTGAATCTGTGAAGATGGAGAAGCAGGTAAACATCCATGGCCAGGAGTCCAAATGCTACTCTGTTGAGCCTGTGCTGCGCTGCCTGCCTGGCTGCATGCCTGTGAGGACCACCGCCGTCACCGTTGGCTTCCATTGCGTGCCTGCTGGTAAGTCTAAGAAATCACAGCTGGTTCACAAAACTGAATCATACATTTATCTTGTTATCCTGTACAGTGCCTAACGCCTTTACTCTTTAAATTTTCACAGATTCTAACATGAACCGCTATGAGGGTCTGACCAGCATCTATGAGAAGAGCATTGACCTGAGCGAAACATCAGAAGCCCATGTGGCCTGTCGCTGCACCGCTCAGTGCGCTTAATCTCATCTTCATTCTATTCTATTACATGCAAGTATTGTTGAATACTTTTTTTGCTAAATTTTAATAAATTGTCAAGCATATGAAGCATGTGTTGTCTGAAATTCTTTACAAATCCTTATAAATATCAATAAGCTAAACTCAACTCAAACAAAGGTCATACTGAGAAGTCATTATATTATACTGATTACCACACATGTTGAAATAAAACATAGATCATTTAAATAAATAAGAAACATTTTAATTCAACAGTCAAGAGCCATTCTGCCCCAAAAAACAGAAAACAAAAGCTTATGCATTTTTCACCACCCAAAATCTATGTAATTCCTCTTTTTCCACAATCTCACTGAATGAAAACGTCTCTTTAGTGACAAAAATCTGTTACAATGTTTGTTGGCAAAGTCACAAAACTATGAAGTCATGAAGACACAGCCTGAGCACAAAAAGGTTCGGCCCCTTTCTTTGGTCCATTTATTCTACAGACTGGAGTCTGAATTCCACAGTCAAAGATCATCAAGATATAATATCATACGAAACAATAGATATAATTGTGTAAGTGTATTTTCTTTTATCAAAATCATCATATATATGAGAAAACATTAAAGAAGAGGATCATGGTTGTGGTTTAAATGGAGTATTTCCAGCATTCATTAGTTCTCAACAGAACCCTGAAGTCAGACTGTTAGCTAACGTCAACCCTCAAGTCAGCCGGTTTAGTTTAAAGTGAAGTGTGAAAATTACATATTTTCCATTTTTACACATTGGTTTTCGTACAAATTTAACACACAAGATAATACTTGGACTGTTTCTCAATTCCCAGTCTTCCCAGTTAACCAGTAGCTGGGATAGCTTCAATTTTCAACATACAGACATGAGAGTGGTTGTTAATATTCTAATTTAACTCTCAGCATGAAAGCAAATAAATGTATTTCTCAAAATGTTGAACAATCCTTTTTATTATGGAGCTAGAGCTGGGAGACAATTAGCCCAGTTTAGCATTAAGACTAGAAGCACAGGGAAGCAGCTAACCTGGCTCTTTCCAAAACTCATAAATATACCTACCAGTTATTCAATAGAGTACATGTTTTATCCATCGACAGATAATGGTTTAAACAGTTTAACGATAACCCTATTGGGGAAATTGTTCTTCACTCTTTTTTATTTTGTACACACACACACACACACACACACATACACACACAGGCTGAAATACACACTTCATGCACTTGTGGACATGCAACAGGGAGAGAGATGGTGGAGTGATGGGCTGCCACGTTGGTTGCTCAAGGGCACCTTGGCAGTGCACAGGAGGTGAAACTAGCACCTCTCCAGCTACCAGTCACACCACACTCCATATTGTGGTCTGTGAGACTTGAAACGGCGACCCTCCAGTTCCCAAGCCAAGTCCCTACACACTGAGCTACTGCCGCCCCAACTGGACGAGATTGGACGAGATTGGACGATGAATAACAGAGTCAAAGTAGGATTAGTAAATGGTGGATGAGTGTATAGGTTCATGAGTCTATATTTATAGAGTAACTGCACAGTAAGTTACAGATAGATGGGAGAAAAGCTTTTGAAAATAGTCCTGTAGAGTGCTGCAGCTGGCAGCTGCAAAATAGGCAGCAAATGTAATCCTTCATGGTAACTGTCAACACTGTCAACATACAGGCTACAGTCTTTTTTTACTTTTTATTCGTGCCATACAACACACCCATTCCATCAATGAGCATCTCTGCATTTTCTTGTTTGACTTTATATGTGAAATTCATGTAATAGACAGATGCATACAAAACACAAAAGCCAACAACAGACCAAAAATAACTGAAGAGAGTACTAAACAATCGATAATAACTGAAAACAAAATCCATAAAAAATTTGTGTTGTATTTTTACTGTGACCTTTTCCCAAAATAAACAACTCATTCACCTTTGTTGCCATTGTTCGGGAGTTGCAATTAGGACTGTAATTGTTTTTTTGGCTATTAAAAACAAGAAGTATATTTTGCTATGTGTCACTTGATTTGCTAAGGGGCTGCCTAATATAAATCACTTTGGGCCGAAGATTCCTTTTATATCCAAGATTAATGATATTTCCTTTTTAACTAACTCTCAGTTCCCCAGTAAATATGTACAGCCCTTAATATATGTGCAAGGCCACAAACCCTCCAACATAATAAACATTTTTTTTTATATTCAGCTATTTAGTTGTCTGACACCATTATGGTGAATGATCCATACAGAAATATATCTTTCTGTTAAAGAGTAAGGTATTTTTTGTTTAACCAGAAACAGTTACCAATTAGCCATAACATTATAAACACTGATAGGTGAAGTGAATAACACTGGTTATCTCATTATCATGGTGCCTGTTAGTGGGTGGGATATATTAGGCAGCAAGTGAACATTTTGTCCTCAAATTTGATGTGTTAGAAGCAGGAAAGATGGTCAGTGTGAGGATTTGAGAGACTTTGATAAGGGCCAAATTGTGATGACTAGACGGCTGGGTCAGAGCATCTCTAAAACTGCAGTTCTTGTGGGGTGTTCCTGGTCTGCAGAGGTCAGTTCCTATCAAAAGTGCTACAAGGAAGGAAGTTGTCACTGGCTAGTTGCTATTAGGGGGCCCCGACAGATGGCTGATATCGCTCCATATCAGCGACACAACTTGAAACCCCCGCAGGCACTGCAATGACACGTATCGACGTGCGGTCCCGGTCAAACACACAGATGTAAAAATGAAGCGAACATATCTCTCTGGGCAAGAAAAAAAAAACAAGAAGAGGATGAAAAGAAAAAACGTGACAGTGGTAAGTGGGAATGTGTGAGCTATGTGTGTTACATTATAAAAAAGTAGTGCTGCCAGCCAGCCTTCTACTTTATCCCAAACTCCCAGTCATCCACCAAGCACCAAAAAAAGTTTCAAAATTAAAGTCCGTGTAAAGTGAATTCAGCCATTTTCTTCTAAACACATTCATAACCACACAAAAAGTTAATCCTTTGCTGCCAATGCCAATGATATTTTCTCCCAGAATAAAGCATTTGTTGTCAAATGTTAAAACTGATACCAGCATCAATTCTGCTGTCAGTTTAGTCTGTCTAAACTGGTGCTAATTTGTATTTGGAATTATGTTTTTTAAATGTGAGCTGCTGGACAACTGAACTTCCCTTCGGGGATAAATAAAGTATATCCTATCCTATATATCAATACATTTTCTGCTATAGCCTAAATGTTACATTATTAACATGAAGCATTAAAGTTGTTACTGCAAATGGATGTTCATTAATTATTCCATACAGATCTCAATGGTTGTGTTTGCTTAGCATGCACAGTTCTTTACTTTACTTTACGCAAGCCAACCAAATACATTGTGCTCTTTTCTTTTTTCTTCCTCAAGGTGCTTTGTTGAAGTTTTTTGGCCCACAACAACAACAACAACAACAACAACAACAACAACAAAAACAGCAGCAGCAGCAACAGCAGACTTCTACACATCAAAGTAGGAACTTATTTAGTTTCCTTTTTAAAGTTAAGATTACGGTGACTTGCTCTCCCAATTTAAAATATATCATGGGATCTATCTGATTTAATTTTACTACACAAATATTTTTCTTAAACAATTGTTTCTTATACTATTTTCGTTCTAGCAATATCAACCTCAGATCATGAGGGGGACCTTGAGGAAGATGAGCAGGACATGATGGCAACTTCATGCAGCAGCAGCATGGCAGCACCTTTACAATTTGAGGCCACGCCACCTCTTCACCGCCCCGTGACACCACATCACCAGAAGGTACTCAAATAATATCAAATCAAATAATATCAGATGATCCTGCGCTGTGGCCAAAAGCCATCAACGACAATGCTCGGTGTCAAATTTTGAGTAAAGGACCACTCCAAATAACAGACATGGACTTTATCATTCTGAAAATTTTGCACATTTCAGTTATGTTTGTTTTTCTGTTATTTATATATTGTATGTAAAGTTTGCATTCAGATAGTTATGTTATTTATTATTTATTTTATATGTTAATTGTTTAATAAAATGTTTCTTTACTGATCCGTAGTCCTGGACTTCATTCGTCATGATTCTGGGGGGCCCCATGGTCCTTCTTGCCTAGAGCCCCCAGGGGGTCATTTTCTGTCACAAAAAACTGAATTTGCCACAATATGATGCCCACCAGTCAGAAATGTTTTGAAAGCCATTTTATTTTCCAGATCAGTAATGCATGAGACACAAGCAGTTACATGTCCATGAAAGATCTGTAATTTAGATGTATTTGTTAGGATTAAAAAAAAAGTAAAAGGCTTTAAAAGTTTCAGAAAGTCAGAAAATGGCCAGTAGAAAATGTTTGGTCTTTTATTTATAGGTGGTGTCAAGTAAGTTGAGATCCCTGAGCCGCTTAAACCACTTTGGAAAGCAAAGGATTTTCCATCGAGTAACGGAGAAAGATAACAACGGAGCATTAGGGACTCTCCATCTGAATAACGCAATGCACAGAGATTATAATAACCAAAAGCTGTATAATGATTGAAGTTGATTCTATATTACAAAATGAAATATTTAACAATGAAAGGAATCATGATTATATGATTGTAACTGATTATTTGATCATTAATAAGTATAAATGCATATTAGTAAGATAGAACTATGGAAAGTAAGGTCAAGAGAGCATCATGTTGAAGTGTTGAGTAACTAGGTGAAAAGGCACGTATTGCAATCGGACATGCCTGGTGCTGAGGGAAAAGGGAAGTTGGAGCACACACTCAGGACACATCTTGTGAGGAGCAAAAGAGGAAGTACTTAGTGATGGGTCGGTCGCGAACGATCCGGCTCTAAGAGCCGGCTCTTTGAAGTGAACGACGGGAGCCGGCTCCTGATTGGGAGCCAGATCCGGATTTTTTTTTTTCAGATTTTCCCGTTTTTTCCTGTTAAAGCCGCGTGATTGGTCAAGATGTGTGGCGGCATCTGTGTATCTACACTGAGCAGGAGGGGGAGGGAGGGGTTACAGACACACGGCACAGTGAGAATGTGAACAGGTGTGAGGGAGATGTGAGAGCAAAGACCTTGGCGCTACACAGACAGAGACTAAACACTGGAAAGGGTGAGGAAAATGAGTGACAGGAAACATAGTAAAGTTTGGACACATTTTAATGTGATAGTTCAAAGGCAGAGTGTAGACTGTGCAAAGTTAAACATTTTATATCAAGCAGCTTTTTGTCTAATTAAGATGGGTCTTTGTTTTTGTGTTTTATAATTTATTTTTGTAGCACTCTGTTCCATGTTGAGTATATTAATTAATCCATATAAATACTAAACATTTGATATAATGCATGTATTTACATTAGATATTCATTTTAAACATAATTTGGTAATAAATTAATTTAAGCAAAAAAAAATATGAGGAGCCACCTGGGAGCCGAAAGAGCCGGCTCTTTTTAGTGAGCCGAGCCAAAGGAGCCGGTTCTCTAAAAAGAGCCGGAATTTCCATCACTAGAAGTACTATAGGTGAGAACTGAACAACACCCTAGGAGACAAGGGGGATAAAAGGGGCTGCACAAGGAGGATCGGGGTTAGTCCTCGGCAGGCTCTCGGGTTCAAGACTTGCTGATCGATCGACCACGTCGGAGCAACGAATCTTTGAACTTAGAATTTCAACTCAAGAGACGGAGCAAACGAACAAGCCCAACATCAAGAGAAGTCCAACAACCTAAAGCCGAAACGAGAGTGTCGAGCAGAGGAGGATTAACCATTTCCACCCGGCTTTAGGATTCCAATTGATCTCCAAGGATCCCTCTTTTGTTCACCTTGCCAGCAGAGACTGCACTAGTGGTCAGAGACTTTGAGGACTTTGGACAAAGTCGGGAGTTTCAACAGCAACCAACAGTACGGCAGGCAAAGGGAGGACTGTTGGTCGTACACCCCTTCCCTCTTTTTCTTTAAATTGGACATTTAACCTTTCAGCTACAGTCTTCTCATCAGGGTTTGAAATTTAAACAATTCTTTGTAATATCAGAGATAATTGATCTTTATCAGTAGATGTGAATAATCAATTTTGAATCAATTTATGCTGTATGCTAGTCCTTGCTGAATCTTGCAATAAAATATAACATCTGCAGTTAAAGAATAAATTGTGGACATTGGATTTATGTTATCTCTACAGGTAGTAATTATTAGGTAGTGTGTTTAACATCTTGAAGGTTCTAACAGGTTACTCTAGCCAAATACATTAAACAGACCCCTGGGGCTTACTGTCCAAGCCACTAAAAATAATCCTAGCACCTACCAAGTGCACAGGTCAATAAGAGGAGAGGAAGAAGCGATTTGTGTCTCCTCGCCACCAGCATAAACAGTCCTCTTCTGAACCTGGCAGGGTAATACTCACAGGCAAGAGGCTCGGACCCTTTAAACGGAGAGCTGGTCCAGTAACACCTATACGGGGGTGACTCGGGTGGTCAAATCAGTATTTCCTATTAACTCTGTTACCATCAATGTCAATTGTTTGTTTAAGATGAAAAATGATCATTAGATATTAATGGATGTAAAGAGTTCAGAATAAATATTTTAAATGGATCAGGGAATACTGAAAGTGCTCAATTTAAAGTGTGTACTATGAGAATAAAAAGTTTTATACTTCTGGAATGGGCCACTTACATGACACACATAGTAACACTATAGCCTACTTTTTTGCTACTGAAATGCTGAAAATATGGCCCAATAAAGGCCTACATGAGACATTTTTCAGTCATTAAGTATTACATTAATTGATGATTATGGATTAGCATGAGATACCAGTGTGGAAAAATCCCTTTTAAAAAACCTGCATTCAATAACAGCTTTGAGAAGTTTGAGACCCACTGATTCCTGTTCAGGAACACAGGGGGTGGGAATCTATCCCAGCATGCACTGGAGGCAACATTTTCTTCTTTTAGAAATAGAAATAAATATATTTGCTCATGGTTCACTGTAGGTTGAAAATACTGTCAGTAAAAGGCAAACCACTTGTGTCCAGATCTGCAGTGTTTGGATTCAGATATAAATACTATAAATTTACATTAACATTATACAATTATAAAAAGAGTTAGACTAGATCTAACAGTATTTTGCTGTGGATTAATTTGACAGTACGTTTTAAATGATTAATCCTTTCTATATATGTACATGTATATAACTTAATGTTTTCTTAGCATCAAGTTATCTTGAGGACTTTTTTGGGAAATAAAATTAAAATGAATAGTTTAGCCAGCATTAGTCAATAACTGTTAGAGCCATTCATACAAAAGATAAATATTTGTTAATAATTTGCCAATGATAAATAGTTCTACACTGTAGTTTCATCGTAAATAGGTGAAACAACAAATTTGGACTACAGAGTTTTATTGAAACACAGGTCAATTAAGGATTCTATAGCTTGGTGGCCATTTTAAAGGACTAGACAATTTTCGAACACTGAACAAGGTTAACATTTTTCTACACATACAATCTAATAACACCTCCATTCCACTTCGCTGTGTTACACTGTGAGACAGAAATGACATGACATCAGTGGTCACCCTGACCACAACAAATAAAGTGAGCAAACAGCCATAGTCATGGTGCCCTCTTGTGTAAACTTTGAAACTGCATTTAAATAATATGATGAAGAGAAATCAGACATTCATAAAATGTGTTTATATCACAGTTGTGAATGTGGGAATAAAAATATCCAGGCCAACACCTACAAGTGTCAGTGTTGGGTCTCTGTAAATAATTTTATAAGGAACACTAGACCTGCTCTATATGAAAAGTCTCCTGAGATAACTTCTGCAATGATTTGGCACTATATAAATAACATTTTATGCAATTAAATTGAATACAGTAAAAGTTAACTGAATCAATTTTCCCTTCAGTTAAATAAATAACTTGTTATTCATTTTCCCCTTTAATTAAAATGTGTTGAGGTCTTATAATCTTTGGGTCAGTGAAAACTTTTTTTTTTTTTTCTAAAGAAAAGGGTTTTACTCAGTTTAACTCCTTATTTTCTATGTCAAATAAGAACTACATATTTGCAAATAAGAGCACATAGAGCTGCTGCCAACAAAGGCAATATCCTCAAACAAAGTAAGGACTATTACAGGAAAACAGCGTTTTCTTTTGATGTATTATTATACAATGAATTGTGAGAAACAGCACACACTGATTGACACGATGCTGACTTGACAAATCTGAGGAGATCAAGGTCAGGTGACCCTAACTTTTCATCCATTAAAACAAACCCTGTTGTCCTCCCCAAACCAAACCCAAAGTTTGTTTCAATCTAAAAGAAGAAATAACCTATCTATCTAATAGTGTGTATTTATCAAACAGACCGGGGACCGTATCATATCTTCATGACATCCTTGTTGGACTTTGTCAGCTGAAGTTTACCTTTAAAAGGCAGCCTGTGACTGCACACTTTCACAACCCCTTCTGCCATGAGAGCTGTTGCGCTTGCTCTGACTCTGGCCCTTGTGGGTGAGTATGATTTCTGTTTGAAAAATGTGACTTATCAGACACCGCAAATTACTTTATATTTGTTCTTTCTTAAAATAATGCAAAAAAAGATTATTAGAAAGACTACTAGCTAGATTTTTAAGTGGTTTCTGTATTACTTTTTAGTCTGTTTTTACTAAATATTACAAAGCATTTTAACTTAATTTTTAAACTTTTATTTAGATGTAATGGAAATTACATCTGTTTACTCTTATTAGGTACCTGTAGCAAAAATTATGCTTTTATGCTGTAGTGCTAACTGGTTGATCCTACTTTTAAAGTCAGACTACTTTACTTGTATTGCAAGCTTAAGGTCTGTAAAAAAGACAGTGAATGCAATCTATCATTGCTATGAGAAGGAAGAGACAAAAAATGGTCAGTATAAGAGAAACTACAGCTTTATAATGGGTACACTGGAAACATTTATGAGACAAATCTCAATATTTTCCAATTAGATCTAGTTAATTTAAAGTGAAAACTAAATTATTTCACATTTAACATTTCTCACTTTCACTTTTTTTATTTTTTACATTATATTATTTACAGTAGAATAGAATTGCACTGCATTTTTTCCAACGTAATAAAAAAAGCTAAAATGTTTAAAACTAGATTTAATAGTTTCAAAACTTACTTGATGGATTTTTCTTTTTTCAATTTCATTTCAGCGGGGCAACCGCATAACCTTGGTAAGTTCACTACTTTGTATAAGATTATACTGTAATCTTAAAGGACAGTTTCCATTTCTCCAAACAATGTATAGAAACCCATAAATAATTAGATAAACAATGCATTGCAACATTTAAAATCTTTCTATTTCATAATTAATATGGTGTCATATATAACTCAAATAGTTTAAGTGTAAAATTATTCTTACAGCTCCTGAGTTTGCTGCCGGTAAAACCTACGTGTACAAGTATGAGGCACTCCTCCTGGGCGGTCTGCCAGAGGAAGGTTTGGCAAAAGCCGGGCTCAAAGTCAGCAGCAAAGTTCTCATCAGTGCCGCAGCCCAAAATATATATATGCTTAAGGTAAAGATCAAAATCATGTTCAAGAAACAATCTTCTATCTAAATGCAAACTGCCCACTAATAAATCTTATTTTTACACTCCAGCTTGTTGAACCTGAGCTCTTTGAGTACAGTGGCATCTGGCCAAAGGATCCTTTAGTTCCAGCAACCAAACTGACTTCAGCCTTGGCAGCTCAGCTCATGATTCCCATCAAGTTTGAGTATGCCAATGGTGTTGTTGGAAAAATGTCCGCCCCGGAGGGAATTTCAACAATGGTGCTCAATGTTTACAGAGGTATCCTGAATGTCCTTCAGCTCAACATCAAGAAGACACAGAATGTCTACGAGCTGCAGGAGGTTTGTCAAAGATCCTCCAGTACTGATTAAAAATCCATTACAAGAAGTTGAATCTCCCTAGTAAATGTATGCTTTTCTCATTAGGCCGGAGCTCAGGGTGTGTGCAAGACCCTCTATGCCATCACTGAAGACGACAAGGCTGAACGCATCCTTTTGACAAAGACCAGAGATCTGAACCACTGTCAGGAAAAGATCATGAAGGACTTGGGGTTGGCATACACTGAGAAATGTGCAAAGTGCCAGCAGGTAGGTTCAGACCCATTTTGTGTCATGCATACATCTACAAAAGTAGAGAATATTGCACATTTAAAAACTATGTGGTTCATCTTCACAGGATTCAAAGAACCTGAGAGGAGCCACAGCATACAACTACATCTTGAAGCCAGTTGCTAGCGGCATCCTGATCCTGGAGGCAGCTGTCGATGAGCTGATCCAGTTCTCACCTTTTACTGAGATGAATGGAGCTGCTCAGATGCAGACCAAGTACGTCGATAGAGACTGATAATGTTACAATCTCAGTTTTGAATTTATTGGAGCAGCAGATTAACCTTTTTCGTATTACTTTCAAGGCAATCCTTGGTGTTCCTTGAAATTCAGAGAGCCCCTATTGTACCAATCCAAGCCCAGTATCTTCACCGTGGATCTCTAAAGTACGAATTTTCCACTGAGCTTCTTCAAACACCCATTCATCTCATCAAGATCCACAATGTACAGGCCCAGGTATAATCTCAGACTGCTTTAAAAGATCAGTGAAGTGATGAAAAATATGTGAATCTTTACTATGTTAAGTGACTTTCCCTTAAATTTTGTATTCTTAGATTGTAGAGATTCTAAATCACCTGGTTACCAACAATGTGGAGAGAGTCCATGAGGATGCCCCTCTGAAGTTTTTGGAACTTATTCAGCTCCTGCGTGCAGCCCGCTTTGAAGATCTGGAAATGCTCTGGAGCCAATACAGACTGAAACCCGCCTTCAGGTGACTTAGAGTATTTGAACGTTTGAATAAGATGTAAAGATATATGTATATTGTATACAGGTTCACTCAATCCATTTCCATCTTTCAGACAGTGGATCTTGGATTCCATCCCTGCCATTGGAACTCCTGTTGCTCTGAGATTCATCAAGGAGAAATTCCTGGTTGATGACCTGACTTTTGCTGAAGTAGCTCAGGCTTTGATTGCATCCATTCATATGGTGACAGCAAACACTGAGGCCATCAAGCTGGTTGAGGTGGGTAAACCACAAAACAAGTTATTCTGTCAGTAATAAGAATAGAGATATGACACATTCCTGATTGTTTCTCTCTTCTAGGCTCTGGCAATCAACAGCAAAATAGTGGAAAGCCCTGTTTTGCGTGAGATCGTCCTCCTTGGCTATGGGACCATGATTTCAAAACACTGTGTTGAGCTGGCTGTCTGCCCTGCAGAGCTCATAAGGGTGATCAAACCTTGTTCTTTTCATATTATTTCAAACTCTGAGGCAAATTTCTGGATGAGAAAATTAGATTTTAATTTCTCATATTCCCCAACAGCCCATCCAGGACCTCCTTGCAGAGGCTGTTGCTAAAGATGAGATCCAGGATATCATCCTGCTCGTGAAGGTTCTGGGTAATGCTGGCCAGGCTACTAGCCTTAAGCCGATTACAAAGATCCTGCCCATACATGGCACTGCAGCTGCATCTTTGCCCATAAAAGTCCATGCTAATGCCATCATGGCCTTAAGGAATATTGCAAAGAAAGAACCTAGAATGGTACATTTTTAACACCAAAGAGTATTTCAAGCTTTTTCTTTTCTAGTTTTTCATATAACTCCATGCTGAGTTGGCTTTCTCTTGTACATTAGATCCAGGAATTGGCTCTTCAGCTCTACATGGACAAGGCTCTTCACCCAGAGCTCCGTATGCTCGCAAGCATTGTGCTGTTTGAGACAAGGCCTGCAATGGGTTTGGTGACAACTCTTGCCAACATTGTGAAGACAGAAGAGAATCTGCAGGTAGCAAGCTTCACTTATTCTCACATGAAGTCCCTGACAAGGAGCACCGCTGCTATCCATGCCTCAGTGTAAGAGCACTCTCTGATTCCCATTCATCATCAAGTCCATCTCCTGATGTCTGCTTACTCAGCTCTTTTATGTTTTCATTGCAGTGCTTCAGCTTGCAACGTTGCCATCAAAATCCTGAGCCCAAAGCTGAACAGACTGAGCTTCCGTTTCAGCAAGGCCATCCACGTGGATATCTATAACAGTTAAGCCAATGTCACATCTAGTATAAGTTGCCTAAAGTTTATTTTTTTCTGTAGCATCAACCAACTGCATCTCATCAAAATCTTTTAGGTCCCTTGATGCTTGGTGCTGCTGCCAGTGCTTTCTACATCAATGATGCCGCCACCATTCTGCCCAGATCTATTGTGGCTAAGACCAGCGCATACCTTGCTGGAGCTGCTGCCGATGTTCTTGAGGTAAAAGAAGAGAAAGAACCTCCCCATTATTTTTTAAGTATTCAACCATAAGGATGGTAATCGAGAACCAGTTCCAGTTGAGAACCGGTTCCAAATTGTCTGATCCATCATAATTGTATGCCTCAGAGCTTATCAATTCCTTTATCAATGCTGGGAAGTGTTTTCTGACAGTTGTGCATTGCAAAACAAAAATGTCAAACTCTACACTGCTAGAAACAGACTTTTTCTTAGACTAAGAAAGCCTGTGTAGGAACAACTTTTTTTCAGGAATCAGTATGTCATTGGTATCAATACAGTCTTATCAATTACCATTCCTATAACCATTCATTTTAAATGAATGTTTTTAACATGTTGAATTTTTCCTAGGTTGGAGTAAGAACTGAAGGACTCCAAGAGGCTCTTCTGAAAAACCCTGCACTTATTGACAATGCTGACAGGATGACCAAGATGAAGCGTGTCATTAAGGCTGTAAGCAATTCAACACCAGGAAGTCGCAAATATAAGGATATAATAGCATAAAATGGCACATGGTAAATGTGCAGGCTATTGATTGCATTGTGTGTTTCCTCTTTCAACAGCTGTCTGAGTTGAGGTCTCTGCCCAGCAGCACACCTCTGGCCTCCGTCTATGTCAAATTCTTCGGACAAGAAATTGCCTTTGCAAACATTGACAAAGCCTTGATTGATCAGGCCATTGCGGTATGATTCAAATTACTATCTGTCAACTTCAAGATCAATTTATTAACAAACGGTTAATCACAATTTTTTGCGGGACAACATGTGATTATAAATCCTGTTCTACAGCTCGCCACTGGTCCCTCTGTTCAGACAGTTGGAAGGAATGCCCTCAAATCACTGCTGTCTGGTGCTTCCTTCCACTTTGTTAAACCTCTGCTGGCCACTGAGGTGAGGCGTATCATACCTACTGCTGCTGGTCTTCCAATGGAACTCAGTCTGTATACTGCTGCAGTGGCTGCCGCAGCTGTCCAGGGTAAGCAGCAACTAGAAAACATCCACAGATTCGCTTGTTATAGTTCCACTTATCCCTCTAATGTAGTTTACATGATCAAAAAAGGTGCTGAACCATCATGATGTACTTGAAAACATTCATTTGTAAATCCTGATATATACCTTAAATATATCTTCTAAAGCCTAATATTATCATCTATACTAAATACATTCTTTGCAAATGTCTATCACTGTCACATTGCTTTTCCAAAGAAAAAAGAAAATAGTGTGCTTGACTTCAATATAATCTAATAGTGGAACCAAGGGCATTACAAGTATTATACTAAATGATGCATGGATTTATTTGTTCTCTTAGTCAGGGCCACCACAACACCAGCTCTTCCAGAAAACTTCCATTTTGCTCATCTTCTGAAGACAGACATTCAGTTTGAGACTGAGATAAGACCAAGGTAGGAACAACACCTGACAATAAAATAAAAGATGAGGGGGAAATGTATCATATCATTAAATGTAACATACAAATGCCCTCTCCCTCTAGCATTGCTGTGAACACATTTGCTGCGATGGGAGTAAACACCGCCATACTCCAGGCTGCCCTGCTATCAAGAGCTAAACTCAACTCCATTGTGCCCGCCAAAATCACAGCAAGACTTAACATCAACGAGGGCCACTTTAAGATCGAAGCTTTGCCTGTTTCTGTGCCTGAACATGTTGCAGCTGTGCAGTAAGGCTGACATTTTAAAAAGATGAAACTTCTGTCACTTTAAATATTTATCTTTGGAGCCTGCTTAAAGTTATTTTTCTGTCAACAGTGTTGAGACTGTTGCTGTGGCAAGAAATATTGAGGATCTTGCTGCTGCAAGAATCACTCCTATCATCCCTGCCAAAATCTTGCAGACCATCTCAAGGGAGATTCTCACATCTAAGATTTCTCCATCGGTTGCTGATAGTTGGGTGAGCTTTAAACATTGTCTTTTGAGATTACTACCACAGTATCTACATTTACAATATAATTAATTATTTTCACAGTCACAATCCTCAGAGATCATTCATGAAGATGTGGCAATCAAGCCCATTATAAAATCCAAAGCAGCTCAGTTTGAGAAGAAGTACTGTGCTAAAGCCATTGCCATTGGACTCAAGGGCTGTTTCAAGATCGCCACTGAAAATGCTGTTTTCATCAGTGACATTGCCCTGTACAAACTGGCTGGAAGACACTCTGTTGCTCTTTCTCTCAAACCAAGTAAGTACTAGGAACCCAATACATTTTGTAGAAGAAGTGTACACAAAGCAATTATTAATGACATTATTTAATGACATTTTCAGTTGAAGGGGAAGCCATTGAAAGTCTGGAGATAGAGGTTCAAGTTGGACCAAAGGCTGCAGAGAAGCTCATTAAACAGATCAATCTGAGCGAAGAAGAAATAATTGAGGGAAGACCAATCTTGATGAAGCTTAAGAAAATCCTTGCTCCTGGTCTGAAGAATAGCACCTCATCCTCCTCATCTAGCTCCAGGAGCTCTCGCTCAAGCCTGAGCTCCAGGTCTTCTTCCAGCAGCAGCAGAAGCAGCTCCTCCAGGTCTGTGAACAGATCCAGCTCTGCATCTAGCCTTGCATCGCTCTTCGGTGCTAGCTCAAGTTCCTCCTCCAGAGCTCAACTTTCAAAGGTAAACAAGTAAAGATTGTTTTGTGACTTTGCATGGAATAATGTTTATGTATCTACATATCTCAGTAAGCGTGGAATCTGACTAAATATTTTTCTAAATAGAGAGTGATTTATCGCCACAAGTTCCAGAAGAATCACAAGAAGGAGGTACGTTTAGGTGGTGCTTCACATAATGAAAATGTATTGTACAGTTTGAACATGTTAACTTGTGTTGCAGCTTTTTCATGGTGGCCATATATTATTGTTGTAGGTTCTCTCCTCCCAAGTAACCTCAGCAGCACTTTCCAGGAGCAGAAGCAGTGCCTCAAGCTTTGAAGCCATCCGGAGACAGGTGAATCTCGGTCATGTTAAATACATTTTTATTTATGGGTTTGTTGGTGTACTCAGATGCATTAACCATGATTCTGTTTCCACAGAACAAATTCCTTGGCAACGAAGTAGCTCCTACCTTTGCAATCATCGTCCGTGCTATCAGAGCTGACAAGAAGTTGTTGGGATACCAACTGGCAGTCTACTTGGACAGACCTACCACCAGACTTCAGATTATTCTGGCTGCCTTGGCTGCTGATAACAACTGGAAGCTTTGTGCTGATGGAGCTCTGCTTAGCAAGCACAAAGTCACAGTAAGACACCGTCTTGCTTATGCCATGGATCTTAGGATATAATATAAAAAGGCTACTGTTATAATCAGCTGCCATCTTGTCACATCTACTGTCTCTGAATAGGCTAAAATTGGCTGGGGAGCAGAATGCAAGCAGTATGACACCATGATCACAGCCGAGACTGGTCTTGTTGGTCCAAGCCCTGCAGCTCGCCTCAGAATGGCCTGGACTGAACTACCTTCTGCACTTAAACACTATGCACAGAGGTATGAAACTTAACTTCGCATGTCCTTAGCCTGCTCGCATGCAATATAGACAATATAAAATGTCTCATGTCTGGAAATTATTTTACAGGGTGTATGACTACATTCCTGCTTCCATGCTGGCTGGCTTGATTCAAGGAAAGGATCAAAACAGCGCCAATCAGCTCTCACTTACAGTGGTTGCCACATCTGACAGGACCCTTGACTTAATTTGGAAAACACCAACAGTATGAATAATTAAGTAGTTCTCCCAAAATATGAAGCCATGTTTATTTTTTACTGTTTTTCTTTCATTTATGTGAATTATTCTGTCTACAGCATACTGTCTATAAGCTGGCTCTGCATCTTCCTATCGCTCTGCCACTTGTTGAAATCAAGGGTCTCACTCCATTCGATGGCCTTGCTGATAAAGTCCACTACTTGTTTGCCAAGGCTGGCGCAGGTAATAGATCTTATGTGGACCATACTGTTTAACATAAATGTTGGCAGTTATCTTCCAGAGAATAAAACTTTTGTTTTTGTCTTCACAGCCGAATGTAGCTTCAGCAAGGAAACACTGACCACATTCAACAACAGGAGATACAAGAACGAAATGCCGTTGTCTTGCTACCAAGTTCTGGCACAGGATTGCACCGATGAGATTAAATTCATGGTTCTGCTGAAGAAGGATAACATCAAACAGAACCATATCAATGTGAAAATTGCTGACATGTGAGTGTCTATTAAAAACAAGAAAGAAGCTGTGGTTTTCATCCACAAGCGGACAAAACTAAATGACATTTTAATTTCTGGACTTGTAGCGATATTGACCTGTACCCGAAGAACACTGACGTGATTGTAAAGGTCAATGGAATGGAAATACCAATCAACAACCTGCCATACCAGCATCCCACAGGTTTCTATACACATTCATCCCACCATCAAAATTTTACACTTAAGTAATAACATGTAATTTACCACTGCAAACTACACATTATGGTTCCAATACCCAAACCTTATGAAAGTATTTGCATGTAATGTATCTAAACTGGCTTGAAATAAATTACTATGATCCTTTTGTTTTGTTCTTACAGCTAAAATCCAGATCAGGCCAAATGGTGAAGGTATCTCTGTGTTCGCTCCCAGCCTGGGTCTTCATGAAGTTTACTTTGACAGGAACTCATGGAAGGTAACTATAACATTAATTATAGACAATTTAAGATTATATATTAAATTGAAATGACAACCTTCGAGAGCTATTTCAACAGATACTGTATATTGATCGTCTGTAATGTCTCATTTGATTTTGCCTTGCAGGTTCAAGTTGTGGACTGGATGAAGGGACAGACCTGTGGACTCTGTGGAAAGGCTGATGGGGAAGTCAGACAGGAGTACCGCACACCCAACGGACGCTTGACCAAGAACGCAGTCAGTTATGCTCATTCCTGGGTTCTGCCAGCTGAGAGCTGCAGGGACACCACTGGTGAGACGCAAGGTTCATTGTGTTTATACTTTTACAGCAACATCCTTTTTCAGATAAATGTTTCCACCCTTTTCTAACACAATTGTTACATCACTGCGTTTGGTTAATGCAAGTATTTAAAAAAACATAATGATGCACTGAATCCCTCAGAGACTCGCCTACAAACACCTTTCTCCTACAGAGTGCCGCATGAAGCTTGAATCTGTACAGCTGGAGAAGCAGGTAAACATCGAAGGCCAGGAATCTAGATGCTACTCTGTTGAGCCCGTGCTGCGCTGTCTGCCCGGCTGCTTCCCTGTGAAGACCACAGCCGTCACTGTTGGCTTCCACTGCCTGCCTGCTGGTGAGTGTGCACGAAATCACAGCTGGTTCAAGGCACACAATATGAAAATGTGGGCAAAAATGACACAGTCCTTTATTTTTCTCCTTTCACTTGTGTAGATTCTGACTTGAATCTTACCGAAAGTGTGAGAAGCATCTACGACAACAGCGTCGATCTGAGGGAAACAGCAGAAGCCCACCTTGCCTGCAGCTGCACTGCTCAGTGTGCCTAATCAAAAAATTATTACTTAAATCATGTGTAATTTATTTAATTCATTTTAAATAAATTTCATCTCAAAACAAGTTTTCTTAAAGTTGGTTCAATTATGGCGACTTCACTACAATGAAATTGTTTCCAATAGAGGTCAATAAGGGGTCAAATGACAAGAAACTTGTGTTTCAAGAATGTGTAATGAATGTTTCAAGAATAGAAGATTGTCTACAATACATCATGTCACGTTCCTGTGGTACAAATTCTCTCAATATAAAGCCACTAGAATAAACACATTAAAAAAATTATGAGAGGAATTTACATTCATATTGACATCAGAGTGGTCTAACCTTAGTGCAGAGTTCCACTACACAGTATGTAATTTGTTCAATTTTACAGCCTTTGTTCCTATTTAACTACATCATCATATATGACCTGCTACTAATGTGTGAACAGTTATTAAAAAACAATGTTGTTAAACACATTTCTGTGTTAAACTATAGAAACATACATACCCAGTTTCTTTTTGCATTTAGTGAAACAGCAGCATTGAATCTACATTTAAACATTGTTAACATATTTAACATGATAACAGAAGCTGAAAAGCTGTGATATAAACAGCACGATTTAGGTACCACAGTGACCATTAACAAGGGCCAGCCAACATCTCATTACCGGGATATGGGATCTTTTGTGGCACGCTTACATTGCCAAAAAATACTAGCCTTGGACTAAGATCCTAGACATGAGGTCTGACAGCCCAAACAAGAGTTACAGTAGCACATAAATAAATAAATACATTAAGATATTAAAAAAGAAACAGATTACAGATTTTCTCTCACTTACACAGAGCACAGAACACCAGCAGCTAACCAGTTTGGCTTCAACTGTTAACAGCTATTTAATTATTTTACAGTCTATCTGCATTTGTTTGGCATTTACAATTCAGGTGTATTTCTGAAATACCACAAATAATCCATAATTAATGGACATTAACAATAATTCTGATTCAAATGATGAAAGTTTTTGGTTTCATATAGAGCTGTTCTTTTCCTTTGTGAGTGTGTGTCTGCTGTGGTCTTCGCTGTCGTTCCACTCTTTGTGCTGAACGGGAACATTTCCATTAAAAAAGAAGCTTGACTCTCCAGCATGTTCAGCCTTTCTCTTTGGTTTGGTTGAGCTGTAAATCAAATTTGACAAAGAGTCGGTCTGGGATACACAATAGGAGCATTCATTTACATGTGCATCATGTCATAATTTGTATTATTTCACAAATCACTGTGCGAATACAGACACTTTACCTGTTTTCTTGGATAAGGCAAAGTGTGCGATGCAGGTCGGCTGTTGATGGTGATGTGAGTGGGACACATCTGGGTGTGGAGGAGGTTGTGTTAGATGGGCATCTGGTGAGATTTTCTGGAGCCGACCCTGCACTCACCTTCGTTTCAGCTGCAAAGATAAGATAAAACTTTTTTGATCCGTGTCAGGAAACTGACTTGTTGATTAATAAAAATAAAAACAACAAACTAATTGTAATATAAACTCCATACTGTAACTCAAATAAGTAAAAAAGTAAAAGTTCAGTTAAATTAAATTCCATCACATAAAAGAATGATCAGCACATTGTTCAGACTATTGATTACCTGTGAGTTTCATTATCATTTGGTTTATTGAGTATGATTATTATTCAACAAATAATTCTGGAAGATTCTAATATCAAGACAAGGGTGAACTGGGCCAGCACATTGTGAAGCAGTACACACTCACATATTAAAAAGGCACTTTTAGACTTTGACATCGGGGGTTTCTTTGAGTCAGCAAATGGACTCAAGTTTAAAAACTGGTGTTTGAGCCATGTTGCTCGATCCTCCTCGAAGGCCTTCCTCTGCAAGTAAACCAGATGTCATCTCAAAAACAAACTTTTTAAACTTTAAGTGGGCACACAGATATAAACAAGTCATCTTGGCTCACAGAGCAAAAGTTGAAAAAAAGGTGTCTCATACAGTAAATCACCTCATGGCTAAGTCTTATAGCTGCCTCAGTGAAGTTCTTCCTCTCCCTTTCAAAGATCTTTCTCTGTTCCTCTAGGGTCTTCCACTCCTCTCTGAGGCGCTCTTTCTCCTGCAGCATGTAGCAGTCACTCAGCAGGGATACTGTCTCCTCATCACACGGAGAGCTCAGCTGCTGCTACAAGAAAAAGAAAAGAAACAGGAATGCTTTGTTCAGCTAGAGTGAAAGAAGTGTTAAGTACTGCAAGCAAACAAAATACAGTATCTTCCCTCCAACCTGCAAACAAGGTTTCAATTTAAATGCTCAGTAAACAATGAGTTAAAGCCAAAATGATCAAGTATGAGAGAAAATGATAGAATTCAACTCATATTTAAAACTATCGATTTACAATGTAAAACCCTTCAACTCCTACTCAAAATTGATTATTGAGTTGTATGGCACTCACTCTGACTTTGACTCTTGCCCCTGGCTACTAATGAACATGACCTCTCCAGGGAGCTTTATGGCTAAGATGTCAAAGTAAATTCAGTCTTACCTGCAGGAGCTGCTGTTGTGTTTGAATAAAGTCTTTGCACTGCTGAATCTCCAGCTTCAATCTGTCCATCTCCTCCTCATGAGTCTCTCTGGAAACAGCATCAGTGTTTTTACTCTCGCCCATCTGAGCCAAGGATGCTGAAAAAAACAGAAAATCTCATTTAACAATTATGTTTACATCAATCTTCTATGTATTGATTTTAACAGGAAGTAAGGATCCAGTCTTGAATGCCATTGGACAGTCAGTCTTTGTATTTATTAGTTGTTGTTCAGATTTTTCTTTTAACAGAGGGAACTGACCAAATAACAGACAGCACATTACCCGTGGTCAGACCAGTGGCGTCAGTATATAAAGTAAGCATCCTTTGGTTACTCTGACAGTTTTCCTTTTCATTGTTCCTTGTTTTATGACTTTAATCTCTTTTGACACATCAAGAGTACAAAAACAAGGGATAATATTTCTCTTTTGAGACTTCTTACATGAAACAAAGTTACATTCCTTTGTGTATCAAGGTCAAACAGTGACAGTAGGCTGCATGATGACTACCTTGGCTGTCCAGTCTTTCAACGTGGCTCTTGAGTCTTCTCCACTGGAGGCGAATACTGTTGGTGAGCTTCTCCCGGGCATGAACACAATACAGCTCTACGCGTTCTTTACTGGAATCAAACACTTCTTCTTCCTCCTCTGAGTCAGCCTGCCAATGACAATGAAAATGTTTTTCAATCTATTGGTAGAACATCTGGTAAACATGTCTGAAAGACTAAATAGCAGGCATAAGTATTATTATCAGCTGTCAATCAAGCTGTGATACATTTCAGCCGTGGTTTGTCTACTTAATGAGCCATTTTGCAATCGATGTTTTTAGGTATCTTTCCACTAAACTTAAATAGTGGGAACAAAAAGGGAAAAAGGGGTTTAATGACCCTTGGTAACAGGTGAGAGCAGTGACTTGGAAACAACTACTCTGCAGTTAAAAAGAAGTATCTCTCGTTCTATTGCTGAATGTTAAAGCAGAGAAAACTTGTCCTACCTGTATGCCATCGTCTTGATGTTTGTCTCCTTTCAGCAGTGGCTTCCTTGAACTCAGAATGGACACTATGTCCTTTTTCATCTGCTGCAACACTTTTTTCAACTCTGCATTTTCCAGCAGCAACTCCCTTTGTCGGGTGTCATAGTCACTCAGTAGAGTCTTGTACATCTCCCCCTCATGCCTTGGGATGAGAGAGACAATCATATATTTTTATAATATGATTCATCTTGTGTACATTCCTTAAAACCACAGTAACATACTGGACTCAGCAGTGCCGCCTATGTTTGAAACCTATGTTCCTAAAATAAATCTGTGTCACCTAGATAACTGGCAAAGGAGCTGATGTGCAACTTGTTTGAGAACTGACGCAAAAGTAGGATGAGTAGTACTTTCTCAGATAATGCCGTTTATTTCTTTTTCCTGTGTTCCTGCATTTTTTATTATACAAATAAGTCTTCAGAGACAAGGTAGACAAAAAGAAACATAAGAAGTGAACTTACTTCGCCTCTGTCTTTTCAGTTTTCCAAAGACTTCTCTTTCCATCTGCTCTTCCAATGCTGTTTAATACATCAATGGCTGAAAGCAAGAAAGACAAATGAAGAAAATGAGAAATTAAAGAGTCTAAAAATGGTTTAATTTCAAATGTTAGACATTAAGGCAAACGATGGGGCTGAATTTAACCTTGTTTCTTTTCCTTTTTGTCAACCAGAAGTTGATTCAAGCGCTCTTTCAGTTTGTTAAATTCTCTTTCTTTCCTTTTCATCTCATGATTGTACTGGCTGGCCCGACTTGAAATTATGTTCTGAAGTTTTTGCACCTGGCAGGGGGGAATAAAACAAGAAAATGTTAAAAGGGTTATGATTATCCACCTGAGACAAAATAGAACTGTCTGTGGATTCACTCAGCTTTGTAATAATAAAGAAATTACCTCTTCTTTCTCATTTTTCAGGCAGTTTTGCAAACTCTTGACTTTAAGCTGTAGCTGCCGTTCTCGCTCAAGGAGTCCCATGTTTTCTCTTTTGGACTGTTCAAGCTGCTCCTATGATAACAGAATAACATTGACATGGACATGAGCATTTAATATGGGAGATAATATTTCCAGTATTGACAAGCAACTCCTGAGGTGGTTAGATTTGCTTTCACATTTGACTAGTTATTTATATTTTCATCTGAATACAATACTAATATGGAGGAATCACTTGATTTAAATGTTACTGTACTTTTAGTCTGGTGCTGGTGAGCTGCAGGAAGTTGACATTGCTGCTGGACTTAAGTTGCTCCACTTCCATGTTTTCCAGGGTTCGGAGGCCCCTGTGGTGCAGCTGAATCAGGTCATACATGCAATTCAGCACAGCCACGACGTTCATCTCTGAGCTGCCCGACTCTGTCCAAACTGGTGGGAGGCCAAGAGATGACACCTCCTGTAAAAAGGGAGAATAAAGGAAGAACATGACATACAGCAGAGGATATGGAGGACCAGCCAGACTCAACCCAGGACAACGTAGTCATATTGTACATGTCTTAGGCCACTGGGCACGAGCATTTACAAATCATCAAAAACAAAAACTGTGCTAATAATACATCAAAGACAGAGGTTACTGACCTGACTGATGTGCGATAAACATTCTTGCACGTTGTTCTCTGTGCAGAAGGTACTGAGCATGTAGGGCTTTCTGTGCAGTGGCAGCGGTGATTGGCTAAATTGCCTCAAGGGGGATGTTCTACATTCAACAGAACTGCTGCAAATGTCCTTGACTTCAGGGGAGAAAAATGTCTGTCAGATACATATACATATATACAGGATAATGCTTGATTAGAAAAGGAAGACACAAGGAACTGAGGTAACGTTTGGCACAGAATCCAATAATAGCACCCATCTGCTGTCTTTGTTAGTTTAATCTGTTCCTAACTTACTGTTTGATACAGAGCACAAAATTATATAGTAACCTACACACAACTGCTGAGGCCAGAACACAGCAGCACTGTACTTCAGTAAAGAGGATTCACAACATAAATACATGACTTAAAGTCAAAATCATATTACAAATATTGTACCGTTTCTTAGATGTGTAAGGGTGATAATGAAATAATATTTTTCTTAACAGCTCTTGAGTACAACAGACAACTGCTCAACGTGTCTCATTCACAGTGCGTATTTGTCTTCAAAGATGTGAAAATCTGAACTCACCCAGGGAGGATTCTGGCATTGTTGCAGTGCAGCCTTCAGGCTACGTGTCTAGATCATCAACTACATGTGCAAGATGCACAAAGCTCACCACAAGATCCACCTACGCACTCTGCTCCTGAAATAGGAAGGTCAGATTAGAAGTGCCAATTCAACACAGTCTGGATTACACAGCAATGGAAGTAAACATGTAGCGGTGAGGGCTGGAAACACGCAGCAATCTAAATAAGTTGAGGGCAGCAGGTTCACACAGGCTGATTAATTTGTCCGTCACAGGCAATGAGAAGTGATCACATAGTGTACTCGCAGCTATCGTATACATTACAATCCTACATTAAAATGTGTGTTTATTTAAATAGTCTTAACGATTGCTGTGCTGATCTTGTTGTTGCTGTTGTTCTGGTCAATGCAGGCGTATTTAACAGGTTGCCGGTTGGGACCAGGCCTGCATCTTATCTCAATGCTCTTATCAACAGCTGATCAGACTAATCCCAGACAGACAATGGGGTGATTTATCTGCAGAACCACACAATCAGAAACAAAAACTATGAAAACATTTTTCCTCCTATAGGAGTAATGCCAACATACTGTATACGGATATCACAGACCTTTTAAGTATCACGTACAATACCTCATCCTGGGATAACAACTAGAACATGAGTAGAAGCTGCTTTTAAAAACTGAATATCTGTTTTATAAAGAACACTTCGTGAATTTAATTTTTCATAGATTTTTAGTCATGAAAAAAGGCTGTGGTTAGACATCAACTCAGGGGAGCTACCCTTTGGTTTCAGTGACACTTAATCAGCCTCGCGAGACAGATGGCAAGCCTACAGCCACTAAGCTTAACAAGACTAGACCCTGCTTAGACTGACTACTCAACAAGTGTTAACCTTTAACTCTTTAGTCAAACTTTTTTACAGTGTCAAGTCTCTACGTAAGGATTTACCAAGCAGTTTTTAAGGGTTGTGGTCCCTCGGATTTATGATAATAATATTTGAATGGCATATTAAAACAGATTTTAAACTATGAGGGGTGGTAGCCTCACAATAAACCCGACCTTAAAGAAAGGTTATAATGTTCAGTTTTTAGTAGTCTATTTTGTCACCCCTTGTTTGTGAGTTGGGGAAAAAAAGTAGAAACAGCCCTCAGTACAACATTAACGCAACACAGTTCAACAGCACCATAAAGTTAAACCACACCTCTCTTAAACACTTAAAAACTGAACATTACAAATCTTTCTGTAGGATTTATTGTAGAATTGTTGTATTAGATTGTATTGTTTTTAAGTAACGTTAGGTGTATCTAGTAAACATGTATTCAAATATCCTAGGTTTGTAAAATGTCACAATGTCTCTGCAGTCCATTTCAAGTTACCTTAGTGCAGTAAGAAGAATAATGTAACTTATGTCATGTCAGTGTACTTTAACATCTCAGCAACTCTCTCATTGCTGGGACTGTGCAGAAAAGGTTGTAAAAACACTGAGCACAGCATATCAATAAAGTTAAATTACTTCTACATAAGCTTCTGACAGGTAAGTAAAACAAATGCTGGTTGTGTCACATTATTTTACCTTCACTTACTGTAAGCTACATACAGATAACAGTGGAATAGCCTGGAACACATTTAAATAATGTGAATAAGGTGTTAACTAACGTTAGCTAGCTATTTCAAGACACCGTCCAAATCGTGTTTTATTCATAAGAAAATAAAACAAATCAAAGGTTATTTATCTTCTTTACACAACAGACTAGACTAACCAAACCTAAGTCCCCCACCCCTCCTCCAACCTGAAAACAATCTGACATTGAAGCCGGACGGCTATCTTAGCCAAACAAGTTGACTAGTTACGGAAGCAGACGTTTAAAACGTTTACTTCACAAATAAAAGATTAGAAAAATCTTTCCAGCACTTACTTAAATGTTGCAGTTTGCAATTGTATTTCCCAATCGCTCCTTGCTTCACGACACGGCAGCCCCTTAATCCATGTCGGTCTAAATGACAGTACACACCACTGCACGCAGACCAAACAGCATGCTAATTGGCCGACTCGTTGTCTAGCAACCAAGCACGGCTCAATATGATTGGCTCTCGGCCGTCGAGACACTTCAAGCGTTTTTAACTGCAATTATTATTTTTTCAATTATGCCAGTGTTATTGTTTAAAAACTCTTTGTCTTTTTACTTGTGGTATTATTACTTTACGTTTTAGACAGTGCTTTTATATAATACAATATTTTAATATTCATTATATTTAGAAATACCAACCCCAGGACTTCAAACATGTCAGCTAGGCCTATTTAAATTTCATTTCACTGACATAATGCCATGAAAGTTATGGACTGTATCTCTGTTCTTCATTTGTAACCAGATAGATGCATCGTGAGAATGAACACAATTATAACTTTAAATTAACTTTAATGTCATTTATACAATCTGTGACTAAAAGAATACAATAAACTAGCTCATTGCACTACACAGTCAGCAATACCATAAAAAAAACTACCACAGACAATTGTACATTCGTATTTTACAAAAGTAGTGACTGGATCAGTTGGCTAGGTGTCCGTGTGTGAATCTATTCTGCATCAACAAGGCATGCAAAATTTGAAAATTCAAGGCAAACTACATAGTTTGGAAATAACTATTAGTTGAAAGTGAAAGAGTTTGGCTCCAAAGTACTTCTTTACAAAAGATTATGACTTGTTATAAAAGAAAAAGCACATGTAAACTTACAGCATTAATAATGGCTCTGTTTTCTAATTTCCAAAGAAGCAACACCAATGAGCAATCACTGCAAAAAGGCTTTTAAAAAATAAAATAAATGTAAGTTTATTGATTAAACCGGTGCCTTTCCTTTTATGACATATTGTCTGCTATGTGGCCTTTACCTGTTCCAACGACAGTTCTAAGTCAAAATGTTTGAAATGTAAGGAATCAGATGGCTTTTATCTATAAGTACTTTAAAATGTTTTCATTTACGTATCGTGTTTTCAGGCAGTGAATATCTCCATTACCTTTAATTTACCAGGAAAAAAGTGCCTCAGATTGCAAGAATACAAATAAAGCTGTATATGAGCAAAACATTATAAGAATGTGTGATTAAAACAACATTTCCTCAACTCTGGCATGTTTCTCTGCATATTTTTCTTACATTCTTCCCAAAAAGTGCAAAAGACATATTTATTATATAATCTGTGAACATGTTCTGGTTAGTTTTTTTTTTGGTAATATTGTGCATTTCTAGTTATTTCTACAAATTATTATCAGAGGGATTTTGCTTGTCATAATTACTTCTGGTCACAAAAATGGAACCATCATAACAACAAATACTTTTAAACACTTCTACTGGATTTACAATTCAGTACGACATTTAAACTCATGATCAATTATTTGATCATCCTATTATCTGCACATTTAACCCTCGGCGTAGCTCACTAGACACAATTCAATTGCACAACACAAAGCCTGACCAGTTTTCATGCAGTTATTTTCACATTTTAGGCTGTACCCAGATCTAGTCACTAACTGGCACTGGAACTGCTCTGGATTCACTTGTTCTGAGCAGTGGGTCCGTGTGATCATCTCTCTTCGCCTCCAGCCACCATGTTGTCATGTCCCCTTTTCCCTGTCAGGTCAAGAAAATGAGAGAGTGAACGAGAGAGAGAGAGAGAGAGAGAGAGAGAGAGAGAGAGAGAGAGAGAGAGAGAGAGAGAGAAGAGAGTCATATTGCAAGGCATGTGGCCGTTTGAATTTTAAATAAAGCCATTAGGGTTTGATGGGGGGCAGAGAGCAGCAGCTGAGGCCACCTCTCTTAGCAAGACATCACAAGTGTCAGCAATGTAGAACCTGTCCGTTGGGACTGAGAAGTAACCCCCTCCCCCATAATCACACTAGCACCACCCAAAAAGAGGTCTTTGGTTGCAATGTGAATAGAAGCCAATAGAGCAGGATAATAAAATACTGGAAGAGAGAACAAATACCAGACACACCCAGTCTCTTTTCCCTTGGAGGGAAGTTTTGAATTTCCTGTGATCTTTTCAAATCTCAGCCTCATAAATGCATTTGTCTTTTTCAGTCAGTTTCAAAGGTTGGACTTCTTCTACAGCTTCTATGGGATTATCACTGTGTCCATTTTGCTTTTTAAAAAAACATTACATCCACAACTTGGGCTATATTAAAAGAGGTAGAAATAGCATTAAATGCTACAAAATGTATCAAGTATATATTGAGTAAATACACATTCAGTTCCAGTTTATTAGATACACCTATAGCTAAAACTAATACAGTCTCATACAACTGTCTTGTAATAAAACTTCAGGAAGGTTATAATGTTCAGTTATTTGTTAAGGTACTTATTCAAATGTATGGTGATTTTGGTGGCTGTAGTTTTTGGTGCTGTTAATTTACATTATACAAAGAGATGTTTTTGTTATTTAGCCTACTGTCATTTATATAAATAAGGGGAAAAATTATAAAAACTTCAGGGTGTAAGATTATTTTTTCAAAATAAAGCAACTAATGTATATCGCTCATCCCAGTGAGATTTGCTTACCAACACAACAAAAGGTCTAATCACTACAGCAACCACCATGACCATGACCAGGAATGTACTGAAGGAAACCCTCCACTCTGTGTTTTGTGTTGAGAAGTATTTCCCCCAGTACAAATTAGTAGTAGTAGTAAGAGTCTCATGAAGCTCAGTAAACATTTGTTGTATTGATGGTTATGGTTTTGTCACTGCAATATACTTTAACACAGGTTATATATATATATATATATATATATATATATGTAAACATATTATATATGAATATAAAGTTACCTTCACATTAAGTGTTCCTCTGCATGTCATAACGTAACCTCCTAATGTGTGAAGCAGGTCAGCAGTGGCACCACTCACCTGGATCTTCAGAGCTATGGAAGAAATTACAAAGAAGCACACAGAATGGAAATACTGTACCGTGTGCATAGACTTCATTCTAAAATTTGGATGACTTAGATTTTCCTTTTCAAGTTAAGTTTTATCTCAGAGTTTAAAGGTCCAGTGTGGAGGATTTAGGGGCATCTAGTGGTGTAGTTGCAGATTGAAACCCCCTCGCTTCACCGTCCCCTTTCAAAAAGAGAAACTACAGTGCCCCTAAAACGAGAACGGCCCTATTTAGAGTCAGTGTTTGGTTCGTCCAGTCCGAGCTACTGTAGAAACATGGTGGTTCAACATGGTGGTCTCCCTCTGTAGCCCCCACGAAAGGCTCATTCTAAGGTAACATAAACAAAACGATTCTTATACTCAGGTGATTAGACACTAATGAAAACATAACTATGAATAATATATTACATTTCTGCCAATATACCCTCCTTTTTCTAACACACTTGGCCTTTAAAATTATATTTATCTATAAAGTTTAGAATTTTGTTTTTTACTTCGGAGCCTACAATCTGAACCTACAGTCACTCAGTGCTCTTCCATTATCCCTGTGGATTAATGCAGAGGATTAGGTGCTTGGTGAGCACATTGTCCATCCTCCATGTTGTTAACTCCACTGTGTTGTGCTGGTGAGCAAACACAGAGACAGTCCTGTTTGGCACAATAGCAGCAGCGACAGGCCAAAGGCTAATTCTGAACTGCCATTGAAACCAGTTACAACAACACCGCAGCCTAATTCTTGAATCAGTGCAGGACAGTATTAACACACAGAAATCATGCTCATGCAGTAAAAGTTAAAGTGAAATCAACTTGATATTTGAGACCAACTGTTCCACTTCGAGACATAAATTGGATGAAAGGCAGTGTGTCTAATCCTTCATTACCTTCACTTGTTGATTCCATCCGTGACGCTGTGTTGACAGTGTCCCCAAATAGGCAGTAGCGAGGCATTTTGGTGCCAACCACACCAGCCACAACAGGTCCTTGCAGAGTAAACCACAGTGAACACTTTTAGTGGATAATATTGTATACTGTATGACATTGCATGAAGTGTTAGTGAATGAAGGTTACTTAAAGGGATCATAGCCCACTAATTTTAGAGTTATTTTACCGACAGACATATGTATATATGAAGTAGTCAAATCAATGATTGTGAACATGAACAACCTGCTAAAAGAAAGCCAGAGCGCAGAGAACTGAAACTGTAATATTAATGTGTCAAATCCAAACAGAGTTAATGATGATGAGACATGTGATAATGCTCTTAACAGTGTTCTGTTTGGCCAAGGGTGGATGGGTCAGGGTTGAAAGACTTACAATGGAAAATTATCACAAAAATAATGCTTTATGCATAATCATTTTTATCATGATCAGATTTAGAAAACCTTATTGAATAGCTTGAAATGGGCTTTATAGTTTTGGTCTTGCATGTAAAATGACAAACCCTTTTAAAGTAATACAAGTAAAATAATGCACAAAAGGTTATCTTCCTGTTATTGAGTTTCATGTGTTATGCATTTGTTAAACTTGAAGCACAGTTTGACTGGGAAATGGTATTCAGCATGAGGTTGGATAAAGTGATATAATGTAAACTGATGTCCACAGTACCTGAGTGGATGCCGGCGCGTATCTTCAGCTGTGTGTTGGGTTTGTGAGGGATCTTGAAAGTGTGGCAGACACTGACCAGATCAAGAGCCATGCTTGCTATCTCTCCAGCATGACTGATGCCATTTTCCTGAGGGACCCCCGAGACCACCATGTCTGAAGGGGTTAGACATTATTTCATGTAAACAGACAAATAAAATGTGAAATGAATGTCAAAATACACATCCAGATACCCCTCAGACTCTTCATTTATTATGTGGATCTGCCTATCATCTAATTTTTTTATCCTTATTTTCAAGCCGAGGTAGATTTAAAAACAAATTTTATTTTAATGATGCTTTGACAAACTTATTTATCACTTCGTGTTAGTAGTTCAAAACCAGTTTCTCATCCTTACTTACAAGCATCGCCTATTGTCTCCACTTTGTAAACGTCATAATTGTCAATAATGTCATCGAAGGTGGTGTAGAGCTGGTTGAGAAAGTTCACAACCTGGTGGGGAGTGCTGGCACCAGACAGCTGAGTAAAGCCGACAATATCACTGTCCAAAAGGAAGCAATACAGTGTTAGTCGTCCGTAGTTCAACATGTGTATTACCAAACAATCTTTTTTTTTTTAAAAGAACCGAATTGCATGTTACCCTACAGGGGAAAATGTTTACCAAAGTAATAAATCTAAATTTAGCAATGTTATTGAAATATATTAACTCTAGAGAATACACAACTGGACAAATGTCCATCAAAAAATATAACTCCAGGTAATGAGCTTGGTTCACACAATACACACCTGAAGTAGACGGTGGCTTTGGAGAAGCTCTGAGCCTCTGTTGTTCGACCTTGACGAAGGTCATCAGCCACCGGTTTTGGTAACATACCTGCACAGGAATTTCATGACTTAAAACGCTGTACAATGCTCAGTTTCTGGGACGATGGGGAGGAATGATGACGGTGTTACACCACTAGATGGCAGTGAGCACATATGATTGTGTCCTTTAATCCTTTAAGATTTACAAAGTAACTCATATGAATAATTAACTGGCTTTAACTAAACAGTGTAAACTCTGCCTGAAACAACTTTCTATTTGCTGCACTGTGTAATGAATGCACTTATTGTATTAATGTATATTTGGATAATTTATAGTTTTTTTAATACCCTTTTCATAATAAGCTACAAATTAATTCCTGCTTGTACTAGATATATCAATGTTATCTCTGCAATGTCACTGAGATAAATTCCTTAACGTTGCACAGCATGATTCTGCTTGGGGTCAATCACTAGAGCCATGCAACTCTCTCATATCATTCCACACTGTTATCCTGACTTACTGTATAACAGCCGATCCGTCTTCTGTTTCTCTTGAAGAAGGTCCTGTGTTCTCTCAGCAACTATGGCCTCCAGATGTTTGCTGTACTTTTCCATCTGCAGATAAAGAAACCCTACTTGTGTCAGTTGCACACATAATCTTCAAGCCTAGCATTTGTCTTTGATATACAGCCATTTTGGAAATGTAGGTTTGGATCCAGATACTGTTGCATTATAGATGGTATATTTAATGATACATTTAATGCATAATTCAGTTCAATTCAATTCAATTCAATTTTATTTGTATAGCGCCAATTCATAACAGAAGTTATCTCAGGACACTTTTCAAATAGAGCACGCCTAGACTGAACTCCTTATAACATTATTTACAGAGACCCAACAGTACCACCATGAGCAAGCACTTGGCGACGGGTGCAAGGAAAAACTGCCTGTTAAAAGGCAGAAACCTAGGACAGATCCTTCGGCTCTTGGTGGGTGGTCGTCTGTCTCGACCAGTTGGGTAATGAATGAATGAATTTTTACACCAATGTTATTGTATTCTATTTCCCCATATTTCAGAGTTATTACCAAGTTCATCATCATGTCCACAGGGCTGACTTTGTGCGGGTTCATTTTGTCGAGCATCTTCTTCACCTGGTCAAACGTGGGCCTCATGGTGACATTATGAGACCAACACTTCTTAATGAGCTGCTCAATGTTTTCCAGAGAAGAGAGCAACACCTTATTGTCTGATACAGTAATCATTCATATTCATACAGTAATATGCCAATGACATATAATACAAAGCTTACATTTACATTTTTCCCTACATAGTTCTAGTAACATTTATAACATTTGCACATGTGACAGACCTCCCAGTAGTCTCCTTCACTGGGGCAGTCAGTATCTGCCTTCCCTGCTTTGAGTTCAGGCAAAGGGGGGCGCCACATGAGATCCATCCTCATTTCCTCAGTCTGGTCCTGTTAGAGAAGACTGCTGGTTACAAAGCTAAGATCAAAAGTAGGCCGAAGGTTGTAATCTACAGAGAGGGCTGTCATACTCACTGACATGAGGTCAGAGCGAGTAGCAATCTCAACCAGAATCATGGAGTAGCTGAGGGGAAAGTAGAGAAAGGATATTATTTTCCAGTGCAGTTGCTAAGATTCAACAGCAACAGTTTTCATATGTATGAAGATGCGTGTCCTTCAACCATAACTCAGTTTCCACATCTGTAATATAACTGCATCAAATTTCCATGTGGTCCAAATATCGCAATCCAAAATTAACTGCTTATACTATGACACTCAAACACACCTGTAGACATCTGCTGTTGGTGTCATGTTGGAACTGCTTCCCAGCAGGACCTCTGGGGCACAATATATACGATTTACATCCCCACAATTGAAGCCATTGCTGATGGCCTCAAAGTCCTCCTTTCTGTAGGTTGTGAGCCCATAATCTGAAGCCAAACATAGAAAAATACAGAGTACTGCAACACAGGATGTTGTTTTCCCTCTGCCTTGATAATAACATTGCTACTTGTGTAGGATGTGGCTGAGGACTGCAATGAGTCTTATAAAGAGATGTTTCTTTTTCTTAGCGTTTCTTAGTGTGTTTAAACTGTGTATGTTGAGTTATTTATCATATTTACATGTGTAATTGTTGAAAACAGAACATAACAATGACAAAAACTTTGACTGCACACTGAAGTTGTGTTTTGAGGATGATGTATCATTACCTGAAATTTTGCACACCCAGCGATCATCAATAACACAGTTTCTGGAGTGAAGTCTCCCATGAAACATCTTGTGCTGATGGAGATAAGACATCCCACGGCTGATGTCTGTGGCAAAGGACAGTCTGCACGGGGGAAGAAACACTCTTAGATATTATTGTGTTCTAACAATGGGTCATGCCACACCCACAGCACACAAATATATTGTCTTGTAGCTTGCATTGCATTACGGTCTGAGGAAATACAGTACGTTTGTCTTTACTATAATAGCTTTTTCCTTTGTGTGATTGTTGAATTGTGGTGGGAAATATTGAGTCTGGAAAGCAACTCGTCCTTATTGCTCATCTGAAGGTTTGACACCACAATTTGACATTTCCTGCTGACATTTTATTCAGCATTTTATTCAGCATTTCATCATATCGCGTTGACATCACACACCACAAAAATCCATCATCTAATCAGGAGCACTCAGTGATCTTCAGTTCCTAGGTGAGTGTCACTGCACAAAAATCTAAAATAGGCAAATAAAAGTTACCACCAAAATATTAATACTCTGAATTTAAAAAAAATCATCAATAAAAAGTTAAACAACAAAAAGATCCAAACATCAGCTAAATGGTAAATATGTAAAATATTAAGTTGTATGTTAATTTTTCTCACCTGAAGCCCCAGTTGATGGGGATGTCATCATTCAGCAGAACATCAGACAGGCTTCCTTTGGGGCAGTGCTCTGTGATGATGGTGACATAGGGGACCTCGATGGAACCACCAATGAACTTGCATAGATTGGGGTGGTCCAGTTGCCTGTAGCCAATATAAAAAATGACATAAGCTGCAGGAGGTGTTCTTTCATTTGAGGCACAAGACTTTATTATGGCAGTATATATTTCCCTCTCCCTCTGCAGGATTTTCCTCACCTAACTTCTTTCACCTCCTTCCTGATGGTTTTACAGAGGGTGAAATGTTTATTCTGGATGTGTTTCACCGCCACTATCCTCCCATCACTGCAACACAGTTACAATCATGTCAACTTAATTACCTAAATACAGAATTTATTGAATAAAATGGAGAAAGTAGTAAAACATCTATATTACTGTTTTACTTTGCATTGCATTATATTAATTATATCACTATATAACAATGCTGTATTACTACTATATTGTTGTTATTGTGCTTTTATATGATTGTATTATATGCAAAACCATAATATTGTCTTTGACTTCCATTATATATGAATAGTATTGTATTATTACTGTGACGGCCTCAGGGTTGGCCCTATTATGTTCCTTCTTGTTGAAGGACAACTGAGGGGTGGAGCTGAGACTCATCAGTGATGTAACTAAAGCTAAAAATCAGACCTGCAAGCCTTTCTCAGTTCCTTCTGCTGGCTTACCACTTGAACTTGTTATTGGTTGAATTTTGTGTTTCACACTCTCTCTCATACACACACACACACACACAGACACACACACACACCTCACGTCCTCACCTCACACAGACATATACTGACCTGCTGACATTCACCGTTTTACTGATTATTTGCCTCTACTTGATCAAACATTGAGCATTATTTCCAGGCTATATGTAGTCTCCCTCTTTCGTCACACAAGTCAAGCCAAGTTGTGATATTACTTATATCATAATTATGTATATTGTACTTTTTATTAATACCTACCCAAATATACTTATGCCATATAGTCCACATATCATGGCAGGTGTAGCTTTTGAATGTCATCCCTATCATTTTTTATTTATTTAATTTAAAGACTTAATCTGTTCTACAGTACTGCCTTTCAGCTGCTGTAATGTGAATTTCCCCTTGGGGATCAATAAAGTCTTATCTTATTTACACAGCTACAACTGTGTGATACTGATCCATATAGTAGATAGTATTGTCTGCATTTTAGTGATCCATACAGCAAAATAGTAAAAGAGTGAGAAAGTGTGTCTAAAAGAAATAGAAATTACATTATTTTACTTCTGTTAACTGAATGTTTCTGATTTATGAGCATTTATATAGACTTATAAAAACGTTTCTCACTAGATGCCTGGCTGGATGCAGCCTTGTTTGATGGAGGTGTTGACCCCGGTACAATTAGTCACATTAGTAGATCGACTGATGGTGGAGTTACTCTTGACATGTTGCAGGCTGGTGGTGCTGCCGAGGCCCATGTAGCACGCTTTACCTGCAGATACCAGAGTACTTACGTCAGACACAGGGTCAGTTTACTGGACAAAAATCCAGATCCATGCATAACAAAATTATTTTATTGGAGGGTACAGAAAGGGTAAAATAGACTTCACTTAACCCCAACCCTAACCCGCTCTTACTATTAAAACTTAATTTGAGTGCAGTTCACCGAATAACAACAGATATAATCAATATAGACAGGTGACAAACTGAAGAAAAAACCTGAATGAATAAGTGGAGAAACATGACAAATGCAGATGCTTTCATACAGGACCTGAGGTGTCATTGACATCCGCAGGAGAATGGAGAGGCACGGGTTTTAGAGACTAATAGGTTTTTAAAGTGATCCATTCCTGAAGTCCTAAAAGAAAGTAAAAGTCTAGAGCTTTCAAGTAAGTTATGTTTTCTGCAGAAATATGTCTGTAAACTGCGTCTTTTACCGGTGTGAGACATTTTACCAAATATTATGCTCTTGTAGTTGATGATCCAGCTTTCATCCCAAAACATCCTCTGTTTCTGGTACTGGAGCCACTGCAGAGAGGAAATTAAGATAAACATCAGCACATGGAACATCCCCTGTGTGTGTGTGTGTGTGTGTGTGTGTGTGTGTGTGTGTGTGTGTGTGTGTGTGTGTGTGTGTGTGTGTGTGTGTGTGTGTGAGAGAGAGAGTGTGTGTGTGTGTGAGAGTGTGTGTGTGTTTTGCACAGACTGACCACCATAGTTAAGATGAAGCCGCTGCTGAACAGAGCAACTGGGAGCCCGATGGCCACCTTGATAGTGATGGACATCGGGCAGATGCCACAATCTGCAGGACAGTTCAGACAGTTCTCCTCCAGCTCGCAGACGTCATCCCCACACACTGAAACACAATCACTGTTATACATTTTACGTTTACTCATTTCTCAGATCTGTAAAAAATACTCTGTTACAGTCAATATTCTAAATAGTCATAATGCAGGCTGGTTCATTTAAGAATAATGTATATATGATTGGATTGTAATTATTGAACATAAAGATTCTTATTTTCAGGTGATTAATGAAACATCGGTTTGGAAAATAAATTCAATTTCTGCCAATAGATTTTCCTAAATGTTGCACACTGGATCTTTAACATACAAATATTTGAATAAAAATATGCACATATCTCTCCTGCAGACAGTTGGTTGTGTCTGCTATCTAGTTCTTTACCAGCAAGTAGAAAATAAAGTTTATTATTGTAACTCAGCTGATTGTTTTGAAATGATTGCTATTATACTGCAAGGTCACACACGCACACAGCTTGACCTTTTCCCTTCTGTTTCTGTACAGGTTTGGGATGTAAACAAGGGTGCGCTGATTGTCTTTGTCTGGTTAATAAAACAACTTTTACTGGATCACGGCTGAGCAGAAGATGTATTACTCAGCACAAACTAATTCAACATATCAACAAATGGAAACTTTGTGTGAGTGTTAGCAGCCTGACCTTGAGCGCTGACAACAAGCACTTTGGACTCCAGGGCTGCGTGCATCTGTCCTATTTTGATATGAGCGATGACTGAGGTGACTCCCACATGGATCAGCACCACCTGTACGAGACAACAGCATCATATGAATTAGAATGCACTTGAACTATGGAAGGTTGTAAATTAGTTAGTCAAACAATTAAACAACAAAATGATGTTATTATAGCTGAAAACAATATTCAAAGATATCAATCCCTCCAATAACATGTCATACTTTACTTCATTATGACTAAAAATAAATCCAAACAATCATAAATTAGAGCTGTAGGTGTATGTATCAGTTGTATAAAGATGTGTTTGTCTTTATCGCTCTTTTAAGGATTTTCAGTTTTCAGTTTTCTGTACTTTACTTTACAGTCAGTTGATAAGCCACAACCCAAAGTCAGGCTTTCTTTACTCTTGTAATTTCCTGCTGACAAACAAAAGTAAATTACAACATGCTGCCTTGTTTCATGTTGTTATCATTGTGACATAGCAACATAACAGACGGCAGGATTTACAAAGGATGTGTCACTATGATTATGACTTTTATGTTTTTCCCTCCAGACAACAAAGTTAAAGTTGAACATCTGCTATTTGACAAACTAAATTTTACCCAGTAGACAGTGGAGGATGATTCTGAGATATGTGTGTTGATAATAATACATAAAATGAACTGTGTTAACATTACAGGACTTTAAGAAATACTACAAATGTTCTCCGAACCTCAACACGTGAAAAAAATTATCCATCCTTTTCAAAACTTTTGTTTGGGTTGTCTCACCTTTGAAGTCCAGTATTTCTGGGACATCTTGCCTGCTTTGGATACAGTGTGAGTCACTATTTTACCATCGTCAGGAATCCACGGGCCACAGATTCCACCTTGTTTCTGTGAGGAGACAAAACAACAGTTTGGAGAGGTTTTATTATTAAAAAAATGGCTCTTTTGACAAGTTGTTCATGTCTTCTCTGGAAAATTGTAATCCTATTAAATTTTACTTAAATGGACTTTTATGTAGTTTTGTAACTATATCTTTTCATTCATCATTATATGTCTCTCAGAGTATGTTTTCTCCTCAAGGTGGATGGGTAATAACATCTCAATTTAATCCACTTCGCTAATAATCTTGATGACTCGAGACAAAATCTGGAAAAAGCATCAAACATTACATGATATCCACATATGTTGAAAAAAGTTCTGAACTTAAGCACAATTTGGATTTATAACTACTTTACTTTATTCTTTTTTCTGAGCTCATGAAATGTTGGCCTTTTAGGGACATACGTGTCTCTTACAGGACATCGACTGTATAAACAGATGATTTTATGAAATACATTAACAAACAATAACAGTATAAAGTAGTTAAAATAATCTCAACCTTAAACATCTACAGCAGTAAAATGCAACATACAATGCAGTGGTAATATGAATCCAAAAACATCATATATAATAGGAAAATACAGCTTGCACGATGAGTAATTTGTGGAGTCAGTGGTATCTAGCAGTCAAGTTGCATATTCAAACCATTTAAACTCAGCCTTCCCTTCCAAGCATGTAGGAGAAACTATGGTGGCTGTGAAACTCCTGAAAATAGTGGCAGTGTTTGGTTTGTCCGTTCTGGACTACTGTAGAAAAATGGTGGTTAAATATTTATCATCATATTCCATTTCTGCCAATTTATCCTCCAAAATGTTACACACTGGACCTTTATTGTAACACAATGAATAACATACAAAGTAATAAGATTATCCTAAATGATAAATATCAATGCATCATGCATTAGAATGGACTCCTAATAAATAAATGTCCATTTAATATTAAAGATAAAGACCTAAATATCCCATTTGCTTGCTTTTGTTCTCTTTATATGAGGAAGAAAAGATGATGACAAGGTGGACTGCGTGTTGTATCACTGCTGGGTACCCACCATGAGGCCGAGAGGACAGGAGTGGATGTTGGCGTGATAGACGCAGCAGTTCATTTCATTGGCATTGTTCCAGTTTGCCGGGCACTCGTGTTCATGACAGAACCTCTTTGCCTCTGATGCATTACTGCAAAAGAACAAGGATGGGTAGACAAATAAATGAATTAACACCCCGTGATGCTATTTATAATTGAAGCTCAGGTTAGCTTTCGTAGAGCTTCAACTAGACAATGAAAACAGGATTTAAAATAAATTAAGCTAAAAGACAGTTAGACAGCTGCATCTGTCAGCAATAAGTGATTATCTCCATTATCTAATTAATTGTGATTGCATTTTATAACTGTAATTGTTATTTTTCTGTAAAGTACATTGAGACACTTGTATTTTTCATTAGTTTGTTTTTCATTTTTATTTTCAGTTCAGATTAGTTTAGTCAGAAGCTCAGAATAAGTATTACATATTAATAATACACATATTAATTCACAGTCTCAATGAACATACTGTATGCATCAGTGCCGTCTAATACTTACTAAACTGAAGACATTTTATGTGTGTTTTATTTTTTATTTCAGTTCATTTTGTAAGTATCACTTAGTTTTAAATTTTGTGTGTGTGCGTAAGTGTGTCTGTGTGTGTGTCTGTGTGTGTGCGTGTGTCTGTGTGTGTGAGACGCAGACGTTTAGGATTCCAGGTGTTTGTGTAACACACTCACCTGAACTGGAAAATCTTGTTCCTGACTGAGTACTCGTAGAAGGAATCTGAAGCCGTCACCGTGTATGAGACATTGAACTCTTCCCCATTGGTTACTTTCTCTGGAGGACGCTGCACCCAGGCCATTTCCAGACCTGTGACAACACACGTCGCCTGAACATTCAAACAATGTACACCCGCATGCAGTAGGGGGAGAGATACTGTGTTTGCACATACTTCTGTTGAACCCCACCTAACTCACTGTAATGTAATGTAAATAAATGTTTTCTCCTTCCTTGGAAAATCATCCAACAGTAAATGTTCTGACATAAATCACTCAAAACAAACATCAGCTGTTTTAACTCCAAATGCACTGTACACTCACACATGAACAGAGACCCAAACAGACACATAAATGTATTATCAACTCACCACCACAGTTAATCATGTTGAAATCATTTGGGCTATTGATCGGCCAACAGTCGTACTCTGTGTTGTCCAGATCATGCCAGCAGTTAACTCCCTGCAGGTGAGACAGGAAGCTTTTTTTTATGTAAAGGCATTTTTTTGATGTGTATAAACATATTTTAAAAGCCTAATGTGTGTGTAAGTGTTTTATCAGTGAGTCAGGGCTGGTCATGTGAGTATGTTAATGAATTAAATACACAACTCAACTCAGAAGAGGTACAGTATTACAATACAAACACATTGGCTAACAGCAGACATCAGTAGCAAAAGCACTATGGTGAATAAATGTAAGTAAGAATCACTGTATTATCTTTTATTCAAGATTGATTACAGAATGGGTTATAAGCGAGGATATCAGCCCAACAAGAAGCTGGCAAGTAACCCAGCAATACACAGAAATAACACAAGCCCAAGACCACATGCCCGCAGCAACAAGTGTTTCTGACATGACAACAAAAGCAAGGAGGGTTCCTCAGTAATCCATGAAAATGTGAATATTATACACTCAGTTTCCACAGTAGTTTATATTCCATCCTCTGTGTACAACAGTTATAACACAATGCATGACCCATCATTGTGCAGTTCATTAACAGTTTAACCTTAATCATCTGTGGTTAATAGTCCACATTTCCTCTCTGGAATTAAATCTGTTGTAGTATTATATATTTGTAAATCCTCTGGTATGTGAGAACTTACCAGCAGGAAACACAGGTAAAAGGATGCCGCTGTCCGTAGAGCCATGAGGAGGTTTGCTGCTGTGACTGGACCTGCTCTGAACTGACTGACCGACTGACTGAATGACCACATCTATGTGTGTGTGTGTGTGTGTGTGTGTGTGTGTGTGTGTGTGTGTGTGTGCGCAGAGTCAGCTCAACATTGCTAAAGTACCCTTCCCCAAATTAGGGGACAAGGGAGGACCCTTGTTCCTAATTGTCCAATCACTAGAAGAGGCTCTCCAATCACAGTTTGATCATTTACTTGTTCACGATGTCACCTTCACTGTCCTACAGGTCAGAATCACCCAGAAGACTCTGCTGGACCTGAACTGACCGCCAGGGCCCGTTTTTAAGTCTTCTGCAGGATCTGACTCCATTTATGATCTCTTAAATGTTTGCTTTTTACCAAGGTAAACCTTATTTCTATCAACTTGGTGTTTAATTTGAACATTCAACCATGGTAGATATGATTGTTTAATTTTAATATGCTTTATATCAGGCATTCAGCTTAGAGTGAAGGATAAGTATTAGCTGCAAAGGTTACAGGTGACCTTTTTGTTGGGTACATTTCTTCAACACTTTTGGTAAATACAATTTTGCACCAATCATAAAAATGATATGCTACATTCTAGCATCTTGTTTTTTTTATCTAACAAGATAAGCCAAACTTTTCAGTTGTTGTTGTTGTTGTTGATGTGATGGAGATAGCTCAGCTGTCGTCATTGGAAAAATTATGATTTAAATTTAAATATCTGGGTCTCCAGGAACTCCAGGTTTGCTAAGCTACTCTGTGCCACTATTTACATATGCAATAAAATGTAATATGTAGAGTGATTTGTGATGGCGCAATCATTATCTTGGACTGTCCCCTTTACTGTACGCAGTCCTCTCAGCCATGATTTAACTTTGAACTTCGTCTCCATATGAGTCCTCGCCTTTATGGCACTAGGGATATTTATAGAGCATCATACACTGTGTGTACTGATTAACATTTTCCATCTCTGCCTACATCTGTTTGCTGTGAAATTAAGACCAAACCAAAAGACAGCATTTCTGAACATCTGTGAAATTTAATTGGGTTTTCAAGAATGCATAATTACAGCACAGCTGTAGAAAAAAAAGGCCTGCCACACCACACAGTTTACAGTTCATGTTTTTGAGAATGCAAAACCAGATTGGTGGGCAGCAGTCACGACAGGTCTAGAGAGGACTCTACAGAGGGCATACAGTTGTCACTACAATACAGCATGTTCTTAATGGAGACCACATGACTTCAATCAAGTCAAACCTCAACCTGAAACATTAACTGAATGTCATTTAAACCCTGAGAAGTTTTCTATTAGCAAAATGTACAGTGTTGATCCTTTTTTCTGCTGTCAAAGGATGTTGTGTCTAGGGGATTAAATCCTGAGTGTGATTGTATTACATAAAAGGAACATGAGATCAGGAATATTGTAAAAGCAGGTTACCTAGTGAGTGAGAGCAAAATAAAAAACAGCTGTGGGTTAGTGGTTACAAAGAGTGACAGGTTATGAACAAAGGGCTTGCATTTCAAGCATGCGACTTCAGAAAATTAGAAGGGCGATTTGAGATTTGAAACTTTTACAGGATTCAAAGGCTTTTCTGGTGAGAACAGAGGAGCTACGTATACAGTTTGTAGTATCAAACCGAACACACAAACAAATGACTCTGATTTACATGTAGATGCACACATTGTGCAGTTTATATGTATATGTTTTAAGGTTTAAATGTATTTCACCCTTCCTTTATCATCAACATTTTCCAGGTGTTGATGAATATGTTCAGATAGGTAACATTTACAGCACAATTCAAATACTGTCATCTAAGCCAGCTAATAACAGAAAGCTGTACTACATTTGAAGTGTTCTGCAGTCTAATTCAGTGGATCTTGAGAGTCTATTCAGTTTTTCTCTAGCTCTTTAGTCAATAACACAACTGACTGAATGGAAACTAAAGGTCACACACTAATTGGCCTGAACAGAATACATCATCCTAAAGTGGCAGCTCTGAAGCACCAGAAATCCAAAGCAATGGTACTTCATCAACTATTGACTGCAGTATAAGACATGTAATAGGACTTTAAGGTAAGCTTTTCAGTGTTTTGTTTTAAGTGTGCGAACATATGCACAGCAGTGTCATCAGAGGTTTTTAGTCTTAACATTACAAGCATGTATTATCAGTTAGTGACAGTTATTATAATTCAAAACCAAGAGACAATCTGACTCAGTCAAACAGGATTTACAAGTAATCTTATAGTTTGATTTGGTTAATGTTGGTGCCAAGTGGGAGGTGTGTGCAACATCTAAAAAGGCAACAGCCACTCATGAGGCCAAATTAAATGCTGTCAATCATCATTAGCTCACAATGACAATGTAAGCATGCTGATGTTTAGCAGGTATAATGTTTACCATGTTGACCATCTTAGTTTAGCATGTAGCTATGATTTGCAAATTACGACACTGAAAGTACATCGGAGGCTGATGGAAATATACATTTTCAAGTAGACCCAGTTGGTCAAAAACTAAAGTATTGGAAAAAATCCAATTTTAAGGGCAGTTATTGAGGGGACATGAATGTCTGAACCAAATTTTATGGTAATCCATCCAATTGTTCAAGACATTTCACTTAAAACTACAAATGGTGTCGCTAGTGAAAAAGTCAGTCGATCACTAAAGTGTTTAGGGTTCTCGGGACCATGAATGTCTGCAAAATGTGGTACATGTTGACATACTTCATCGGATAAGTGACCTCCTAGTAGCGCTAGATAAAAAGTAAAGGGAACATTAAACATCACAATGATTAGTATGTGGATCATGAATGTCTGTGTACAAAATTTCATGGCAATCCAATCAGTACTTATTGAGATATTTCACCAATTGATGACACTGCCACGAGCTTCGCCGCTAGGATGGCTAAATATGGAGTGACAATTTCATAAATTTGTAATATTGAGTTACATTCTGTTTATTATTGTTATTACTTTATTTTTTTACATTATTATTTTTTTTTATAAAAATATTATTTTGGTAATCATATTAAGTTAATTTGATTTATGATTTTAAAAGGCATGCCACACCAGACTATGACCATGAATAATCTCAGTCCAATAAAGAAATACCATCCCTGGAGCTGTAAACCTTTCTCACCACTCTCACATGTGGCATTCCTACACTCCCAGGATAAAAACAAAACAGCTTCAATGATGTCATGTGCTTTACAGCAGGAGTGGTATAAATACTGTACAGCAGGTTGAAGAAGAGTCATTTAACCCTGTCAATGATTTAGCAATGGTGTCATCAGAGCAGCCTGGCGGTAGCGAGGGTAGGTGCGGCAGTCTATGGTATGGCTAGTCTATTCAGCCATATCCTCTTTGGTTCCTGCAGGTACGCAGTGTAATGCTGATACTGCAGCAGGACTCCAGTGTGTCGCAATCCTTTTACAACCCCTGCACTGGCAGGTGAATAGCTGTTTCGTCATAGCGACTGCAGCTATGCAATGAGTTCAAACGGATGTGTTAAAACGCTACAGGGAGAACAAGTTTGTCTCCATGAAGTGCTGCAGGTGGGGCATTATCCGTTTGTTTGGGTGAACTGATAAAAGATAAATGACGGGACAAGAAAGGAGCGACTCTCATCTATTCCCAAGAACTAAATCTACAACAGAAAACAACGTGTAAACAGTGGTTGAAGTTTCCATTGCAATCACTTCACCTCTTCTTGAAAGCATCTAACAGGATGTACAAGTAGATAAATATAGTACAGCAGTTTATAGCATTTAGTTTAAAAATAGAACACAATCTCTATCCTACCCAACTCTACACAAATTACATTTCTTAACTAGATCATACATTACAGTATTAATTCCTCTAAAGCTACACAGGAAATAAACCTACAGGATAATTCAATGTACAAACATTTATATTAGGGGAAAGTAAAGTCACCCTTTGCATGATTTTAACCTTTTTGGAGGTAAAAGTAGAAATGTACCGCTGTGTACTTTATACTGGATTCTTTCTTCAGCCATTGGAAAATCGTGTTATCCAAGTTTAATAGACCCACAGGAATGGGATGAGCAAGACAAAAAGAACAGGATGAAACAACAGGAATCTCCCATTACACTCGAGTGGGAGTTATGTGGCCAAAAACTGTCAAATCCTGAAAAAGATGAAAAAGCACATCTTTGAATCCATTTGGGGAATTAGTAGTGCAACAAAGTCTCTTCTTATCTCCATCTCACTGCAACTCCAGCTCTACAGCTAGCCTGCAGTGTCTCTTCAATAAAGTACTTTTAATCTGAGGACCACAACGACCCCCTGAGACCAACTACAAGCAATGGTGTAGTTTCTCTTTCAGGTCAACTCCGAGTCAGGTTATGTCCAGTCAGAGCTGCACAGAAGTTCAGTTTCATTCTCATCAAGTTCCATTTTCAGGTCTTGAGTATGTCCTTATCGTCATTTTTTGTCTCCTCTGAGGGAGGCTGACTGGTACCTGTGTCCTGAGCAGAGCTGAGCGGCCTGGCGTTGGCCTTCGTCGACCGCTGCCGTCGCGTGCCATTACCGATGCAGCGCAGGAGGTTCTTGAAGGTTGTCCACATTTCCTCGTCCTTGTAGGAGTAGATGCAAGGGTTCATGACGGAGTTGAGTACAGCCAGGAGCAGCAGCCAACGTTTTAATTTCATGACATTACAACTCTTACACTTGAGGCCATCCAGCAACAGAACCACCAGGCCGGGAGTCCAGCAAATCACAAAGGCCCCTTCAGGAAAAAACACAGTAAATCACACAGTTAGGTTGTTGTAACACTTATTTCTCAAATGTCTTTTTGTGCAGGTTACACTTTTCATAAAAGGTCAAGTTCCAATTTACAAAACAAGTATTTAAAATAGTTTCTTGGCTGGGTACAATAACTTTCTGGCATCACCATGAGGTTTTCAGGAAGTGACTTTGTCTTGCTGTAAATATACCCTCATGAAATGTGTTGTTTTTACACAGTGATATTTAGAACTGTTACCTTTAAACAAAGCCAGGTCAGCTGTTACAGTCTTTATGCCAAGCTAGGCCAACTAGTGCAAGTAGATTCATATCTGCCGTACAGACATGACAGTGGAATTAATCTTCTCGTCTAACTCTCCACAAGACAGTAAATATGTCGAACTTTCATTCAAACACTATTAATGTTAATGGATTTGAATAATGTGATTAATAATCACAATATAATGACTAATGAAGCAATTTATTGAAAAAGTTATTGGGGTTGTCAGGTTGACCGTCCACATTTTTGGCCACTGATTTAAAAGACCACTGTGTAGGATTTAGTGGGATCTAATGGTGAAGTTTCAGATTGCAACCAACTGAACACTTCCAAGCATGTAAGAAGCTACGGTGGACGCGAAAAATGTTAAACAAGGCAGACTCCATAAAAGATTTAGATAAAAACAGACACAACGACACACTGCACTCTTACATTGGTAGTGAAATGTAACTGCCAGGTAGAAATCATTATCCACTGTGAGCCATTTAGCTGAATGTGGACTGACTAAATGATGTTAACAATTTTCTGAGCTGCCAACAGATTCCCTCCTCTTTTCTACAGGCTATATATAAACTAAACAAACCTAAATCCGAATTATTTGATGGTTTCGTATTAATGAAGCTAAATTACAGAGAGTATAAGATGATTACTCATGTTAGAATGCACTGTGTTTTAGCAGAGTGATACCATTCAAATGCCAATAAAACAAGCAGACACAGGTTGGCAACACAATGCCATTATTATGTAAAATACTTAATGCTGTGCGTTCGGTAAATAATGTGGTCAGTCACGGGGCCACTGAAGCAGCCAATTACCCATCTATTTCAAACATGTTTGAGCACAAAACCGAGCTACAAAGAGATTTCTGGAACTGGAAGGAAGGAACAAGCAGCAACTTGTCTTCCAGCAGTGGTGTTGACACTACAAGCATCTCCACGACATCTGTAAGTACTGTTCTCTCTCTCTCTCTCTCTCTCTCTCTCTCTCTCTCTCTCTCTCTCTCTCTCTCTCTCTCTCTCTCTCTGGCACACAGACACACACAAGCATGGATGCATGTGCATTTAGGGGATAAATAAATGAATTATGTTATCTTATCTTAGAAGTGTTGATCTCAGTTGTTATGTTGTTCACTGCTCTTGTCTCTTTTTATGTTTTTCTCCTTCCTCGTGTCTTTTTTTCTTCATCTTTGATGGCCCACATGTTCAAAATAAAGGAAATTGAGTGAGAGCCCATTTAATGGTCTTCCATTGGCAGACTGAAGTTTAAAAGTGGACTTTCTTCCCTTTTACTCCCTGACAAAGAAAAAAAACTGAGGGTTTTGGGGGGACACATTTCAAGCATATGTTCCTTTTCTCAGTCAGATGTTGGATGCTTCACTTAACACAGGCCTCAACGCTCTCAGATATACAACAAATAAATGGCTATGGGCCATTAAACTACAGTAAAGATATACTCTACCAAACTAGAGCCAAGAAGAGTGAAGTACAAATGTAAGCAAGAGAACACACGAGAAGTAATTCCCTGTACTTATTTGTTAGACATGAACATAACTAAATAATGTATTAAATTCACACATACATTACACACCATAAGTGTTTGTTTGCAAGCACAGGCAACCACCATTCCACAGTATCCCCATCTAACCCTCATTTATTTAAATCTGGTTATAACAAAGCATGCGTGGGTTAAATGTCTATGATTAACTGGTTTGTCCAGTTGAGTTTTCCGCCTCAACAGGCTGTTTTTTTTTCATCTGGAACAAGGGTTAACTTTTTTTTTCGTTTTATACTGCCCAATATAAGCCATGATGGTTCTGGACCTGTGAGTCTTCAGATTTCCTTCCTTTTCTTTCAGCCATCGCATGATATTTACAGTCACAGCAATGTCAATAGGGAATTTTGCAAAGCCTGTGAAAGCAATTGACAAAGTCCTCAAGTATAGGTTCTTCTTCCTTTTTTTTTTGGATGGGAGGGAGGAGGGGACGTTCATTGAAGGCCAGTGTGGTGTGGTGTGTATGGTGCACCACACAGGCTGAGGAGCAGTGTCCTTGCAGGGAGAGATAATTACACATCAGTCAGGAATAAAGTGTATACAGAGGCAGACAGCTCCTACGCCACATAGTTTATGAACCCATCTGGCTGGGAAATAAAAGTTCCCAAAGAACAATGACAGACCTTTATCCTGCAGGGCAACCATGTGTGTCACTACAACTATTTCATGCATGTTTTTAATCGGATGATTGTATAAGTAGTGTATGAACAGAAAAACTGAGCGGATTCAACTGTAACTGCTATCCGAACTGCATCAGACTCACTAGAATTTCCTGAGTTTGATGGTATGGCAACTTACTATGTATTTGCATTGCGTGTTATGTTTGCCCTATGTTGGTGCTCCAGTAGAACATGCTGGTGGAGTCCTATTGTTCCATTTTTAAAGGAAAGCGCTGGGAGGGGAGTGACTCAAGTACAGTGCATCTATTGCAAAGTATCCTGTTGCAACACCTAAACAAAGAGAGCCAGACTGGGATATCTGACTGCCTCATCTAGGATGAAAATGCAGGGACGAGAAGGAAACGTCAGCAGGACGCTCTTGAAAAAGAATAGAGCTTTTTCATAGCAGGCATTTTGACATGAAATAGTAGGATAAACACAGGTGTTACCAAGGACACTAACTACAGTTCAGTTTTATTCAGGTTAAACAAAGTCAGGGTGCTGCTACTGTGCATGCTGGCTCACTGGAGAGGCTCTGCTACACTAAATGGAACAGAGGCTTAATTAGTATCATTGGTAACATCTGTGTTTATCCTCGTATTTCTACTCTATAGAGTAGTGCTGCAACAGGGATTCGATCAATAATTAGACAGTAAACGATTTGCCTACAACTTGATAACTTATTAACTGCTTCAGGAATTTATACAACAGACATAACAGAGGGTCTCTGGTTTCAGCTTCTCAAAAGTGAAGATTTGCTTCCTCTTCCTGTTTGGATCGGTTTGACAGAAGACGTCTCTTTGGGCTCTGGGTTATATATTTTCACATTTCATAGACTGAATGATCTATTAAGCAAATAATTAAACAACAAGATAAGTGATAATGGACAAATGCTTAAGTCACTGGGCAGAAACTCTGAATAATTAGACTTTACAGTGACAACAAGAGCTACAGAAAAATAAAATAATAATTTTGCTGACTCCACTTTTGCTTTTATTTAACACTTCGTCATATCACTGACTGATGTGTTCGTGTTATTATGCTCAAGGTTCGTCTAGGGAAAATTTTGATTATAATCCAGCGTGTTCAGCAGTGACTCAGTGAATTGCCTGGACTTTGTGACCTCTTTAAAACCCGACAGAAGACAAACTCTACACCACAACCACTTACACAAGACTAATGCAGGGAATGTTCTGACTCACTGTTGAGTCGTCAATGAGGCCGCACAGACATTACTTTTATGATAAGCACCTACCGAGCACAACCATGACCGTCTTGATGAGCTTGATGGGTGTCCTCTTGCGGTTGATGGAGCCGCTGGTGTGTGGCATGAGCATTGACGTCTTCTTCTTGACGTAGGCGTAGATCCTCATGTAGATGGCCACCATCACCAGGAACACCACCAGGTTGGATGCAGACCAGAAGATCAGGTAGCTCCTGCTGAAGATTGGAGCCAGCTGGGAGCAGTCACTCAGGTTGCAGATGCAGTTCCAGCCCAGACTCGGCACAGCCCCCATGAATATGGAAATGGCCCACACCAGCACGATCAGCAGGGTCACCCTCCTCTTTGTCAGGTTGCTGTGGACTTTCCAGTTCATGACGGAGATGTAGCGCTCCAGAGCTATTACCAGCAGGTTAGCCAGCGAGGCTGAGAGACTGATGTCTAGAAGACCCTGACGGATGAAGTATCCTCTAACTGAAAGTTTCCGTGACACCTCACCCGTGTTAAACATGAGGTACACGTACGCTATGCCGGCCAGGAAGTCTGAGGCGGCGAGATTGGCAAGAAGATAGTAGAAAGGGTAATGAAACCTCTTGTTGGTGATGACAGCAGCTATGACCATGGCATTGGAGACCAGGATGAAACAGCAGAAGAAAGAGCCGACCACCTGCACCAGGATGAGCTGGGTGTTGTCCCATTTATCATCAGCATCAATGTTGCTGTAGAAGAAACCCATGGACTTATTATAATGACAGCTGAGGTTCTCCGGGGCCATTTTAGAAAGCGAGTCTGGGAAATGAGAATGAGAAAACATCAGAAGTGGAACCATTTATGGATTATTTATCATTTGAAGATGCTGAAACAATTTAATGGGTCAGAATGAAATCAATTATTTATTGACAAAAAAGTTCCTGTTTCTCAAATGAGGATTTGCTGCTTTTCCTTGTCTTATCTGATGTAAAATGTGAAGTGATGAAGAATGACAGTGAAGAATACTAAAGAATATATGATGCCAGATAAGTGTAATTACCCAGAATAAATAATTAAAATCAGCTGGAACAATTAAATGTTTTTGCATTCAAAATAATTTAAACAATTATCAGAATAGTTCAATCAATTCATAATTTCTGTAATTGTATACAGTGTTGGGTAGTTTAACAAAACATCATATTATATAACATTTCTTTATGTTCTTCATGTGAAAAAAATCTTAATTTGTAAATTAACTGTAGTAACTAAAGCCGTCAGATAATTGCAGAGGAATAAGAAATACAATATTCAGAAGTATAAGTAGAAGGTAACATGAGAAGAAAAGTAAAAACTACCTCAAATGTGTATAAGTGGCCTACAATTCTTGAATAAATATACTTAGTCACATTTCACCACTGGTGACTTGACTCCAAAGTCAAGTGCACATGCCAAAATCTACAGGGAAAAATCTGCATTGAATACAATGAGTACAAGTGAAATCGCATTAAGCTCCATTAAGATAGTGTCCATAGTAACAATAAAATGAGAGCCAAAACAAGTGACACTAAGTCTATACAGTAATTCGACCTGTACAAACATTCCTGTGTGCTAAAACTAACAGATATGCTGCAGAACAAGATTTCAGTGCAATGCAAACTAAAGTACAGTTTTACCTCCTTTATTATGCAATTAACCTCGCTACACCCTGCCCGACCTGGCTTATCAACAACAGCAAAGAAATGATGAAGAGGAGGGTGGCTGACATAGAGAACGACATAAAGCAGGAAAAAACTAAAAAAATAAAGTTGCCGAAAATAAGTCAAAACATAAGCCCCAAAAAACACAAAGAGTTACCTTGAGGAGCAGTGAGTCAGGTGAGTGTACCTGCGGGGAGTTTACCTGTGCTAAAGGGCTGCCCGTGGTGCGTCAGTAGACTACAAGTTGCGAAATATTCCGTGCCGAGCTAATGAACATGTTTCCCCCCGCAGCGAGAGGACGGAGAGAGAGAGAGAGGGAGGGAGAGGCGACGGCAGCGAGAGCGAGAGGACGAAGCGAGTGAAGCCTGAAAAAGTTGAACGTCTTCACTTTGAGGTTCGGTGACGTAGTGGGCGGGTGCCACCCAGGCTGAATTCCTCCGGTTCACCGCACGAGGCACAAAATACTCGTAGTGAAGTCGGGGGGGGGGGAGACCTGGAAACCCCACCGGTGTGTTTCATCTGTTTCTGTAGTGTTGTAGTATTTATTTCTAATTTTATATATATTTATATTTTTAATATTTTATTTAAAGCACTCATTAACTCATCACCTCTGTATATACTGTCACTTTTTTTTTCTTCCTGAAGTGGCTTCATTTGTTATATAAAATAACTTCACTTCCTCAAAGCAAGGTACTAAAAATGTTGCTTAACATCATTTTCGATTTGTCTAAATGTCACTAGTCTGGCACCTGTAACCTCAAGAGCTAATGCTTCCCTGTTGAGGAAGAAAACCCATCCTCTACTGCAAACTCAATGCCTAATATCAGTGGTAACTAAGTACTTTTACTCAAGTACTGCACAACTGTGATTTGAGGTATTTCATAGCCTCACTTTATATTTTTACTCCACTACATTTATTTTAAAGCTGGATTTACTAGTTACTTTTCAGATTATGTTTTACATTAAAAACAACCTGTGTGACTCAGCTACACCGTACAATCCTACTTGGTATTAATAATAAAAATATAATCTATAATATCTCAGTCACATGGGCTGTTTTTTTCTGTATAATGACTTTCACTTTTGATACTTTAAATTTTCCTGATAATTGATTCAGATTTTGAATATTTTACTTGTTACGTAAAGTATTTTTATGTTGCTGTATTGGTACTTTTACAGTAAAATTATGAGTATTTCTTCTATCACTGAAGAAAGTAATTACCTGTTATGGGGTACCAGGGCAATTAATTGTGTGGCCCCTATACTGACCCCATACACCCACACACAGCGTGTTTGTCTCTTCCAAGATCCCATTAAGTACAAGGCACAAAGTAGTGGCAGCTTCATTATTTACCCAGAGACACTGAAACCCAACCAGTACTCCTGTTTTCTGTGGCTTGAATTAGTTTGAGGCAGTTTGGGGCCCCGGGAAAGCCGTTTTCCAGCTTTGAACATGTTAAATCAATTCACAACTGCTCATATGAAATATATGAAAGTCATCGCTGTTTTCAGTGCAGTACGAACTCCTGTTTTCCACAAATCTGCGTGTTTTGTTTGAAGCAGCACACACACATATTGACATTTGTTATTAGCTGACATTGTGAGTAACAGTGATGTCTGTTGACCTAAACTAAACAGACAGTGTAGTCAGTGTAAAGGAAATCCTTACAGTAAATATCCTGCTCTTGTTTTTTTTAAAAGAGGATTTGATTTGCTCTGGTGTCAGTTTTGACTTGAACTCACGTCTCTGTTTCAAAAAATCACGAATATGAGGACAATGATGTGATGTCTCATTAGGTCTCATATACCCACCTCTGCCTCAGGCATTTTCTCACATCCACACTGAAATGAGTCAAGAGAAGTTTTGGATAACATTAAAGTGAAGCAGACCCGCTGAATCACAGAGGTCTCGCTCTGGATAACTCCTTGTATTTGATCCAGGGTGTTGTTAGGGTTAAAAAAAAAACAGGTTCTTTGATTTTATGAAGTTAAAAGCACAGTAGTCACACTCCAAGAGAGGAGTCGTGCTCCAGCTTGTCTCATCATCTGATCATGATAAAAATGACTCATACTGTATTTCTGGGAGTCATTACAAACTCCCTGCTTGCTCAATCTCAATCTGGCTCTGAATGTTATGAAGTTATGAAGTTTCCCATCAATTGCATTTTTTTAAGCACAGAAGAAATCTGATGTACCATAATTGCATTAACATTTGAGTTTTCACTGCTGCAGATATATTATAGTATTAACCATGTAAATAAAATAAAAGTAGTCTACAGCTTTGACTGCTTACTTGTGATTCGCTGTCAGACTAAAATTTTGAAAGAAAAGCTGAATGTCCACACAGGAAACATATTCTGACAATGGAAAAATGAAAAAAAAAATAGCATTACTGCACTCTTTACTAGACACTTGACAAATAAATTACATCTAGCACTGCATCACATTGCACCAGCGTTTGCAGCAACAGTCACATACAGAAAAACACTAAATCCAGTTCTTTGGCAACTAAATGCATGTGCAGACCTTAAATAGGCCCTGTAAACATATCAACAGTATCCTGCACTCCAGTAGATATCATTATGAAACCTCTCTTTTTTGTTTCCAGGCACAACTCATAAGCCAGCGCTTCAGTTTCATGCTCGAGAGGAACCCTCAGCAAAATCTTTCGCCTGGAACTCTACACTATTAAAGATTTTGCGGTGCATCGCTTGATCTCGAAGTCTGTATCAGACATGTGAAGTCCTCCTCCTCCTCCTCCTCCCGGTGGGACAGCTGTCAGCTGATCAGAATGACGTCGTCATTTTCAGGAACTCTGCAACAACACGATTTAAGAAGCATGAGACAACCCAATATCTCATCACCACCACCATATAAAGACAGACATACATGGTTTCTACATAAGGTCATTAATAAGGTTGGTTAATTATTGCAAATATCTCTAAAATGTATTAACACAGTTTTTGTCATAAGTTACACATCGATGACACTGATTTTTATTCTAAAACAATAAAGTCCTTTAAAACGTATTTCTCAACCCTGTTTCATGAAAAGCAATTTGCAAAAATTGCTTACGCACAGATCCCCGATGCTGGCAGCATTACGTTTCACAAATGATTGTCATCCATAAACTGAAGATCATTTAATGTGTTCTACAGGGCTCTAGCATGCTTATGTACGGGTCATTAAAATGGCATTTATTTTGATTAGTGAAACTAAATTAAAAGAGCTTATGTTGCTGTGTGGGTGTGGTTTAATAAGATTTGAGTGTGTTCACATGATAACACAACTGTCCCCAGATTTCAATGCAAAACTAAATTCTCAAGTATGTGACATCAGCTTGGTTCAGTGTGAAACTATTATTCCAGACTCTGAGCTCTCCAGACTTAAATTCAGTGGCTGCTTGTTCAGACCAGTGAGGTTTCCCTAATCTCTGAACTCTTATTAAACCTCTGTTGTCGCAATAATCCCCTACACAGTCACAGTCCGGTAATAGTCAATTCCTACAATTCAAACCAGCACAAGCATGTCTCTTTATTTTCTGGGCCACCACCTGCATGGAGGGTTTGGCCCTGACACAAAGAGACACAACAAAAGGGATGCAGGAAGAGGTCTGGATTTCTGGTGACTGTGCGCACCCTGTCTGAGAATAAAACCCCCAAACAACCACTTTGAAAATGATAGCCTTGTCACCAACCATGCGCCTTGAACACTTTCTTGTGTTTGGCTGTTTGCTCTCAAGAGAAACAGCTAATTATGTTCCCGTTACATCAAATCTGTAAACAATTACGCATTTTTCCTTCATCTTTATGATCTGCCATAAGCAGCACATTTTTACTGCTGGCTTGAGTTTGCATGGCAAGTCTCAGAATCTCAGTTTCACAAACTGCTGCAGCTGTTTGAGGATGTGAATTTATTTCACAGTTGTGTCCAATCATTCTCTTGGAAAGCAAAATTGCCTCAACTTTTATGTTTTACTGTATTTATAGATTGCTTCTATGCACAGCTTAGCACTCACTTTGTCATATCTGTTTTAAGCATAAACTCTACTCTTTGGCTATGCAGCTTTATTATACTGTGTAATCACATGCAATTTACTGTATGAATCACAGCACATGCATTCAAGTCTTAAGAGATTTATCGGGTTATTTATCGGTCATTGTGGGTATTCTGAATACCTAGTTGAGGGACTGTTACAACCTTTTCCATACTTGGTCATTGAACATTCAGTTCACAAGACACAATTTTTTCAGCCAAACGAAGGGTGACTCTTTCTCTTAAACTTGCTTTCGAAAACAAGATAACTTACTGCAGCAGTAGAAGATAACAGCAGGAAGAGGCTAATTGTACGCAGATGAAATTTCATCCAGTAAGACATTAACATGTTTGCTGAGAACGCTGATCTAATTTTTGTGAGCACAGTAAGGCAAATTTACTCGTAGAAATGAAATTTGGTCAGGTCAGAGGCTGCAAATGATGGCAATTACAGACTTTGTGTAACTTGACAAGACTACTCCTAATGACAAAAAGTCAGCCCGGTTCTATGCTCGGCTCCACGGAGAAGATAGATGTTCAATTGTCAGTCTTGCATTACGCTGCACTACTACACATTATTACATAATGGCTCTGTAACTGACACTAAACTTCCTTAAAACACTCAGACATCCAGAGCAGGAAAACCGGATTGCTTGGTGATGGTGAACGGCTGTGTAGCATGCAGGAAAGACCACAGAGTCAAGAGTGTTAATGTCTGGTAAAACAATAACGATGGAACCGCCATCGAAAGGAAAAACTGATACGCACGGTAAGAAAAAGCAGAGAAAACGTTTCCATATTTAACTGTATTCGGTTCTTTTCCACTGATTACACGACTCAAAATTATTTTCACCGTGTGTACAAACATTTGAGGCTCTGGCTTGCAGAAAATAATAGTTTGATGGGAAACACGGCACAATTCTATACAAATGACTACTGTAGTTGCTAGTCTGGGATAAACAACATCTTTCTGGACTCAGTCATAAAATGTAGTCATGCTTTTTATGTGGAAGGACGGTGATGTTGTTAGTTTGCAGTTAAGCCTTTTCTTGAATATAAACTTAATTGATCCAAAACAAGGACATTGAATAATATATTGAAAAATTACAATTTAGGAATGTTTAATGCAGAACCAAAAGCTGAAGTAACACACCGCAGTCTGGAGAACTGCTGCTTTTGGTTGAGCTTTGTAACTTTTCCCTATAAACAGACGATTAAAGAGGAACTGATGACTTTTCAACAAGCACCAACTTGTGCATAAACTGTAAACTTAATGTTCAAGATGGACATGGTGAAATAAAATGTAAGAAATGCATTATTATGAAATCATTAGGAAATACTTGTCATAAATGTTATCTGATTACAAAAAGGAGCAGATGCAGCGTTAACTCCTTCCACAAAACAAAACCACACACCAGAGAGTCATTGAATTTTACTGTACACCACATTAAAGACTAGTGGAGTTAAACTTCCACCCATCACACTTGATTCAAATAACCTAATCAACCACCGTGCTTTAACAAAACTTTTCTGGCTCAGTTGGCTGCGTGTTGACCGTGCCTGTTTATGTGGGAGGCAACACAGCAGAGTGGGAGCGATGGCTGGGTGGTTGGGGGGAGAGAGAGGGGTTCTTCCCAGTGTTCAGCCTCAGTTTCTCTGTAATCAGCCCCATCACTGGGTGTGTCTGCATAGCTCCCACCACTAATTTCATTGCTCTCAGACCACGTAAGAGTGAGCCAAACCACAGCGTGGAGGAAACTCCACTCTAGTCTGCTGCCTGCTGATGATAGAAATTGGCTCATAGAAAAGGAATGAGCAGAAAACAGAGACGTATAGAGAAATACGATGTATTGCTGTAGCAACAAGGTGTTGGCAAAGCAAACTGAGCTTTCTACTCCGAAAATGTTACTGTATGTGTAATGTTTTTGTTATGAGTGGTTTACTTAAATAGAGACTGACTGACAGACTGTTGAAGGGACACATGTAATATTGTGTGATATTTTCTCCTCTATGCTGTCGACTAATCTCAAATACAAAGAAGAATCAAAAAATATACATATCTGGTTCTTAAAACCTGCTTGAAACATCCGATATATCCTTCTAGTGCAGCCCTAAGTTGAAGCATATCAGAGCAATTTCTTTTTATATACACACACACACACACACACACACACACACACACACACACACACACACACACACACACACACACACACACACACACACACACACACACACACACACACACACACACACACACACACACACACACACACACACACACACACACACACACACACACACACACAATATTGCTCATGCTTCAGTGATGACAAGTCATGTTTGTACAGCGCAGTTTCCTGGTGTGAATGTGTGTGCAGCAAAGTGTGCAAATAAAGGTAAATGTTATTAAAAGCATCGTACCGTTGACAGCAGCAGAGCACAGAGTGTCTGACGTGAACGTCTGTCTGACTGCTCTCCTCTGCAACAGGAAAATCTTTCTGCTCTCGGAGGAATTTCTGCAGGTCCGTCAATGGGAATCCTTCCTTTTGGTATCTCTGTTGGTTATAAAAACACAAAGAAATGCAACTGAATCTAGACTTCCTCCCAAAGGACAACATGGAACAAACAACTAACAAGACTAGGTCGGACAACTAGACACAAAAAACCTGCAAGATTTAAAGTACCTTGATGGTCTCATAGGCATCGGTGATGAGGGCAATGAAGAGTGACAGCACCATGTAGATGAAGAGGGAGATGAAGGAGTAGAGGTAGGCCCGGCTGAAGAGCCACACCAAAATGTTTTTGTCCTTCAGCTGAGCGAAGGTGGTGAACATGTCGTCGCCGTTCAACAGGGAGAACAGGCACTCCGCTACACGACTCAGGCCCTCAAACTAGAGGAATGGAAGAGGGGACATTAGATTGGATTTAATAAAAGTTGTAAATGTTGTTAACAATTAACACAAGAGCTGAAACATTTTATCTGAAGAGTATATTCTTTTCAGAATTTTTGTCGAACCTCTGATTTACGCTTGTGAATTACTGGATATATTTTGGCAATCATTGACATTTACAAGCTACAATGAGGTGTCGCAAGTAGACATAGCTTCATTTTAACCTGTAGTAGGTCTGCAATCATTAGTTTCATCATCAATTAATCTGCTAATTAATATTTGTTTGTTAATCCATTGTCCTGTCAAATCAAAAAACTAGAATTACCATCCTGTGGTTGTATGCCTCCGGCAACCAGTCAAATTGAAATTTACATCAATGTCTGTCCAGACTTATAGAACATATGTGGTGAATTATATAAAAAAGGTATAAAGTTTATTTATTTGTTAAGTTATTTTGGCTAAGTGGAAGTTGTCACCATAATGATGATATACAGCGGGTAAAATCACAATTTTTCTCAGTAAATATATTTCTAAAGGTGCTATTGACATGAAATTTTCACCAGATGTCGGTAACAACCCATGCAATCCACACATGCAAAGAAATCAAAATAAATAATTTCAGAAATTAAAGTTATGTGTAATAAAATGGAATGACACAGGGAAAAAGTATTGAACACGCTTACTGAAATATATTTAATACTTTGTACAAAAGCCTTTGTTGGTAATGACAGCTTCAAGACACCTCCTGTGTATGGAGAAACTAGTCACATGCATTGCTCAGGTGTGATTTTGGCCCATTCTTCCGCACAAACAGTCTTCAAATCTTGATAGATTTCATAAATTATGTTATGTGTAATAATGTGAAATGACACGGGGAAAAAGTATTGAACAAATGACAAAAGGGAGGTGCAAAAAGGCACGGAAAGCCAAGACACCAGCTGAAATCCATCAGTAATTAGAAAGCAATCCTGCCACTTGTCAGTGCAAATTAATATCAGCTGGTTCAGTCCCAACTGATGGCCTATAAAAAAGGTGTCTCATCACCAAGGTGTCACACAAGAAACATCTCATGATGGGTAAAACCAAAGAGCTCTCTCAAGACCTTTGCAACCTTATTGTTGAAAAACATACTGATGGCATGGGTTACAGAAGGATTTCTAAACTTCTGAATGTTCCAGTGAGCACTGTTGGGGCCGTAATCCGGAAGTGGAAAGAACATCATTTGACCATAAACTGGCCACGACTAGGTGCTCCTCGCAAGATTTGTGACAGAGGAGTGAAAAGAATTATCACAAGAGTTTTCCAAGAGCCAAGGACCACTTGTGGAGAGCTTCAGAAAGACCTGGAATTAGCAGGTACAATTGTTTCAAAGAAAACAATAAGTAATGCACCGCGCAAGACTCCACTGCTGAAGAAAAAGCATGTTGAAGAGCGTTTAAAGTTTGCTGCACAACATTTAGACAAGCCTGTGAAATACTGGGAGAATATAGTCTGGTCAGATGAGACCAAAATTCAGCTCTTTGGATGCCATAATAGACAGCATGTTTGGAGGTCAAATGGTACTGCACATCACCCCAAAAACACCATACCAACAGTGAAGTTTGGGGGTGGGAACATCATGGTGTGGGGCTGTTTTTCAGCATACGGCACTCGCAAACTTCATATACTTGAAGGAAGGATGAATGGAAAAATGTACCGAGACATTCTTGATAAAAATCTGCTGCCATCTACCAGGATGATGAAGATGAAACGAGGGTGGACATTTCAGCAAGACAATGATCCCAAACACACAGCCAAGGAAACTCTCAACTGGTTTCAGAGAAAGAAAATAAAGCTGCTAGAATGGCCCAGCCAATCACCTGACTTGAATCCAAAAGAAAATCTATGGAAAGAACTAAAGATCAGAGTTCATAGAAGAGGCCCACGGAAACTTCAAGATTTGAAGACTGTTTGTGCGGAAGGATCGGTTAAAATCACACCTGAGCAATGCATGTGACTAGTTTCTCCATACAGGAGGCATCTTGAAGCTGTTATTAACAACAAAGGCTTTTGTACGAAGTATTAAATAAATTTCAGTAAGCGTGTTCAATACTTTTTCCCTGTGTCATTCCATTTTATTACACATAACTTTAATCTCTGAAATTATTTATTTTGGTTTCTTTGCATGTGTGGATTGCATGGGTTGTTACCGACATCTGGTGAAAATAGCACCTTTAGAAATATATTTACTGAGGAAAAATGGTGACGTGTTCAATACTTATTTTACCTGCTGTATATGTACAATTCCAGTGAATATACATTTTTTGAAATGATTAATAACAATAACCATCTTTTGACTGTGTACTTAACATACGTGCTTTTAACACTTGCACAAAACAGAACTGTTGATCTTTACAGAGACAGGGTTAAAAAGAAAGAGAAGGAGGTGCAGAATACTGAGAAAAGAGTGATGCTTGATAAAGGTGGTTAGATAGAGACAGAAAGGCAAACAAAGAGACAGATGGCTTAGAGGGAGGCACAAACATTATGAAAGAAGTTCCTCCAGTACGCGATAACATCTTAATACAACATCCCACTGCGACGGTATGGATCCAGGGCACAGCACTCGAAGACGTGTGGGATGGCAAGTCCCAGAACATCCTCTGTTTATTCCTTCAGTAAATACACAGAGAAGCCTCGAAGGGCTGACAGCACACTACAAGGGGACTCCCCCAGCTTCTGCAATGTAAATATCTTGATATACGTTTCTGTTGACTGCAGCGTTGGATACATAAGGAACTGAAACTTGTTTTACTTCAGGTGCAAGCATAACAGCACGTCAGGTCATTTTCACTTCCACTGACTAAATATGAAAATGCAATTAATGTGATAGTAATGTTACACGTAATACAAATATGGAAGCACCAGTGCATTTAACAACAAATCTTGTGCGCCATTTACAATATTTAACCACATTTCAAATCAGTCCTCAACTTATTTAGAGCAGCTACTCCTCTTCAATTTAACATTATCAACAAACTTCCATTTGGTCCGTGAGAGGTCACTTGGCCCGGGGCGGCTGAACTCAGCCTATCTCACATCTGTCTCTCCTACAGTATGAGCAAGGCCTTGTTTAGACGCCTACTGCATGCTCGGACTTCCGTAAATAATTTATCTTAACGGGCGAGGACAGCTAAACACACATATTTTCCCTGATGGCACTTGTTGTCCAAGGATGTCCATCTGACTGCAGTTAAAATAATCTGTTGACTTTGTGTTTTCAGAGCACACGAAAACATCAACCATGTTAACTTTTGTGTCTTACTTTCTTATTGCTTAAAACCACATGTCATTTATTGTAGCCTGTGCAGTTTTGCTATGATGTGTGAACTTTAAAAAGGGCAGCAGGCTCCAGTTTGGGCGGTTCAAAATTTGATTGTTTTGTGGCGATATGGATATAAGGGGTTTAAGGTACTGATCATGTATAATGTCCCCATAATGTCCCCAGTTTGAGTCCTGCAGGGGGGTCTTTATTGCATGTCTGCCCCCATTCCTCTCCCTTTATTTCCCATCTCCCCTACACGGTCCTCTGTCCAGTAAAAAGGAAATAAATCCCCCCCAACATACTCAAAAACCTGGTTGTTTTAAACTGAGACAAGGCTGTGAGTTTGTGTGTACAGTGTGGAAAGATTTGTGTCTCAGTGTAAGACTTTACAAATTTGGTCTTAAGGACAGAAAGCTGTTCTCGTTGAAGCTGGAGGTGTAATTGACAGAACGTATACTGACACCTTGTGGTTGTATGAGCGTCTCTGGAAGCCAAAGGGCTGATAAGTTTAAAAGGTAAATATGGTACAGAACATCTGCATTCTTTAATTGTGATATTCATTGAAATGTCCATAATTTATAATATCATTCTTTGTATTCAATATGTCCCACTATGAATCCCCACACTTGATCTACGCAGACTAAGTATTTATGGTAGTTTTTTTAGCTTTAGTTCAACCACAAAATGCTGTTTCAGCCAATTTAAAAACATGCACACATACATGTCTGGAAACTAATGTACCCATATTTGTGTGGCCTCAGCAGTTCTGCAGGAATAATAAATAAGAAGTCAGTAAAAAAAAAAGTGCCTTGATAGTTCCTCTAACTTCCTCACATCCTAACAGTAAAAGCCAAAGTGATTCAACTAACTTCTGTAATCTCAGACCCTCAGGCCTCCACATACTCTGCTCTCCTCAAACCAGTTTAAGAGTGAGTTAATGAGAGTTACCTTCTCATGGTACGGCCCCAGTACGATCCACCCGCAGAAGGTGTAGCCGAGGTAGATCATGCCGGCACAGCAGCAGAAACGCAGGACCTTGGGGAAGGCTGCTTTCATGGTTAAAATTAACACCTAGACACACAGGAAGGTATGAAGAGATTGTTAAACCACAACCAAATCACCAATAACCTGTTTGATAGTCAATGTTGAGTGTAAGGAAAGGTACAATGAGAGAAAGAAAAAAGGCTCACAGACTCACATTGTATTTCTGGAAGTATCCGAGATATCTGATCACGCCGACCCACACCATTAATGTAGACGTTCCCAGGAAGATACTGCACACGTCGTAACTGGTCAGACTCTATAAGAGAGACGGGAAAAAAATACTGAGAAAGCAGTTTTCTCTTGTAGGATTAACAAATATTTAGTGTGGGTGAAGGTGGCACACCCCAGCTTCTGGGGTACCAAGGAGGGTAAACACAGAATCAGGAAAAGTCATATTTTAAGTTCACTTAAAGCAGATCTCAAACTACAGACCCGTGGCTCATTTCTGGCCCTCCAAAGGGTTCGCAACAGGATGTCAAAAATATTAATCTGGCCTGCAAGACAATTTGTTTTCCTAGTTTCATGTCAATTTAAACTACCACTTCATATACAGGTAAAATAAAAACATAATTCTATTTTAAAAATGTATTTTGTTTGTGGCAAAATAATGGTAAAGGTCAAAGGTGTCTGGAAATGTGTAGATGATAAGCAGGTTTCAGGGTTTCATTTGTTTGGTTGCGAAATACAAATGATAGAAAATGACGATAGACATGTATAGAAACTCTGTTTGGATTTGTTTTGTTAAGTATAATGTTAGTATTGTTTTGCTCTCTCTTGTAGTACTTGAACACTGAAGTGACCCCTCCTATGAAATAGGACAATACCAGCATTGACTCCAAGCCTAGTTCAGTTTGAATCCCCTGACTTAAAGCTACAACACTGCAAGTATGATTTTATTGACTTGATTTCATAACAGGTGGTGACATCACCTGTATGGATTATTTTAATGGGGATTAAAGTACAATGGGGAAGTGCAACTGAGGAACATCTTATCAATTGTTAACAAGTGTGTGCATGCGTTTCCTTTAGGTGAGCCAGTTCCAGGACTCTGTTATTGTGCAGGCTCAACTCACTGTCATGGCTTACTTGGACTTTTGGAGCCGCTGTTTAAATATTATTATTTACACCTGTGCTTTTTTGCTTTCACAAGTCAAATGCCTGCTGTGAAAATGGCCTGTTCAAGATGAGCATTTCCAAATTAGTATTAAGACCTATCCTCAACAGCAAAACAACAGCCTCTGTCGGGGGTGGGGTGAATAAGGGAGACATTTATTCCTTCGTCTGTCAGGCTTGGGGTAAACACTTAACATGGTGGCTATACAAAGGACAGGCAGCTGGGTTAACATTAAAAGGTCTTTACAGTGTCTACATTAAGTCTGTTCACTTCAAAGTCCACCAGACGCTGAGACACTCCCAGAATTCTATTTCTCAATTGTTTAATAAAGCACTTGGTATAAAATCAAAGGTGATTACATGCATCTAAGTCAGTACACAGTAATCCTCTTCTCTCTGAGACAGAAGCACACGATTAACTCTACCTTCGCTTGTATTTCCATCTTCAGTATGGATCCAATTATGGCCAAGAGGTCGCTGATAATGACCAGCAGATACCAGCCGTTCAGAAACTCACTCTGGTCATCCTCACACACTTTACGGTTGTAGTTCTCATGTAGGAATCTGGAGAATCTCTGAAAACACACCAATGCAAATGAATATTCTTGAAGAAGATCAACAACACAGTATCATTTGATGACTAAATGTGCATTCTAGATACACAACACTATCATACCAAATGCCTGCAGATTGTGAAACATTCATCCATATCTACATGCAAGAAATGTAGAGCAAAGACCAGAAACAGGAAAGAAAAAGAATGCCTGTACAATGTTGGACAGTGTGAGCAGAGACTGAAACGCTAACCTGGAGCAAGCGGACAGCAAGTACGATGGAGCGGGTGCACAGCACAGCTGACGTGAGGCACACGACGATGACAAAAACGTCAAACACCAGAAGATAGTGTGTGTTCTTCTGAGCTGAAACAGAGACAGAGACAAAGTGTGTGTGTGTGTGTGTGTGTGTGTGTGTGTGTGTGTGTGTGTGTGTGTGTGTGTGTGTGTGTGTGGACGGTTTATCTTTAACACAACTCTCTCACACTCATTACTGATAAAGTTTACAGGAAAACGCCTCCCTAACAGTTAACAGTAAGGGGCATTTGCATTTTTGGGGCTAAATAGTATTGCTTATTTGGTTACCTACCACATACTACGGTGTGAAAGTTTTAATTATTAAATTACATAACACATTTTTTTACTTCATCTCCGGACAATTAAAAATATTCCTTTGAACATAAAACTTTTATCATAATAATGTGTAAATATTAAAACATACGTATCTGTACAAACAGCTCTTAATCTAATTATTTGTGCTGTTTTTCCTCTTCAGGCTTATTTTATGTTTTGTTTTTATTTCTCCATTCGATTAGACAACTACAACTTACCCGTCCCAGATATCTTCCAGTTTCGACATGCACAACTCTGAGCGTCTATGTCCAGGAATATTTTCACCTTCCCACTGTGACACTGATTGTCAAATGTAATCTAGGGACAAGAAGAGAGGAAAATAGATTAGCAAAACGATGAGAAAAGCAGCTGTCTTGTGATCAAACACAGCATATAATATGGCTGAACCATACCGTAACAAAGAAAGCGTAGCAATCAGGTAACTCTCGTGAACGCACAGTCTGAAGGTTGATGCCTCTCAGCTGGAAAGTTATTTTGATGTCAACTAACCTAAAAGCAAAATTGAGGATTTAAATGTACATGATTTGTGTTAGCTGCAGATAAATACAGTACATTGATGGGTGATAAAATTACCTGTAAAAGTCCAGATCAAAAAAGGATGAATTCTGGGTTTTCTGTTGATTTGTAGTGTTTGGATCATGGGTCACACAAACTGAGAGAGAGGAGATGAACATTGAGATCTTCTTTTTACACACCTACCATTCAATATGTGTGATATGACGCAGAAGTAATGGGTCTATACTTCTACTTTACACTAAAATACAGACACACACACTTAAATTTCCACAATTACACAGTGAGAAACAGAGTGGTGATTTAGTAATTCAGGTTCTACCATTACAATGATTGTTAAACATTTTAAATTAATCTGAATTCTTGAATAAATTCTGGGTCTAGAATGAACTTTTATGGCTGTTTTATACATGCCATCAGAAATGTATACTCCTTTAAAACACAAACAAAAATGAAGTGTGATAGAGATCAGTGATTTTACTGGTCAGCCTGTTTCCTCTCACCTGTCTCCAGCTGAGCGTCTATGTCATAGGCCTCATTTGAGGGCTCCACGCTACCTCTCTTGTAGTACTCTTTACAGAGGGTGAGAGGCAGCAGCTTGCCGTCCTCATCCTCGGCGTAGCTGATGGGACCCACAGAGAGCCGGCCGAACTGGCTATACTATAAATATCAGAAGCCTCAGGTAAAACACACTATCCCAGGGTGATGTACATCATGTTACAGAAAACTCCCAGATCACACACGCAATCAAATGCAAAGTCTGGTCAAATATTAACTGACTGAGGAAAACAGCCTGTTTCACCGGATAACCACATAAAATGCAGAATAGTTCACATCGAGTACAATTACATGAACGTTAGAATCCCTGAATTTGATCATATATGACAAATGTGATTATTCATTAACTCTTATTCCTGTTTACATCATAGACCATGTGATGTTTACATGCATTACACATAAAGAGGACACTAGTGTGCATGTAGACACACTCCATTAAATAAAAAGTAAAACAACAATGACCTTGATAGCTAAATCATCATATAACACAGAACTACAAAAATTGTGAAAATATATATATCAAAATATTATATATTATGTATGTATATCAAAATCTTGTTAATTTTACATTATTGACAGTGTTGTTTTCATTTCCTTATAGTGTAACAGTCTGAAAATATAAAACTTCCCCAATAACCCAAGAAAAGGGAAAAAAACTAAATTTAGACACAACTCAAAGCCACAATACTGCCACAGTAACCTTTAGGAAGAAGGCTGCGTTCAAAACCAAACAAAAACAGATGCCTCATGTCAGCAGGAGTTCAAGCTAATCAAATGTGAACCAAATTTAATAGATATAGCGTCATATATTGTCAATGCAAAGTATTCTTAATCAGACAGCGGTCTGGAGCGATTCCATGAAGCTACAGTGCAACTTACACTGCAGTGGAAGTGTGTGTAAAGTGAGGGCGTTGAACTTGCCTGATCCAGGACATAAAACAGACTGTCATGGACAGCTTGCTGCGTGTAGACAGCAACACTGTAGTCGTCCTCGTCCACCCCGCTGTAGTCCTTCAGGAAAAGGTTTTTGAGGGCCATCATGTTCTCCTCCTTATAAGACACCACCAGCTGGTTGTTGAGGCCGAACAGGATGAGCTACGGAGGAAACAACAGGGAGGGAGATTTTTTGTAGATGTTTGCAGTAATTCAGTAATTCATATTTGTTCTTTGTGTAACATTTGTAAAGTTTAAGCCATTATCATTTTTTGGGAATATTTCTCCTAAGCTTAAGTTTTTACTTAAGGAATGCACTTCCCTAATGCTGATTTACAACACAGATTTGGACTTTGGTCCTCTCAGCATTTTAAAGATTACTTACAAAGATGGACTTTAAAAAGAAGTCATTTTAGTTCTTAAGTGAAATATCAATGAACGTAATCGCCCCTTTTTAGCAGTTTTTCTTGTTTTGTCTTTGCTGTACTTTTTCTAACTGTGAAAAACAAAATGTTCCAGTACAATAAGGTTCAGATTTAAGAGTGAAATACCTTTATTTCATCATCTTCCATGTAACACAAACAGACGCACTCGGACCCTGTGTGTCTCCCCCACTCAAATACCAACACTAATTAAAAAATACATTTACTGGAATTAAGCAACACTCTTCCAGGAAAACATTTAAGGAGTGGGTTTTATTTCCAGGTTAAACCCCACACGGTACATACTTGTGTGGTGATCATGATGATTTTCAGAATCTGCACCCCAAGTTTCCAGGGTATGTGTCGCCTGGCCCGGTACTTCTCACACGGGCTCATGAAGTAGTACCTCAGGTCATCTCTCAGGTTCTCCTCTTTGATAACATCTTGAGTCATCACAGAGCTGAAAACAACAAATCACAACAAAATGTCCTGTCATGCTCTCTGTTTTACTGGTACGTTTACCTCAAATTTTTAGTTAATTCCAGGAAGACGAGGCCAAAATCAGTTAGTGGGAAAAAAAACAGAAGTGAAAGCAGTTATTTCATGATAACTTGAGCAATAGTTGTGTCTTTCAGTGCACTTCACTGGCCATCTCTCACAGGAAGAACTCCATGTACTGAGCACACTGCCTGCATTCATGGTGCTGCCTGGGTTTAAGTCCAAGGTTAGCTCAGGGAGTGCACTTTCAATATTTTCCCAACAGTTTGCCCACAGGTTTTCCAAATATCCTTTTTTTTTTTTTTACTGCAGTTGGAAATCAGCCTTAAGGAATTTTGTTAAACGACGCATTTTACAGTTATTTCCAGCTTAATGTGTTGGGTTAAATACCTGCCTGCTCCTGTCAGGAGTGTTAAATGACTGTTGTTTTAAAGTGAGACAACAATATTTAGATTATGTAAATAAACTTTTGAGTCATTTTGGCAATTACATCCGATGTTTTAATGTATCCTGCACATTATAGTTAAAGTATTTAACTCTTTGCAAGTTTTAAAATGTCGAAAATAAGTTTTAAACGCCAGTCATTTGGAAAAAAACATAAATGAATTACCTAATGGAATTGCTCCTGTCCAGATATCGAACCAATAATTCCATGATTGATTATCCACGTGGACACACCAGTTAATCGAGTGTGTGGTTGTCAAAAGGCTGACAGACAGACAGACAGACAGAGAGACAGAGAGAGAAGACCTTTCAGCTGGGTCTCACCGAGCACTTTCCAGGCAGCCAATCAGGAAATGAGTTTCAGGCGGCGCACAGGTTCCCAATCTACGGCCCGAGGGCCCCCCAGTGGTCACCGAGAGGATCGAAATGGGTCGACGGCCAAAAAAAACAAAAACATATTTATTTCTATTGTTCTTCCTTTGTTACCTAAAGTACTACAGAAATTACCCAATGATAAAAAATGTAGTCTCTCTTTCTTCATTGTTATTAATTGGCTTTTTATGTTTTATTTACTTCTATTTTTTATGGTGTGGAAACACTTTTGTTCTGTTGGCTTAAAGGAAGCCATGTTTTAAACACACTGAGTCTAATAAGTGCTGGAGTCAGCCTGTGATATACCCCCCCACTGCCAAGTGTTTGTTTATAACTGTGGAACGTAAACACAGAAAATACCAAGGAGCTGAGTCTTCAGTGGTGGATACAGGCCTGTCTACAATGTGAGGTCCCCTATTTGTAACATCACTGACATAATCCAATCCCATATTTAACACACAAAACCTTCCTCCGATGGGGTTTTGGCTTACGTTTGTTTTGGGCTCCTCGGTTAAAGTTTGTGGGTTGATATCTCAACCTTAAAATCTGATTACTTTAACAGAAATGTGGCCTGTCAGAAGATGGCGTTATTGTCTGAGGCTGAGAGACACTGAAGTGGATTTCTTATAAAGTCTCATCAATTATCCATTAATTAATTTACTGTTGCCCCTTGTTCATTCATAGCTCCATCTATCTTTCTGCCTTAGGGTGTTTATTTCTCAGCCTGTCTGCTGAGAACTAAAAGATAATATTTCACACACGTTGGGAACCATTTTCACACTAGAAGCCTAAAGACAGGACAGTGCTCACAATCATAAAACAAGAGTATATATATATATATATATATTTCTATTATATGATACAACAACTCTTCAAGCTTACCATTAAGTACAATGCAACACCGTATAAGTTATTCCTTAAAAAGATATTAGACACAATGGATGAAGTAATGGGTTTCATTCCATCTCCTTATCCCTTTCTCATAGTTCTCTGGTCACTTGTGGAAAGAAACAGTGAAAGGTGTCTTAATGGTAAACAGACCATACAGACCATCACTGTGTGATTCACATTCATACACTGGTGGCAAAGGTGCCAACTGCTCATCAGAAACTAACTCACCCATTCCCACACACTCACAGCAATTTAGGGTTCAGTATCTTGCCCAAGGACACTTCAACATGCAGAGCCACATCCACTGTTTAGGTTTACTACAGTTTTAGTTGGATCAAGATTTGTGGATATTCTTTGGGTTGTGGCTGTTTAACATGCAGCGTTGTTAGACATCAAAACCTCTTTTAAATCACTGTGTCTTCCTGGTGTTTGTAGGGGTGTGAGAGGAAAATTTATTTAGCATAAATTCATAAGGGAATTCATGATATCTTGATAACATCTGAGATAACATGTACCCCAGTGCAAATGATGGTCAGTATTGATGTTTGACAGAGCAACACATTAATACAAAAAATTTGTTTCCCATAAATACCCATTACTGTGACAAAACATAATTAGCTTTCAAAGGTTATGGTTTGTATTCTTTGTGTATTATTCCCAGCACCCATGTACTAACTTTTGCATTAAAATTGTAACAGTTTAAAACAGATAAATTAGTATTTTAGCATTTAGGGGCCGTGAACATTGTTGAAAATGTACACACACAACATGGACATATGATCACCTATAAAGTTGTAGAAAACGGTTGCCTACTCACACATCCAGCAGGCATGAAGCAACATTACCATTCATTTGCACTCATGTTTCAGGCCACCTGATGAATATAAAGGCCAATATTTACTCTCTTTTAGATCTGTATTGCTCTCCAACAACTCCTGAGGGCAATATCTGGCGCTTTAACTCCTAAATGCTCCACAGTGCTCACCAACTCGTCGCTAACAGAGCAACTAACAGGTTGTGTACAGTGGATTCAGAGTCTGAGGAGAGCTGTGAGAGTAAATTAAAACAGCAAACAGTATCAGTAAAGACCGACTGGTGCAGCTTTCAGTATTATTGTGTGCTTCAGTATTAATGACTTCAATAGGTTACTACAAGAGCTTTTCAACATTTTGTGAAAGAATATTCTTACCTGATCATTGTTTTTTTTTATTAATTCATTTAGGACTTTAAATCAATTATTCTGTAAAGTACAAACTGGGTTGTGAATTTATGAAATTCACTAATTACAACTTTTTTCACTGTGCCCATCATGCTTGCAAGCAGCTTGCCCCTTCTGAAAAAAAAAAGATGAAAGGAGGTGGTACAGCTGTTGAATCGGCTTCAGCGTCACTATTTCAAGGCCTCTATATACGAACCCTTAATGGCCACAAAAACAGTTTATTGTAAGGAAAATACAGCATAAACAAATCGTTTTTATCCCTTCTAAATTACAAAATCCAAATGTATACTTCAATATCAGTTATTATGTAATCATTGTAATAATTAAACAGTCTTTCATTATCATTACAGTGAAACTAATATAGTTTGTAAGATCATGATTCCTGCTGATGGGTACGAAACACTGAAACACCAGATCAATCAACACCCTTTTTTAAACACATCAGTTTCTTGCTTCCCTGACACGTGTTTTAGTCTGGCTGCCGTGGGGTTGATTGAATGTTTCTTTCTAACTGAGGAAATAAATACAGCTGACAGAGTCGACATCATCATGAAATAATACTTTTTGGTGACTCTGCTCTAGGAAAGGCACATTCATTTGACCCCAAAACAGCAAGATAAAAGTTCAGTTGGGAACACACACACATTTAAACAATGTCTGTAAGCCAGATAGTCAGGATAATAACTCTCCTTGGCACCACCTCTTTCATAGTCCAACAAAAAAAAAAGTTTGCTTTGGCCGATGTAGAAGCCGTCTACTCCACTATTGCTGGAGATGACTCCTGAACAGGAACTCCGACAGTTTCGACTTCCATCGAAGAGGCAGAGGAGGTCCTGTCTTCTGCTGAGGCTGGAGGGTCCTGCAGTGAGGTAGTTTACGTCACACATGTATCACACACACATGCTACATGTTCCAATAAAAATGCCCAGCAGCAAATAATATATTCATTAACCAAAGCAGAAGATATTTAAACCAATAAAACATTACCCACTGTATGTTAAAGCTGCAGTAGGTAACTATGAAACAACTAACCAGAGCCAAAAAAGCTACTGAAGCTCCAAGTGAGTAAAATAAAGTAGTTATGTTCATGTAGGAATTTAATTGAATTGAGCATATTACTGACTTAAATCCGCAAAATGTATTAACTCACATTTAGTTGCATGACATTAGAAACAGAGAGAGGTTTATGTTATTTGCTGCTACAAGTCTTCAGATGGAAATAAAGACCCATGAACTAAATTCACTAATGTGCAGTGGAATTCAGCTCTTTTATTGCTGTGGCACAACACAATTATAATGTAGATCTAAGTTTTAGTTGATCTTAAATGTCACTTTGATAACCACAACTATACTCGTGAGAGGAAGAAGAAATAAGCCAAATGTTTTATGGTTACACAGCAGTATACCATGGCATCCTGGCTGAAATCCACTGCACTTATCATTTTTGTTATTAATATCTAGGAATCTATATATGAGATACATGTAAAGCTATAAAATATATCCAAGAGTTACTGGTTAAACACACTCACAAGCACAAGACAAGTTAAACAGCCCTCATCAAAACACAAAAGTAAAAACAGTGAACCAACCAAGCTAGTTATTAAATAATTATTTACCAATTTATGTCGTATGTGAATATTCTCCATCCCATTAGCACATGTCCCATGCTGAAGCATTAAAACATGAAAAACAGGATACTTTAAAGGTTTAGTCACAGTTAAGAGGCGCTATTTTATGTCCAAACTCGTAAATTAAGATGAATTTGTTTTAGTTTTCATGCATTTTAAAAAGAACTCACCTGAACATCAGTCTGTGAAGAACGCCTTCTGGCTGGCTGAGATTTAGATGCTGCGCCGTCATCTTTAGAAATATTCTCCTTCACATCCATAGATTTATTCTCTGATTCAGTCGGTTCAGTTTTTGATTGGGCTGTGTCAGCAGCAACAAGGCTAGCAGTCGCTCCTGTTAGCTCCTCCTGTGTCTCCTGCTGGTTGTCTGACTCTGACTCAGTGTAGAGATCCTGCTCTTCCTCCCGCAGCTGAGCATCCGGCTCATCCTCACTGTAAGGAGGCTCAGCAGTGTGTAGTGTCTCCACAACCACCTTGGCGGGCTCTTCCCTGGGCCTGTTGGGCCGCCTCCGATGAACCTGGTTCCTGTGCAATCTGCCATCGTCGGCCCGGTGCCTCAGGGCACGTTGTGGTGCGTCCCCTCCTGCTAAGTCGTCGTAGTCCTCGATCCCCTGGAGGTGACGCTGCGGTTGCTGCAGCTGCGGGGGAGGAGGTGGATCTCTTCGACGGCGGCGGAAAGGCGCAGTGATGCCATGCTGGAAGGCCGCCTGCACACCTCCATACATGCATACCTGTAGAAGAGTCACATAAATATACCAGTGTAGAGAAAAATTGTCTGATTTTATTTGTTTGTGTCAGTGATAATCTATCAAGGATCTTTACCACAATGGATAACACGATAGTGATGAGAACTGGGATCTGCAGGGTAATCGGTAGATCTTGGAGGAGGGCTCGTAGAAACTCACTGATCCCCTTGCCAAAGTGCTTCAGCGGCTCTGTGATGAAGGTTGTGATGGTAACTGAGATCGCCTAAACAGAAAAGTTCAGTATGAAACTTTGAACATTTGTACACACATACAGTTAATTCCAAACTAATGCCAGTATTACAGTTGTATAGTTTAGTTAACAATGATGTTGAGAACAAATATACAATACTGTCGATTTCCTCAATAAAAGCCTAAAACACACTAAATATAGCAGAACACATACAGTACATGCCAAAATAGTGACCTACCTTGGTAGGAGGTACCAGCAGAATAGGGTTGACCATGAGAAGTTCATAGTATTTCTTACAAGGGTCATCTTGAAGAGTCCAGGTGCTTCTGAACCACTCTGCAAGAAAAACAACCAAACACAGTAGATAAAGCTAATAAAGCAATTAAACAGAGTTAGTTCAGTGGAAACTAATGGCTTTATTCAAAGGCTTAGTTGGCATTAGCAGAACTGAATTATCTCAAAGAAAATCTCACAAAACACTGAAAGTAAAAGTCATTTAACCATTGCAAAAGATTGTGAATGTTGACCAGTGAGGGTAAATACACTCATATGTGTAGCAGCAGAAAGATAAACACATGACCACAAATAATTCTACAATCATCATCGTCCAGCCAAAACCACATATCTTCAAATTAGTTGATTTTGAATGTGTTAAACAACTTTTTATACTAACAATGTATTAGCTCACCTTTCAAGCTGTCACTCCAGTCAATTTTCTTCATTCCAGTGCATTTTTCATTGATGCCATCCATCTTCGCCATTTTGCTTTGGTGTTCAGCAAAGGCAATCTGAAAGAAAAGAAAAATGGTATTACAAACTTATCTGGCTAAAAAAGAAGCACTGAATAACTGCAGCATGAGAGCAAGAGAGCCTAAAAAGTTCTTCTTCACCACCTTGTAGAGATAGAACCAGTTCCAGATAATACTGACGAAGAAGGAGACACCCATCATTCTCCTGAACTGCACGAACCAGGACACTGTTGACCACAGCTGAGTGCTTATGATGGCCACTAAAATCAAAACAAACAGCCCGATCTGGAAGGAAAAGAAAGAGCACAACTTCACTGGCTGCACGAGATGGAAAACCACTTATAACACAAAATATACATTAAAAGATTATTTTAAAACTCTTAAAGAAATGGGCCACAAGTTAGATTGTACGTGTTGTTACTGTATTGGGTTTCCAGTTTTTCTCAGACTTTGGATGAAATTATTTAGAATACAGGGACATGTAATGGCCTCTCATTTTATCTAAATATAAAACGATAAATTAATAAGCTTACTTTTATTACTGTGTCAATCTCCACGCCAAAGCTGTCTTCAAAACGCCACCTCCACGCCTCATAGTCATGTGGTTTGAGATCCACCAGTATCTGACTGATAGCATTGTCCAGAGCTCCTGTTCTCCAGCTGTCTTCGCCATCCAGAAGAGTCTGAATCTCTGTCATAGATTGTCTGGACAGTTTGATTTTGGCATCGTAGTGGACGTCCGTGGAGTCACTGGGCTGGGGATAAAGGATGACAGGCGTATAAAAATGGCAAAGCCCCAAGCAAGACGTGTTCAAAAGCCACATAACTAAGCATAATTCATGTGAAATGACTACATACCAAACCAACTCTTTGTATTTCCTTCAGGAGTCTGCTGAGAAATCGCTTGAACACCGGAGTGCAAGTCGGCTGCTGTGAGATGAGCGTGATTCTCTTCTTTTGTTCCTCAATCTGAATCAAAGCAAAGCACAATACCTTTGAGTCTTTGCTAATCCCATGAAGGTGGGTTTCCTCATTTATCGTAGAGATTCAGTGTCTTGTTAAAGCACAATGAGCAGGGCAGATGATGGACCTGTTCTTTCTGCTTGAAGGATGAAGAACAGTGTCTCTGATGTCTCCAGCAACCTTGTGCTGGAGGTGTCTTAAAGCAGCCCAGTTTTGTTCGTGGTGCCATCATTGTTTAGTTTTTAATGTTTCCCTAATCTTCTGCAACTGGTAAAGCTAAACATACAATGCATCCCTGTAAGTGAATTGCTATCAAATGCTACATACAACCAAACCACTAACCTGGTTCTTTAGATCCACTACTTGTCTGTCACACTGCGCCTTCTGGTCGGAGTCCTGAGTGTACTCTCTTCTTTTGGTTGGCACATTGGAGTACTTTTCCGGCTGCAAGGCATATGACACACACACACACACACACACACACACACACACACACACACCTGATTACTCACTGCCACAAGAGAAATGTCAACAAAGGCTTCAAAGCGATTAATAGCAACCTCTGCAGGCTTCTTCATCGTTTTGGTGGTTGCATCGTAGTTGAGCATGTCGTAAGGGTCTATCCACTCGTCGTCCACCTGCTGTCCCGTAGCTGCCAGTAAGAAGCTGCATACCAGCACACTGAGTAACATCCTGGCAGAGAGAGAGAGAGAGAGAGGATGGTACTTCTCCCTACCAACCGTCCAGTGTTAAAGCTAGCTGGAGAGGAAGAAGAGCTTCAGACAACGACAGGAAGTCGAGTTACAGTTAAGTCTGAAAATAACTAACGTTAAACGGGACTGAACCACAGCTAATGCTAACTGCTGTACTGTCAATGTCTCAGACCCACCGACTGTGACACTATATAGCAACGCGTAACCTGCAAGTTTGGTTACCGTACATCCGGGTCACCAACCGTTTGACGCAACGCAAACGACGTGCGTCGCAAAGGCTAACGGGAAATGTAGTTTTTTAGAGGAAGTGTTGAGCATTCGCAGTATTCTGGGGTATTTCCGACCGACGTTAAAATGATGTTTAGCGACATGTAACTTTACTTTTGTTTTTTTCTGTGGGTGAAAACAAGTTTGATTTATTCTCGATATAATCTTGACAAACAGAAGCCCTCAGCAGAGGTAGAATAATAATATATTTGTTATAAGCTAATTTTAAAAAAAGAATTACAGTAACAAAATATAAAATACTGTTATAAAATGTTTTATTATACTTGATTTGTTGCAGTGTAAATTATAGTGTGAATTATTATAGTTATATTTTTTATTTAAAAAAAAATGTACGCATATTTTATAAGCTCATCATAGGTTTTGTATGTAAAATAGTAATATCTGCAATGTAACGCTAACTAAATATATGCAGTTAAATTATACAAGATTAACAAATAGCAGATAATGATAATATTAAAGCAAAGCACAAATACCTAAAAGAACACTGGTGTTAAGTGGAATACCACATTCAGACATTCAGTCTGTTAAACTCTGAGCTTTACTGGCAGTGACTTATAACCTATGGATGAATCTCAAAAACAGAAAACAATTGTATAACTCTGACCAGGCTGCTTTAGATTTACAGCACATGAACCATTAAATCTGTCTCATAACTGCTGGACACTGGAAGCCGGTCACACCTTGATCACACCTGGGAACTCTGGGAAGTTTCACACAGTACGCCACAGTATTTCACTGCCCATTCCCTTTTCCAGATATAGGGTAATACAGCTTCTAAAGTTCTGAAAAACTAATATAAATTTAGTTTAAACGACAAGAAAAACTGAATTGCGTAAATAACGATTCCACAACAAATTAAACAAAACATTTATTGCAAAGATGTGTATGTAATATTTACAATATTAATACCAACATTTCTGGATAATACATTTATTGTTATTATGTAGAACTTGATTTACAGTTCAGCTCACTCCATTCATGGAGTTTCAAGGCAAATAACCTACATCTTCAGAAAGACGCGCACAGAACACCAGCATTTAAATTCCCACAGAACAGATCTCAAGTGTCCAAGAGTTTAAGGAACCTCAGCAAAGGTTTCTTAAAAAGAGGGAATCCATGTGAAAGTTCACTTTGGCCTCTGTACAGGATACAGGAGCCCAAACTGTGGCAGCTCACAAAGCTCCATAAATTCTCGCCTGCAACATGAGACCAGGCAACGTTTAATAGCTAAGAAAGGCAGGACTGTGAGAGCGTTACCGAAAAACAAATTGATCTTCTCATTTTCGTCCTCTACCGCTCTTCATCCCTCCCTTGCCACCCCTCGACGGTCCTCCTCTTCCTTTACCACCTTTGCCTTTGCCCCCTTTAGCGCGTTGCTCTTTCCTCTGCATTCCCCGCATGTCTTTCTTCATGCGACTGTCCACCACTTTGAAGGCTCCCTTGACGCCAGCGGGCCGTCTCACCTTCTTACCAGCTCCCTTTTTGGTCACAACATATGTTACTTCTCTCTTCTCCTTCCCGACGCCAGCCTTCTTGTAGATACTGACAGAATGGAGAAAAAGACGAGACAGAATGATTTAAATGATAAATATTAAATACTGCTAAAGTTGGCCGGTTTAAAGCAATTAGTTGGAGGTGAGGGTGCAACCATACAGATGTTACGTCATACCTCTTCAGCTGAGCCATTTTCTCCCTTTCAGAGATGTCCACTGTGTTCACAACTGCCTCTGCTTTCTTCTTAGCCTGCTCCATCTTCTTCAGCATCTGGAAAAGTCACAGAGAAAATAACAAATTAAAAGATGTACAGAAATACTTTGCATAAATTTACAGGTTCTGGGTGTTTTTGTTTGTCTTAAAATAGATCTAGCAACTATAATGACTTTAATCATAATCCAGTTTTATGTCATCTATTGCCATCTTCAGGGTTTAAAAGTCATCTTTCACCATTGTTTTTCTCCTGATCTTACCCTCCTCTTCTTCCTGGCTTTGGCCTCAGCAACTCGTTTAATGGGTCTGGCATCGATCTCCTTCCACTTTTGTTTGAACTCCTCCACCATCTCCTTGGTGACCGGCACGGGCTTCTTCCGGTGCTTCCGTTCATCGTCCACGAACCACTCCGGTACGTCCCACTGCTCCTCGGAGCTAGCGAACCTGCAGGTGCATGTAAAGTCTTAAAATCAGATACTGAGAGTAAACACTGGTGTTAATGCATGTGGCTCCTGGTCACATATTACTGCAGTAAGGGAAATACAAATATAAGCCTGGTGTTATTCTATATTTCACTTAGTGTCCTCCACACAATGTTCCTGTGGCATTCAAACCTGGGCCCATTTGTTCCTACTGAAGATGTTATCTTTAAAACGGTTCACAAATATACGGTATATTTTTTCATTTGCACGCATTAGGTGCATTAGTGAGTATTTACAGCAACTGGACACTTTGTGTTGGTCAGAGTCAAAATACACTACAGTGCCCATGTTTACGGTAATGAAAGAACATTGTGTGATTACTGTGAGCTTTGTGAGACTACTTGAACCTTTTGGAAAGTGGGCACACACTCAAACACACACACCTGTGGAAGGAGCCATCCACTAGGTCCCTGGCTCTCTTCTTAGACGTAGCAATCTCACATCCCAGGGCCAGGCCTTCTGCATCCAGGATCCTGGCTTTCTTACCTACAAGCATCCACAAAATCACATAAAAACATGAAGTTGAAGCACTTCTACATTTGATGTTGATGCATTATCAGGGGGAGATCCATGTAGAAAATATCTACTTTGACATGTCTGCCACATTTCTCTGATAACTGATAAACGCTTCAGAATGGCAATTTAATTTTTAAACGAATATACAGAAAAAGCAGGGCTTTTGTCTGTTAAAAGCATACCAAAATGTTTTTTAAGACATGTAATTAGTATACATTTCTCCCAGTGCATTGTAAACAAACAGACAGGAAGGAGCCTAATCTGTCTCCATTTGGTATTCAGTCCCTAAATTACTCCCAGCTCCTGCACTGTTGTGGTCACCTCTCCAAACCTGTGCCTGCTGCAACATTTGTTGTTTTTTTTCACAGTTTTTGCAGTGTGTTTTCTGTCAAATGCTGAAACTATTGCTGCAGATCACACAGTCTGAACAGCCCAATTGGTTGACATAGTGCAAAAAGAAAGTGTGCCACCTACCCCCGGCGAATAGCTACAAAAATGGTTTTGATATAATTCCAAATTGTGGGCCTACTCAGTAGAAGAAATTCTGATTTTAAAAGTACATTACCGGTACATAGTGTAACACATATGTACTTACATACATAAAGTTTAAAATAAAAGGCTTGAAGAAATACTCATAAATGTGCATGTACCAAAAAAACAACTTAATCACAGTAAGGTGAGTAGTTGTAACTTCCTCAGCAGCTTCCAAAAGATAGAATTTTTTGTAGGATATGAATGTCTTTCATACTCACTGGTGCTTTCTACAGGAACAACCTGGAAGTCATCACCATTGGCCGCTCCTGACGTCCCACCAGCTCCATTGGCCAGCTTCATCTTGGTGATCTCGCTGGAACAAGCAGCAAAATATTGATTGGATATTTATTCAGACACAGCTATCGCCACCACAGAGGGAGAAAAACAGCACAGACTGTTGCAGTAAATTAGTTTTTACTTCTCATCATCAGTGCTGTCATCTGAGTCGCTGTCAGTGTCCTCTGCGGCTTTCTGTGACGGTCCCGCCTTTTCCTCCTCAGGTGGAGCAGCCATCTCCTCTTTCTCCTCCTCTTCCTCCTCCGGCTCCTGTTCCTCCTCTTCAGCCTTCCTCTTTTTGCCTTTTTCTATAAATAGATCCAAATTTCTCAGTATTTCTTTTAGTTCCAAATTTATGAGTTCATATCCTTTGAAAAGTACATTTTTAGACTTGCTTTATGGCATTTTATGTACATTTGTGAATAAATGAACGAGTAACGGCGGAGACTGTTACCAGTTTGTTTGTTCTGAAGCCACTCGGTCTGTTGGAGCTCGCACTCTGCGTCTCCTTCCAGATCGATCTCAGAGAAGATGCCCTACAGAACAAAAAGGAGTAGGCCATGAGGATCAGTGATGATGTGAATGAACAGGCAGGTGATCAATGATTATATAACACCAGTTTGTGTAACATCATATAACATACCTTGCTGAACCACAGGTCGGTCTGTCGTTCTTTCTTCTCATCCTTTCCCTCTAGTTCCACCAGCAAGCCACTTCCCTGCCCTTCATCCTCCTCCTCCTCTTCTACAGTGAACTTTACTCTGGAAAGCACAGTCACAAATAAGCAAGATACTCAAAAACTAAATATGGAAATTCTTAAAACTTTGTAAAGACTGTCTTTTGGTCTTAACAGTCACTTACTTCTTCTTTGGTGTTTTCGCCTCCAGCTCTTTCAGTCTCTGCTCCACCTCTTCCAAGTCCTCGTCATCTAAATCAGAGGCCAGGGACATTTTATCCGCCTCGTCGTCGTCTTCCTCAGACAGGTGGATGTCGTCGTCTCCTTCCACCAGGGCATCGGCTGCCTGCATGTCCCCCTTGGATATATCAGCCAGCACCTGATGGAGGGAGGGGAATACCAAAGCAAAATCAATTAGTATTAATAAAAAGTTTTAGCTGATAATGTCTACTAACTGTGCACCAAAACTGCGAGTGATGTAAGCTTTAAGTATCCAGTGGTCTACATATAAAGATGTTATCAACCCAGCCCAAGTGGGAGGCTTGTATCTGTGTGTCTGTGATTTTTACCTTTTGCTTATTGATGGTGCTGAGAGAGAACATGGATGAGTCGCCGGTATCTGCGATGGAGACGCCGGGCAAGTCCATCTTCAGTTCCACCCTCTCCCTCTGCTTCCTGCGCTCCTTCAGCAGCTTCCTCTTCTTTCTGGTGGAGGAAAACAGTCATACAAACTTTGGTTTATGAAG